ACATTGTTCAACGCAGTTGCAAGATAGCTCCACGACAACAACAACAGACTGGAAATCAACTAAACAATCACTCATAATATTCAATATACTCAGAACAGTGCCTTGACAGCCTTAACTTTATAAAAATAATTTACATGCAGAAAAATCTAAGCAGAGAACTATAAAACAAAGGAATTTGTTCTCATGCTTCGAAAGATCTATATTATAAGTATTTTTGACAAATAATAGACGAGTGAATTTGTATTCCTATATATTGTAAAAATGTCAGCGATTCAAGTCAAACACATGTTGGAAATACTAAAGGTTATACCTTATATGCACGTAATTACATATAATTTGAAATTAAAGAGTTTTTATTTTTGAAATTTAATGTGTTTCAACGTAGAAGGTGAGCGCGATTTACTAACTCGGGTACCAGTATCATAGGCACGGGTACCAGCTAACAGATGAAGCCAGCTCTCCTGGATGCTTGCTGAGATTAATGAGCAAATATTGAGGAATCGGGTAATCTAAGAGACGGTTAAAATACTTTGTCACTAATAAAGCAGCATCGTACTAGGGCCAAATAAAAACGATAAAAATTAATCTGATATCGCCTATTCTAGATTTGATAAATTTGGAAGTTTTTAAAAGAGGCAGTTAATTAGACGACGGATTATGCCATTTATTTCGGCAAATTGCAGCTCCGACTCCACGTCTGAAGTTTCTTTTGAGATGCTCTGCTCGTCTGCTTGGCATCTCGGCTATTTCAGGTATTAAACGGCGGGAAATGAAATGATACATCTTGTGTTTATTGATCACTGTTTATCTTTGAATAAATCCGACTAATATTTGTCAATGGAAGGTTTCGCGTGCCACGGGCTTACCTCAGTTCATTATCAAGTTTTTAGAGATTCCTTTATTTACATGGTCTTTGATGATTGCTTAATCATCAGTGTCGTATCGTCATTTTAAACGTGGAATCTGGGACCCATCCGGTCAACTGAATGGAAGCTTCTACCCGCAATAATCACACACTTAAATATTTATGTAATAGTTTTACCATCAATGAAATCTGGAGATTACGGGGTCATCTGGAATATTTCTTTGATATTATCTAACGCACATTTTTATTGAATCTGTCTATTTCTTAAGAGTATTTTCAATTCAACTCTGCGGTTGAACTCCTTTAGTTTGAGGGAATTGCGCTAGTAGTGGTTTCCTTTACTAGAAATTTGACCTTTTTTTTCTTTCCAGACCATTTTAAAGATCATTGTACAATTTAACTTTACACAACCATCGTGACTTTCAGTACATCTTGACTTAGATTTGTTTGCTCCCCCCCCCCCCCCGCGTTTTACGGGCCTGATCCACACATTTTTTTCTTTCAAAGGGTCATAGAATACATTAAAAAAATATCATAGCTTCGATAGATTAAAATTATTTTTTATGGTAAAATTTGAGTAAATTTATATCTATTTTAGAGAAAATTCAGGAAAAATAGGAAAACTTCTTGATTATATGTTTTAGCTAAAAACATACAAACTATTTTACATGTTTTACAATTTCTATGACATATTTTAAAGTAGCTTATGTTCTTTGAAGTCTATAAAATTCAAAGAACACGGACAAAAAAGTTAAAATATATCGAGTTTACTAGTAATTTTGACCCTATTAATTGACATGGGGATGGTTGCTGAATATCATTCGTAACTTGAAAAAAAAAATTTTAAAAATAAAAAACAAAGTTAACAAAAGTTAAAAAAAAAACAAAAAAACAAAACAAAACAATATGTAACAAAATACTAGATTCACTATGTTTCATATTTATAATTCAGGGACCTTGTCCGAACTTAACACATCCAGTAAACAAACATTGACGCAGTCTAACATTTTGCATCCTAGTACATGTAGTTGTATACATTTAATGATTTTCAAAAGATGAAAAATTTCAAAATGTTTCTCCGGTATCTTCTATTGTGTAATAAAATCTTTAAACTACTTTCTGCTGTTTGATTCTTTTGCATGACCAAAGACATTTCTGTACTCTTTTCTTTGGCGTAGATTCAACATATTTAGTGCTATACTCTATCGTGAGGGGAAAAAGTATCAAGATATTTAAAAACTAGAAATATGTCCATAAGACATGAATGCCCCGTCTAGGGTTCTTTAGAAATGTAGCATGAAAATTTGTATTAGTGTATGAAATTTGATGAAAATATCTTGAATAGTTTCTTTAAAACTTAGTTTTATATACAATAAATTAAAGTAAAGTCGAAGGTCTTTGGGAAGGTTAAGGTAAAAAAAAAAAATGGACACATTTGATGAATTCTCACAAAATTATGTATCAGTGCATAAGATTACAATAAAATTTCTTGAATAATTTCTTTGAAAAATGAGTCAATATACAAGTTTAATAAAAGTGAGGTTAAGGTCATAAGAAAGGTCAAGGTAAAAAAAAAAATGATGCAGTTCAATTGTATCAGCAAATGAAGTTTAATAAACATATCATTATTTGTTTCTTAAAACTGAGCTAAACACAAATTTGAGAAAAAAGGTCAATGTAAAAGGAAAGGCCAGGGTCAAAAATGTTGATGCAATTCAATTATAACTTTCACCAATATGTATAAGCAATATGAAGTTCGATAAAATACCTTGCATAGTTTCTTTGAAACTGCTAAACACAAAGAGCCATAGCGCATTTGATAGGCATTTTCGCCTACTCTACTAGTGATTTATTAAATTCATTGTTTATCCAAAATTTTGTCATACAATATTAGTTTATACATACGTAAAACCAAACCACACAATAATGATATTTCAATATTGATGGTTCCTTCATATGATAAATATAAAAATTATCCAGTTTGTATGGAGTATATAGTAAATATTGAGGTACCCACCTAAAGATGACAAACTGTTCCCAAAGACCACCCTTAACCAGAAAAACAACTTTTGAATAATTTTATTTGGATATGACTGCACTTCATTACATTTAGATAATTTTGGTTAAAGGTGGTCTTCATATTGAAAATGATGAAAATATATATTCAAATTTTCTTCTCATATAATCGTAAGATTTAGCAATGAAATATATGGAGATAATCTGTCTTCAATTTATCCATTCGACATCGTTGACTTCGTTGGCGCAGTGGTATGATTGCTGGAATGTAAATGTGGTGATTGCGGGTTCGAGCCCCACATTTTTCCATTTATTCTTTTTTTAATTTTTTTTTCTTTGTGTATCTTTTATACGTTTTTCTTTATTACGTTTTATAATATGCATATTTTCAGGAAGTTATAATATACACATTACACTTTAAAAGTATCTCGGGAAAAGACAGTCCTAAACTATTTCATTAAAGTCATATATGGCGTATTTAACTAAAATTAGAAAGATCTTTCTATTTGTTTTATTACTTTATATAAAGATAGGACTCTCCTGCAAATTACACAATCAAAATCAATCACGTTTCACAGGTATTAGAAATTTAATACAATATCCGATTTATTTAACGACTCCGCATTTAATTAACAGACACAGTTTAAAATCAATTTAATATGGAAACATTAGGTTATTCAAGTTCAAAATCGGTGAAAATTTTTATTTGAAGGTAAAAAAACATATATCACGTTTATCTTCACTCAATCTCAAATTTTATTTTTTTTTTAGCTCAGATACGCCATATATAGCTTTAAAGTTTGTAAATTCATAGCTACTTGTTTTATTTTTATTGATTTTCTAAATCTTTTGTCTCAGAATTAGAGTATTGAACCAATTAAATGAATGTCATTTGACATACTTGCAACTATGAAAATATAATACTCGTCCTCAAACCATATTACATAGTTTGATCTTGAATTGAAAAGGTATATCTATAAATAGAAACAGGTGATTTCCTTTTAAATTCTTGAGTCGGCCGTGTCGTCGGAGAAGCAGCTTTGCCTCTTTAAGAAAAGTGAGGTCAAGACCAGAGGAAAGGTTAAAGTAAAAAATGTTGATGAAGTTGAATAGCTCTCACCAATTTGTTTTAGCGTATAATACTTGATAAAAATATCTTAGTTTCTTTGAAACTGAGCTTAACACTAATTTAAAAAAAAGAGAGGTCAAGGTCAAAGGAAAGGTCAAGGTAAAAAAAAATGTTGATGAAGTTGCATAGCTCTGTCCAATATGTATCATCATAAAAGGTTTAATAAAGATATCTTGAATCGTTTCTTTGAAACTTAGCTAAACACAATATGTTGAAAAGCGAGGTCAAGGCCTACGTAAAAAAAATGTTGATGTAGTTGAATAGCGCTTATCAGTATGTATCAGCATATGAAGTTTGATAAAATATTTGAATAGTTTCTTTGAAATTGAGCAACTCAAAGTGTGACGGAAGTACGGACATGACAATCACTATATGCCCGGGCCTTATTCATGGCGGGGCATTGAAACATCGTAATATGTCACGATCTATTAAGTTTTTAAAATTGACTGGTTTCTCCATAATTTATTTTTGGGTTTTAAGACAGGAAAATGTAGGTTTCAGCATTCCTTTTCCAAAAAGTCTTATTTTAAGTCTTCAGTATTTTCTGAAACAAGATTGAAGCATACTAGTTTTAACTTTTTTTTAATTATATACATCCTGAAAGTATCGGAGGAAAAATCAATTCTTCATCTTATGTATCGATACATCTTATCTACCCCCTGTGTATCACAATGCATCCATTTATTGTTACCCCCTTAATTTATATGACACAAAACCCCGTCGTATGAGCTTGAGGTATTCCATGTTGCAATTCACAGGAGCACAGACCGATCTGCAATGGTGCTGGTTATCTTCTCCAAGTGGTATGTTGTATGAGGGACAGATTCATCTCCCCCCCCCCTTTTTTTAAAAAAAATTAAAAAATTCTCAAATCTAATTGAACACACCAATATTACTTTTCTAAGAAACTTCACAGTATTTGATTGTGTTCATTTTGTTTCCAAAATTCAGAAATCATACTGTTCTGCTTAAATAAAAAAAGACACATAATTTAAATAAGGTTTTGTTTTTTATTCATATACAATTTAGGTACATAAAAGATAATCTATTATAAAGTATGGTTTTAATTTACAGGGTTTTTTCAACAATATATTAATGAAAATTAGAATTTTTACATTAACTATGGAAAAAAAGAACAACACAACATGAACATGTTAAGCCCAGTACACAAACACTCAGTGTAAAGCACTAATAAACACCAATCTGTCCAATATTGCATAGACCCATTTCATAATCCATAATATGATTACAATATTTCACTGTTATTTAATACAATCTTTTTTTTTAGTTGGTAAAGAAAACTGAAAATATACAGCACTGGTCTACATGTGTCATGATCTAGCTTTTTTTCCAAATGTGCAAAGACACATCAAATGGACGCAGTTATATTTTTATTTTACTATTGAAGGTAAAAGTCCAGTCATGTACGTAACTAATTCAGATAAAAACTCGAGTATAATGAGGTAAGCCAAGAGATCATCTGGGAAATACTAATTGAACTGTTAATATTTGTGTCTGACTTTATTTATTTCACATCAAATAAACAAAATTCAATCTTTTAACTTTTTTATGTGGACGGATAAATCATTTACAATAATTGCCAAAGAAAGATAACTCTTCATTCCTAAAACTGGATATGAACTGGTAAATTCTTAGAGTTGTGCCATTAATATGACTATTGACTATCTGGCTATACTTTCACTTTGTGATCATATATCAATTATATTTAAATTTCAACAAAATACTAATAACATTATCTTCAGTATTTCAGATCCATATAATTATTGAAAACATTTACATTTTGTATAAGTTTAAAAACACAACGGAATTGGTTTTGGATACTGGATGTGTGAAAATGAAGAGCATTTATATTGCTTACCATGAATTCATTTATAATACATATATCTAGCACAATAAGGACTGATAATGGAGAATGAAGCCTTATATAGATTCTACGTGTACATCTGCAGTTAAATATATCAATTAAAATCATTTAATTTACAAAGTTTAAATTCAAACTGGTTCAAATACACCTGGACTCACACTTTTTGATAAATGTCATGGTAACTTCACCTCTGTGTCAAACTAATGAATTCTGGGATTTCTGAACTTTAATAAGAATTCTGAAAATTGTTAACAATTTTGACTATCCAGTAAAAACCTCCATTGAGCCAATGTTATTTTGTAATTCCAACTGTAATTAGATCCAGAAGTAAACCTCTGTTTATTTCTTTGTATAAACATGATTATCAGATGCAAAATTAATTTTTTATGGACCTTTATTGGGTTCAATGCTCTAACTTTTGACAAAAAGTCTCTCTTTGAATATATTTGAATTTCTTAATAAAAATCTTAACTGAACATGATGCAGAGTAAAAAAAAAAAATATGAAAAAAACCTGACATTCCAAAATCCCTTCATAAAAAAAAGCATTGGTCTCTCAATATGGAACTGCTTTACATTGCCTGATTAAAAAAAAAGTGAGGTTTTGGGAAAAAAGAAAATACAAAAAGGAAATATTTACACCATGTATTATGCGTAGGTAAATAGATAAAGTGAACACAAAATTTATCCCTGCATGATACAGCAGAGTTTTCAAAACATAAAAAAGACGAAACCCCTGAAAAAAATGATTTGACCCACACATTTTGTATCTATCTATGGAACTGTGTCCATATCCTGATAACTCTGTGAATAAGAAGGTAATTAATGAGTATTGATATTAGAATTATTTTTGACTATCTACTACTAATTAATTGCTGTAATTACAAAGTATACAAGGATATGTGAGTATTGAGATTTAATATGACATGAATTCTAATCAAGCTCTGGAAGTATAAGGGACAAATGTTCACATATGTATTATCAACCCTGGTCAGTATAGTTTAATCTACAATATAAATCCTTACAGACATGTAATTTCTGAAGATATGTGAGATTTACATACTCTGAAAACAGAATACCGACTGTACGATAAACTACTAAAAAGATAATGATACTCATCATCTGATATCCTTACACAGATTATATGAATTCCATCCTTGATGTTAAGACCACCAAAGATGGAACAAAAAATATTCTAACATTATTATATTTCTCAATGCCAACACAATCCTTTTTTACATGGTTTATAAAGTTCAGAAAGACAACTAGATATAACGTTAGCACAAACAAGCTACAGGATACATCGACGCACAAACAAAACACAATACAGATAATTATAATTCTATCTGATTTGGGACTCCATATATGTAATACAACAATCAATAGGACATTTTGATGCCTGGTTTTGCACCATCAATAACTACTTACATGTATTTATAAAATACGGTTTTCTGCAATAAATCACATGACTGCTGAATAACATACGCTCTAAAACAGTTAGCCGATTGTGTCATTACAAGAACTGATATGGATAGGTGGGGGTACCCTTCAGTGACGATTAGGAGGGGGTACCCTTTCTAGTGATGATTAACATAAATGAGGTATGGATAGAATCAAATATATCACGGAGTTGGTAAAACTTTGGTCATACGGATGTCTCTCTGAACACTCGTGTCGACGTCCCATTCTGTTGACGAATGTGAATGTATTTGGTTGTGTCCACATGGGAGATTTTGACCTGGGTGCTTGGAATAATGACCTCTGTTGCTGTTGGCAACTGAAGTAGTTCTGGGGCTGACACGGTAGGGGCTGAAAAAAAGTTTCTAGTAATGTAATAATATCAAGCATTACTCTTAATTGCACTGATCGTGAGCTTCACTATACTGAAATTCTTATTAGGCAGATCACATACATTTGAATTTATTGCATACATTAGCACTGATAATGCTTCTTTTGAAACATACAAATAATCTGTCAAGAACACTTTGCAAAATCCTGGAAAAAATACAGTATTTGGAAAAAGGTCCAGTGCATGCAGGAAGGAAAAAAGTTGGAAGAAAAAGAGGTATATAGGGCAATACTCTCTACTGAAGGCATAGCAGGGCTTTTTGAATTGAAATTTCTTATCTAAAAAATATTTTTTCTTAGCATTTTAAACCATGTGTACAAGACTTCAGAAACAACTTTTGCCTTGTTGATCTTGTGAACATTAACAACTTGTAGAACAAGTAGAATAGAATATTTTTTAAACTAGATGGGTTCAGGTTAATTATAAATTTTAAGTATAGAGTAGGAAAATTTAATATTAGTATTCTGCAGTTGCCTGTTCTGAATAACAAATGTGTATTTAAGGTTAGTATTAATCTATAATTACTCTACAGATTAGAGCTTATCAGACAACTAGTAGTAATTCATACACATACTACGTTAAGTAGAGCATTTTACACAAAAACATGTAATTGTACACAACTTTTTTCTGACAAAGCAAACAATTAACAAACATATTTTAGTAAATTAAAGCTAATTATAATTATTTTTTTTCACTGCACTCGTGACATGCAAGCAAGATCCAATTCTTATTGACTTGAAAACTTTGTGTGAATTGCTTTATAAAATACATGTATATGCACTTCCCTTCAGGAAATTTAATTGCATTTTTCCTTTAATTGTATTGAAATTAAATTTCAATTTAAAATAATAATTGTAAAATAAATGAAATCTAGGGAATCGAAATGGAAAGGTGCAAGAATAAAAAAAGAAATAAAATAATGAAAGCAAAAAGTAAATATAATGAAAATTGAACTCACAACACCAAACAATGGTCAACAGGAGGATCATAACAAGACACAAGAACACGGACACAGTCTTCCTCTAGAACTGGCCGACTCCACATTTCTTTCTTTCCCTTCTCCATTTTTCATCAATGCCGAATTTTCATTAGGTTCATCTACTGTGCACCCATCATGTTCCTTCTTAACAAACCCATCATGCTCATGCAAATTATTGGGAGAAACAATAGACAAGACAACATCATCATGCTCTACAGCTGCAGTTGTATTGGGGCCACCACCAGTTACATGTTTGTTGGGGCTAGTATCTTGGGAAGTGGAGGGGGACAGTTCTGACTGACTGGTACTAGCCGAGTCAGAATTTAGAGAGGCTTTAACTTGTTCAGAGTCTTCTTCAGTTTCTGTGTCATTCATGTCTTCAGAAGATGAGCTATGATGTCTAGCTCTTGGCCTTGTTCTAGGTCGGGGCCAATGAAGTAATACTTTTTCCATACTAACAACTTGCTTTGCAATTTCTACAAATGAGGATCGTCTCTTAACGGGGGAGCCATCAGAGAGGAAATTAATGGAGGGCTTTTGTGGGGAAGGTTTAAGCCGGACAGTGTTTTTAAATTCTGGAAGGAGTGCTTGCTCATTTGCAAATGTAGAGTAGTCATGAATGTTTATGTCATTAATGTCATCCACTTTAACTGGTTCCCCATTTATGGACAGGGTACTACACAGAGGTGGTTTGAGGTCGGATTTGGAAAGAGTTTCTTTACCTTGACTCCGCTTGAGGTTCAAGAATAAATATACAGGCTGAAAAGAGGAAAAATATACATGTATAGACTACATTTTGTGAAATTATCTTTTAAAGTTGTACGCAGTGTATGAATTCAAAATTCCTGTCAATCAGCCAGAGACTATACTTTTCAGTGGGTCTGAAGATTTTTTGTTTTTTTGTTTTTGAATTTAGAATAATTCCTTAGGAAAGTTTTTCAATGAGCTACTTACACTGCTAGTATTATTTCTGATTTCAGAATGTTCGACATATTAAAAATCTACATCATAAAGACAGGGATATTACATTTATAGATTATTTTCAACACACAGTGTTCAATACTATCATTACACTGCAACATATTCCCCCATTCATCTCATAAACATTGTCGATTTGAAGTTCTAAATATAGCTAACCAATAATGACTAAGCTTGGATTGATCTTTCCGTAGAAACATTTATTTATTAAAGCTCATTGTGGTAGAAAAACATGAATTTCTGTTAGACTTACTTTGTGGTCACCCATACATGTCTCTCGACCTATTACATCATACTTAGGTTTGTGTTTGTCATCCTAAAAAATATATCAACACAAATTACAAAAATATTCACATTTAAATTGCATGCATTAATAGATACACCTGGATATTCTGTCAGTTTACGTTTTCTCATATCATCAATTGTTCCTTGGTTAAAAAAATCTGTTTCATAAAAAAATTCTCTTAAGTCTTTTCTTACATATAACAATGATTTTTTTTTGGCATTGTGGGACATCAGTACAGTTAAATTTGATATCTTGAACTTGGCGGGATTGAGGAAAAACTTTGAGATATTCAAGTGTTCAAGATACCAAAGTTGATGAATTTGGCACCAATATTGTAATGTTGCAAGTTCTATTACCTAAACATGTGCACAATTTAAGCAGGAAAAGTTCTGTAGTAGTGAAAATCTTCTTTTTCATAAACAATTACAAACTGTGTGCAATTAATATCTTCTTTTTCGATATGTTTACTTTTATATGTATATCTATCTCTTTAACTAACACTGCAACAAAAAATTCACATTACAATCATTTTCATAGTGATTATAATGATGCCACTATCAGGATTTATGATACCCAGATATGAGTTACACTCTGCAAATGACGAAATGATTACTGTAATAACTTACAATGACAATTAAGCTTTTCATAAAAACTATAAAGCCATATATTTTGTGGTATTTATCAATATTTAGATCGATAGTTTAGATTATCCAGTTTGATACAGAGTCCTTTGTTAGATTGTTTATTGGACATCGATACATACATGTACTGATTTAGGTTTTTTGTGCTGTATATTAGCTTTTGTTAACATTTAATTTCTCGATTGATATATAACTCTGATGTGTTCAGCATGTACTTTGATATGTAATAATGTGCAAAAGCATGTTTTTTGAAAATCTGAAATTCCTACATCAGTAATCATCCCCAAGCTGCTCGTTAATTGTTGTGTCATCTTGTGTTTGAGTATGCTTTTCATTAACACCTCCAAATCACCTGGCTTGCATATCTATAGATTTAAGACCAAAAACAATAGCTTGCAGGGGTTAATTAAGGGGTGATTTTCAGCAATGGTCTCATGAAGCCCATACTAGACCTAACAGAAATGTTCAACAGACTGGAAAAATTCAATGGAGCAATATATTTACGGGACTTCAAGTTAATGCACATGTTTAGAGCACCTGGGACAGTAAATCTACTTGGAAATAAGCAAAGTATGCAAGATTTACATGTTCCAGATCCACTTTTTAATCATAAATATGGTAAAACTGACCAAGACTGTCCCCTCACTTTTTTGGCAATGGATGTTAATTTTCATTCTATACCATTCTAAAACTGAGATTCATTATCATGAACACCAATATCTCGAACATCAGGGATATGTCCAGTGTTTTGGAAGTCCTAGCCACTTTTCTTCATGTTTCTTAAGTATTAAACCTTGTAATCTCGCATCCTCGATTGTCTAAGATATTAAATCTCAGTCCCAGTGATTTCAAGATAATCAGATTAGTACATGTATCTACTTACACTGATGATGATATTGTTTGGCACTGTGGGACAACAGTATTCAATTTACTTTATGCATTGACAATGAAACTGTTTGGCACTGTGGGACAACAGTATTTTATTTACTTACACTTACAGTGATATTTTTGGCACTATGGGACAACAGTATTCTATTTAGTACTTACATTGACAATGATATTTTTGGTACTGTAGGACAACAGTTTTCTATTTACTTACATTGACAATGATATTTTTGGCACTGTGGGATAACAGTATTCTATCTACTTACATTGACAATGATATTTTTGGCACTGTTGGACAACAGTATTCTATCTACTTACATTGACAATGATATTTTTGGTACTGTAGGACAACAGTTTTCTATTTACTTACATTGACAATGATATTTTTGGCACTGTTGGACAACAATATTCTATCTACTTACATTGACAATGATATTTTTGGCACTGTGGGACAACAGTATTCTATCTACTTACATTGACAATGATATTTTTGGCACTGTGGGACAACAATATTCTATCTACTTACATTGACAATGATATTTTTGGCACTGTTGGACAACAGTATTCTATCTACTTACATTGACAATGATATTTTTGGCACTGTTGGACAACAATATTCTATCTACTTACATTGACAATGATATTTTTGGCACTGTTGGACAACAATATTCTATCTACTTACATTGACAATGATATTTTTGGCACTGTGGCACTGTGGGACAACAGTATTCTATCTACTTACATTGACAATGATATTTTTGGCACTGTTGGACAACAGTATTCTATCTACTTACATTGACAATGATATTTTTGGCACTGTGGGACAACAATATTCTATCTACTTACATTGACAATGATATTTTTGGCACTGTTGGACAACAATATTCTATTTAGTACTTACATTGACAATGATATTTTTGGCACTGTTGGACAACAATATTCTATCTACTTACATTGACAATGATATTTTTGGCACTGTGGGACAACAGTATTCTATCTACTTACATTGACAATGATATTTTTGGCACTGTGGGACAACAGTATTCTATCTACTTACATTGACAATGATATTTTTGGCACTGTTGGACAACAATATTCTATCTACTTACATTGACAATGATATTTTTGGCACTGTTGGACAACAGTATTCTATCTACTTACATTGACAATGATATTTTTGGCACTGTGGGACAACAGTATTCTATCTACTTACATTGACAATGATATTTTTGGCACTGTGGGACAACAGTATTCTATCTACTTACATTGACAATGATATTTTTGGCACTGTGGGACAACAGTATTCTATCTACTTACATTGACAATGATATTTTTGGCACTGTGGGACAACAGTATTCTGTCACACCATGAGGGACATCTGGTTTTCATGTATGACACCCCGTCATTTACATCCTCACAAAAAGGATAGCTGCAAAAATAAATAAATATGACATACCAGAAAGAGTTATCCTTCCTGACATATATTCAGGTTGATTCATTCTTACCTTGGAGGGAAGGAAATTTCAAATTCTGACACTTTCTCTTTGTAGGATTGCATTTCAACATCATATCTATGTAACTACAATGTTAAAATAGAGATGTTTAGAAATAACAATTCTGTCAGTCTGCTACTGATTGCACTGCAACATCACATCTACTTAACAACAGAAATAAGATTGTAGCACTTTTTCTTTCTTGAATTTTGTTAAACATCATATTCATGTAAAATGATAACAAGAGGACAATGGGTCTTGATGGTCATGCAATTATCATGAATTCTCGGGATATAACCAATTTATCTCCATCTGTAACTGGAACACTGGACCCAAGAGAGAGAAGTTTTACAACTTGGTAGCGACTACAAAAGTCTCATCATATTGCACACAATTTGTGTCTTAGATAATCAAGGGTAAAGAACATTTTAAAAGATACAATGCACTTTCAATACATGACTAAGTTAGTCTCCCCCTAAGACCTGTACCCTGGACCCAGGGAACATGAATTTTACAATTTTAAGTAGAGAGCTTACACCTCATTATTTCCATGTAAATAGTTTGCTAGATGTCCTCGCATAAAGATTTTCAAAGTGTAATATATGAAAAATGTAACCCCACCCCAGATCCTGAACCCAAGGACCCAATTAAGAACTTTCTTGAATCATAGAATATATAGTTCTGATGTAGCATCCGATGCATACTTCAGAAAAAAAAACATTCTAAGCTCCATTATAAGTGTAGGTTTTCTTTGTACATATCACTTGCAATGGGCTAGAAATATGCCTAAATACTGTCCTTTACTGAAGTCACTAAAGTGTAAAATGTAGGTCAGATGCAGCATCTGAAGCATGTAGCAGATTAAGCATGTAAAGATGCACATTATATATAAGTTTGATTTGGGATGCCACTTGTACAGAGCTGGAAAAAAAAGTAAATGCTGAACATACTGGAATCAATGAAGTCTAGTTATGGGTCTGATGTCCATCCATGGTGCCAAATGTACAAGTCTAGGTTAGATACCATTTGTGATAAGCAGGGAACTGACATAATGCTGACCCTCTCCAAGTTTTCATAGACAGACATACACAAAGAACAAGGGCACTGCAAAGGGGATGTTCCATCGTGCAGGGAGCGCATCAACCCCAATATTATTGCTTGCATAACTTCCATTACCCACGCATTCACTCAACCACACACACAAATGTGTTATAATATCCCCTCTAACTCCGTTGTGAGGGGATAATTAAAGTGACCTAACAGCTTTGTGTGTTTGTTGGAGGGGGGTGGGGGGAGTAGTTATGTGTGTTCTGTGAATAAATTCAGTCATGTGCAGGAGCTCCATCATAATCAAGTGTTTTAGGAAAAAAAGATGCCTACACTTTTAGCCCTTTTTGAGAAAACTTCTGAGTGTTTGTCATGGTGGTCAAAGCCTTTGGTTTCTACTGTCAAAACAACCTGAAAATGCAAGTAATAATGTACAATGTAAGATGACTTTTACATTCATCACTCTTTGCATGAGTAAGAAAAAATATGCAAGAAATATTGTTGAAAATTTCTGTAGCTAAGAAATAAAATATTTATCAACTTGAATCTACAGGAATACCTTGCCATTTCCCTCTTCTGTGTAAACAATTTTGGCTATTTGGTCTTTCTTGCCCTTTATTTGTTGTGAGTTGGTTTTAGCTGTTAAATCCTATACAGAAACAAAATTTCATATTAAGACATGCTTGTCATTCCAACCTCTTATACACAGAAATAACGATATAAGACAACCCGATCCAGATAAACAAACATATACTAATCCAATCAAAAAAGAAAGCTGTGTTGTTTTCTCTTGAAAGCTTTGTTTGTTTAAACTGTCTGTATTGATTTAACAGACTTTTGTTACCTGTCCTCTAAATTCAATTTTGTGTATTTCTTTAAGATTTAAAATATTAGTTGTAGACAAATTAAAAACTGTGCTGAAGAATACTTAAAAAATGTCATTGTATTGAATTTAAATGAAAGATTTCTCTATGGTATGGTGAAAGTGGTTTAAACAAACAACAGATTATTAGCAAAAACATTGTCTTGTGGTTCTAAATCAGACTTTCCTATGTAAACAAATTCCTGCTATCTTTCACAAAGATATTTATAGAATTAAAAACATGTCATCTTCTGATAAACACCCACTTAAAGTCAAATCTTACCTGTACAAGCTGGTTAATGTCAAGTCGGAAATTAAAATCTCCAAATATAAACATAGGAACTTTATCATACTGGTCTTGTTCAAATCTGTGTATAAAAGCATTCCAATATCAAACTCTGCTCCATATACCATCCATTTACATAATTACACTCTTACTTTTTCTGTTTCCAAAGCTCATACACCTTGAATATAGCTTTTAATGTTACACTTAAGCCAGATAATACAGCTAAATGGAAAGCATTAACAATTAATGAAATATAATTAATTCGTTGAGGTATATATAATGAATTCGCAACATGCATTTTTTCCTTCAAGTATGACTACCAAATATAAACTGGGAGGTATTAAATACAAAATTTTCCTTAGGGTACTAAAAATTTCTCATGAATTGAATTTCATATATTAATACTGATAAAAAATAATGTCAGATAAATATTTGAATTTTAAGATACTGAAAATTCATTATATAAAGATGTAATTTTTGTTTGTTTTTTTTTAACCTGTACAGGACATTAAATTAGTCCACTATATCTGTAAATGTGTTATATCAAAGTTCGATATAACCATAATATATCCTAGGATTTGTTAAGAATTTTGCCCAGGATTCCAAAAAAAAATCGCTATATTTGTGAATTCACTATATCCGTGTTTATACTAAATGAGTTTTACTGTACTTTTTTTCTGCCCCATGAGGGTTCTTTATTGGTCAATAAACTAATTGAATTGAATTGAATTATTGCATGAAATATGCATCTACTAAAGTATGAATATATAAACTTTTATGAAATAAAACATGGATTAATAGTCACTTACTTTTAGGTTATTAAATAATTGATCATTAGTTCACAAGTTTTTTTTATCCTATATGAGTTAATGAGACACATTATAAATGCTGACCTTTGAAGCGTGTGTAGGAATGCTGCCTTTCTATTGTCACTGTACACAGAGGGACTCTACAACAAACATTCATTTTAGTTTATTTATTTATAATAAAAAAATACAGTAATTAGTAATAATGGAAGGATGATTTTCTAACTATTACAAAATGAGCATGTGAAGGGTTAGCATATGTTTACACAAGTCTACTAAAAACAAAATTAATGTTGTTTCCATGTCTATCCAGTCCCTTGACATCTGAACTAGGAAGGAGGCAATAATGAATACTGTTACCCCAAGCTTGGCTTAGTATCAACTCAAGGGTAAGTTACGAAAAATTTTCAAAAGAATGGGGGAAGGGGGGGGGTCAAAATCTGACCTAAGTTTGCTATTTTCGAAAGAATGTCAGACATCTCGGCCCAACATAACCTTGGCTCATTGACATTTCGGCCCAATGACACCTCGGCTCAGACGGGTCAGCCCAAGATTGAAGACAGGTCGGCCCATTCATAAGACACCTCGGCCGAATCAAAATTTTCCATGAAATATACATTTCCAATTTTGAGACTTGAATTGAAAAAGTACATGAATAAACTATCAAGATTTTTTTTTCAAAAGAACTTCCACGAGCACTATGACGATATTCAATGAATGAGAAGCCAATGCTATTAATTAAAGTGCTAAATGATAAACAAGTAATATGCTGCGGTGCATCCTTTGGTATTGGTGACAACAGGGGGTTAATTATGAGCAGAGTTAATTGGGAGATAGTAATTAAAGACATTTACATGTATTGATTTCTCATTTATTTCTTATAAGAAAAACACTTCCATTCATGAATTTATTTTCCTCGCTTTTTTTCCAAGCTCCTTGTATCATGCAAAGCAAGTATGTGTGCTTTCCCAAAAAAGAAAAAAAAAGAAAAAAAAGAAACATTAATATATACAATGAAGTCATATGGATCGATCTATATAAACAATAAATGTTTCTTTTTTAAAAAACAAGATTAAGACCCCTATTTTTCAATTTAAAACAATCGTTTAATCGTCAGAAAAAATAATTACACCAATAATAGCAATTCAAACGCTGTTAATTTTTTTCCATCATAAAATTTTGCTTGGGCCGAGGTGTCTTTTATATGGGCCGACGTGTCAACAATATTGGGCCGACCTGTCAGGGCCGAGATGTCAAGCGTGACGGGCCGAGGTGTCTTTGGGCCGAGATGTCTGTCTACCTTTCGAAATGCTGTTATATTCTCATTCGGTCTATCTTCCCTTTACATTAAAAAATCTCTTATCAAAAATGTTTGTTGACATAGGCATGTTTCTGCTAATGACAAATCTTGCTAGCAGATCCTCTTATAAATCTCTATATACCTCCCTTTATATGCATAAAAATTCAATTTGTTGACATAATGTGGATACCGTAGCACCCAGAAGCAAATACTTATTAAAAAGATAAAAATACTTTAGCTTCTGCTTTCTCAATCCAGTTTCAGGACATGCTTCTCACATAACATCTTAAATTATTGACCTAGATTGTGTTCTGGATAAACATCTTGGATTACGCAGGAAATTAGAAAGATAAATGAAATTGATTAACTGGCAAAGATCGTGCACTTCAAAATACTTTCTTCACTTTACTCAATCTTGACTTTTAATATAATAAAAAAAATGACAATCAAATTTCATTTACAAGTTCAACTTATTAGTGACTTTCTACACAAAACATAACAATTAATTTCTCTCTGTGTCCTTTTATAAGGCAAGGTCTTGCCAATTCAGTCTATCAAAGACTAGTTTTATTCTAAGTTAAAGGTTTTCAAACTTCTTTATAACCAGAGCTCATTTTCCATTCCTAATTATATGATATTTTATGTCATCTCTTAGGAATCTGAAATCAATAGGCTGTTCAGTAATCCTGACGGACACACAAATCATAATCTGTTCCTGGTCTCCCACTGATCGGTACAATGTCATTAGTCATATTCACGCACAGTGTAGAATATTAAACTTAAGAGAATTAGTGTGCATGAATCTGCTGCCTGGACCACCTACCACTCACAGCTGCACATTCATCTGTATACATGTATACAGAATCAACAATGGGGATGTTAATGTTTTAATGACAGCTAACTTTGTATTAATTATAATGCCAAAAAACTTAGGTCTATCATATTTTACATAATTATGCATTATGACAAGTTTACTTCTCCAAGAAAGAGGGCTTTATCAAAATACACTCAAGAAAACATAAGCAAAATCTATTTTAGAACATTATATATCACTGGGATTTCTACTTTCAGGGCAGATTTTTTTTTCTGAACCACCTGCACCATAAATATTCAACATAAAAACTTGAACGTGCAAATGACACAAAAATATATACCTCAATCTATTCATCAGATAAACAGCTCTCAATAGACTGATATCAACATGACCAATTCATAAAACAGCTATCAATCTGATGTATAGGATATAAGAACCAATATTAAACAACATCTAACAAGGCTTTCATCAAAATAAATAAAAAAAAATACACATAAGCACCCAGTCCATTTAAATCTCCTCAAACCAAGTTTTTTCTTTTTCATGACTTGAATTACAAATACTTTGAACTTTAATATCCAAAGGAGAGTAAATTTAATTCAGTAATGCAGAATTTAATGAATTTCCCATCAATAAATTTGTACGAGTCATAATGAGATGTGGTGGTAAGAATAAATATGACCATAAATCACAATAGGGGAATCCTGATACAGTGAGCAATTCTTGTTATGAGGACACCATCAGCAGTTTTCACACAATTTTTCAAGATATTCCCTTTGTTTTTTCATACATTGTCAAATTCACTAATGTGTGTGTGTGTGTGTGGGGGGGGGGGGGGACTGGGGCTTACAAATATGAGGGAAATAATCCAGAAATTGCTTGTCAAAACAACCATGATTACATTTACTTTTGAATTATTCACAGGAAAAACACAGTCAATATTAAATTACTGTACATTCATCCAGATTTTCATTATGAGCAGTTCCTACACTTTTTAGGTTGTGTCTGCTGTGGATATTTAATGCTGCACAGGAGATTTATACTCTGTATAACCAATAACATTCTGGCCTGATCAACACCTGACTAGGAGACAATACCTACCAATACTATTCCTTTTATCATAAAAAATCAAACCTAAATTTATGCTTTCTCTACATTATGCATTGAAGTATTTCGTAAAATGCAAGTTCTGTCTTTGAAATCACATTTGTATCATTTGTGGGAAGTTTCAAGAAATACTTACTCTTTGCATTGCCACTATGTTTGATGCGTCATGGAACAGATGAATGTTAACCAAGTCAAACAAACTGTAAAATAAATTTATAAGTTCACAAGGAACTCTTCAATATTAGAATATTAAAGAAGTATCCTAGCCCATGTTTTGGAAATTTAAAGCTTTTTAAAATCTTTGTTGTGCATCTGCTAAACTTTGTGTATAGAAAAAAAAAACTAATCCAGTGATGCTCATAGAAGTTGATTTAGTGTAATATTCATGGTAGAATAAACATTATATCTAAATAACATTGGAAAGTGCATTAATAAGGATCATTTCTGTCATCAGCACCAATTTAACAGGAATGTAAACTGGTTACTTCCATCCTTCATTAGATGATTATAAACAGAAATATGCAGTAGAACTTGCACTTAATACATCAACATTTTCATGAGGACACTTTACCTTTAAATAGCAGCTGGATATTCTATCAAACAAATTCAATTTTCATTTTCTAAGAATATATAACATTTATTAAAACAGTAGAACAAAGTATTGACAGTTTCAATTTGGTGTAAACATTTTTCGTCATATGTATAGGCACAATGTGCTTTGGTGTTTTAAAAATGATAACATGCATATAAATTACCAATTCTTGATATTCCATCTCGTTCGTATAAAACCTTTCCTTGACCATTTGAACTAGATAAAAAACACAAAAGAAGAAGAAAATGTGAAGTTTGAATGCTATTTTTAAACCACGTTTGGAATGCTGAAGAAATCCATTATAGATGAACATTAAAGAACACTGAGCTTTGATAAAGAGGAGCTAGCACTGCATCATTAAATACATGTAAAGCAGTCTATTATCCAATTTCTCTCTCAGTATGGTATGATGATAAGCAGATTTTTCAAGTGTGTGTTCATCCATTACTTGCTTTATTAAATATTTCAATACAGGTGATTACCGACTCTATGATAAAATCTACATTCAATTTAAACAGTGTGCATACATAACTCTGTCATAATTTTTTCTCTTAGAACATGAACTGCAATAGTTATCCAGAAATTTATTGCCAAGTCTTAAATTCAGAATCAATAACTTCTCTGCTGTCAAAGCAGTAATATATAGATTACCTCAGGGAAAAAGTCTTGTGGAAATTTGGCCTTCTCTTTAATCTGAACATTCTCTATATTTCCTGACAAGACCTAAAACAGAAAATGACTGTGTGTGCAACAAATCAAACTACTTTACATTCACATACTGTAGCAACACCTTAAGAGGAATAAAATTCACTATAAATACAATATTGTATCTATTTATATGAATTTTGAACAATTGGTGCAGTTAGTTCATTATATGTACAGTTCATTAAATGTGCTTTGTGTCTATGTATGATCATAAATACAAAAGAGCAAAATATTCACAAAGGGCATCATGTTAAATCAGTGCTGCTGAAAAATCAAGATTTAATGAACATGAACAATAAAATAACAACTTGAACCCTGACATCAACTTAGTATGTCTCACACTGTGCTGGATATGACCTTGACTTTGTATATATATATATATATATATATATATATATATATATATATATATATATATATCTGACAACAGGGGTCACAGCTACCTACTTATGGCTCAACTACAGTAAGGCCACTTCCCTCCCAAATTGCATCAGCTGACAAAATTTGAGGATTCTGGGTCTCACACGGAGCAAGCTGTGCTCATATGAACAGAAGTTCAAATAAAAATCAGAACTTTATACCTGATTTTGGGTCATAAAACACTTTTCCCCTATATACATCATCATCTGATAAAGTTCTCCTGTACAAAACATTATCCTGTTATGATTTGACCAAGTGTAGCAATAAAATTCCACAAGTAATTAAAAAAAAAAGTTGGGGAAATGCAAGCTTACCCAGCAACGCTTGAGGAAATTGCCTAGTAAGCACTTTTTTGGGATTCCCACTTGATTTGCTATAGCCGTCAATATATGTAAAGTTGCCATAAATTAAAGAACTGAACCTCAGAAGTTTGTATAGAAATAATCAATCAATTAACAGTAAGCATTAAAATGCTACTTCAAATTACCTCTCTTCCTTCCACAGCAATGAACTTGCATTCTGTAAAAAAAAAAGAAGAATTAGGAACTTATACAAAAGACATTATTTATCTTTCTCAATAGGAGGTCCATTCACTCAATTATCACCTTAAGTCTTGTATACTAAGAAGAATTCCCATAACAAAAGAGTAATAAATTGAAGAATTATATTTTTTCTTGATTAAATTGATGTGGCAATTGTAGCTTTAATATATAAAAAGAATACTTTTAAATTAAAACAATTGACATGATGTAGTTGTTGAAATGTGCAATACTCTATCCAAAATAGTTTAAATTCAGAGAGCACAACTTTGTGCCATAAGGATATTTTTAATTATATATACACCCATAGAAAATGTATAGATCAGCATAAATTATCATAAAAATGCAGATAACATCTAGGACAGAATTATTTATTTCACTACAACACCCCCGCACGTCATGTTTTAATAAAAATCCACATGAATAGACTGTCTGCATAACGAGTCGCCGTCAAAATTGAAGTGTCATCTCTCAAATGTTAATTAACCTTGTTTTAACACAAGAACCTTCTTAATGACACTTAACCAGTACTATTTTATAGCAGACATAAAAAACAAATCCAGACAAATAATTGCTCTGTCTCAGTCTTTCTTATTAATATTTTTCCTAGACTCTATTCATATAAGTTTGAAATTTCATGAAATACAAAAATCCTGTATAATTCTAATATGTATCTTTTGACTTCCTTATAAGCTTCATTTGTATAATTAATCAATTTTTATAAGCACCGATGTTCCTTGATAATTTCCACTTATTGATCACCATGTTCCTTGATAATTTTTTTTACAGACAAAAAGGTCAAATGCATTTCCGTTAAGTTGATATATAAATAAACCTATGGATCTACCTCATAAAAAGGATGATGTTTGTATAGTTTTTGAATTATATGAAATTACAAGATTTTTGTATTTTTTGTAATAGCAGTAAATCTCTCCATTAAAGTTGGAAATTGATACAACGAAATACTGTATAGGGGATTAATTTCACAGGTTGTAATTTTCATGTTTTTCTCTCCTCTGACATGATCTTGGTTTGATGAATTCGCAGAATTTGTGTGAAATAAGTTTTCTCCCTTGGCTGTATCCAGCATTGCCACAACGACATTCATCATCGTTATGTATTCACTTCATAAACAATACTCGGGGAGGTTTAAATAAAGTGGTTAGATTTGGTAATTAATTTACAATAAAACAAATGCCGTTAAACATCTTTGACTATAAACGTTGAATGACTTTCCCGTATGCTATTACGATGAGTGCATGTATTTTCTTTCTGAAGGAACGGCATCTCTCAGCGAAAACCACTCAATGATAATAATTGTTTTAATGTATGTAGACGAAATAATATCCTTCCATATCTACAGTAAGTCCGTGAGTTATTTGAAGAATTTTTTTTAAACCCAAATGTTGGAAAAAAAACTTATACGCGTGGTAATGTTAGTTACGCATGGGTAATCAGTAATCAATACCCACGACCCACGTGCTTTGATTGATCAAACATGAAGCGTTGGCTATTAAAACGGCTTTTCAACAATAAATACAGGTCATTATCTGCTAATTTAAGTTAAGTAAAGCGTAATAATTAAAATAATTGAATGACAAGTACCACTCATAACTATTGAATGACTACTCTATGTAAATATACCTATCCTAGTCTATACTCATATTTCCAAAAAAAATTATTGAAAACTTATTCACCGTTTCTTAAATTCATGGATTTATCATCACCGTGAACATAGCGAATATTTACACCATGAGTTACTTTCCCCCTATACAGCAGATTGGACAGAAATTAGAGAATTTTTGAAATAATTTGAGAGATCATTTGTCTCCTTTTTTTTTAAGTAAAAGCACAAACAGCTTTTATTGAATTTGAACTCATGCAGTGCATAGAAATATATATGTATCTTTATGCAGTGTATAACTCTTAATAGGTCTTACCAAAATCACACAAAGACAGTAAAATGAGAAACATTCAAAAAACTGTTAACAGACAGACAAATTGGCAATTAGCTCCTCTTGTCTGCGATCAACAGAGCTAAAAATGTACACTGTTACAGTACACGTAATTCAGATCCAACTGTTCACAGAGATCTAAAAGATTCCTACACTTTCCAAACAACTAGACTTAATCATTTTATGAAAATTAAGAAATAAAATTTGATAAAAAATGCACTATTATCTAAATCTGAGAATATTTCTAGTACATGTATATCATTTGAATTGTTATCTCCAAACATTGTACTTGGCAACATAATGTTGTATACACTATTCTTGGAACTCTGTATTTATCCTATTGGAGCCGATAGAAAGGATTTTTTTCTTGGGTGAATGTTTGCGATGTAATCAATATACCAGCAAATCCTCTCGTCTAAGTAGCAATATATCCTCCTCGGCTACTTACCCACAAAATCCCATATTGACACATCCTCAAGGCTTTCATGAATGAAGTACAGGTTTCCCAGTGCCTACAAAACATAACTATTCCTGTTACATCTTGACTTTACATCTTTTATCTCTAGTCCAGTTCTATTTCAATTTCTGCAATGCACATTTATATACATTTTGTAAAATTTTGTTTGTAATAAAAACATGCTTAACTTTTCATGTTTCGAAGGTTTTTAGTTTTTGCAGTACTGTCAGCTATGTTTTTAGTCAGTTAAATTACTACCTTGTTTACCAAGGATGGAATTAGAAACACAGACAGTCTACGTAATTAGTGTGCATGGATTTGGAGATATCTTCAGATTTTGAAGCTAAGATGCAGTTGTGAAAGACAATGCTCAGAACAGCATCAAGTTAGTATTCATATGGCCTTCTATATCTTTAAGTTGACAATGACCTGCATGTGTTTGGTCTATAACTGTCTTGCTGTATTTACTTGTTTGATACATGCATGCAGTATAATTATTGCAATATTCCGTCCTGCATGTGTTTTATATATATATATATATATATATATATATATATATATATATATATATATATATATATATATATATATATATATATATATATATATATATATATATGTCTTAATGTAAACTTGTCTGATACATTATAATCCTTAGTAGACAATGTTAGGTCTCGAATTCTGTCCTCCATGTGTTTTATATATATGTCTTACTGTAAACTTATATGCTCCTTTTATTCTTGGTAGATTAAGATATATCCATTTGATTTATTAGATATGGAATAGAATTACTGTAAACTGTATGCTGTAATCCTAGTAGACTATGTTTGATCTTTTCAATTCCTGTTCTGTATGCCACCTGTGGTATAAGCCTGATAATGTCAGATCTAGACAAAGTCCTGGTAACTATAACCATAATTACCAAAACTAATTAGAAGTTATTATCAAAATTAAAAAAAAAAAACATTAGACTTGAAAGAACTTTGGGTTGTGTGGGGTTTATAGAAATGAAAAACTACAATATTAAAGTACAACTTCAGATTGAATTTTTATTAAAGTTTTATTAATTAAGTGGTTGATATGCTTTAATAAAGATATCTGAAATAGTAATTTAGATTTCGTCGATGTGGCTGTCAACATGGTCAAAGACATTTAGGAAAATGGTTTTTAAAATTAAGGTAAATACTATATTTGATTATATTTGTGTTCATTTTACAAATATCTTTAATTCAATGTGACTGTATAATGAAAATGCAAAAATAATAAAATCTGTTGCATGAATGCTACATACAGACAGCTGCATGAATATCCTATTGAAAATGAAGCCGTGAACTGTGTGTGCATGGTTACATACATATACTTTATTTTCAGTTAAGTAGTTCATAGTTTTAAATTTTTAGTTTGGAAGGAGGAAGGATGAATAAAGCAGATAGAGAGATGGAAAACAAGATCTCGGATTAAATTTAAGATTATTTCTATAATGTGAAAAATATTAGCTGCATTAATTTGTCAAGCATGATTAACTGAAAAGTATGATTATAACTGAAGAATATGTCCTGTATGTATACTGCTGTCATGCTGTAAACTTGTCTGTTCTAGTGTTAGAACTATATATGAATTCTGTCCTGTTACTCTGTATGTGTTTGATCTATTGCATTCTTACTGTAAAATTGTCTGTTGCAGTATAATCCCAGTAGACTATGTTAGATCTATACAAGTCTGTCCTGTGATGTGTGTGTGACTGTAAACTAGTCTGCTCTAGTATAATCCTGGTAAGACTATATAAGGTCTTAATGAAGTCTGTCCTGTGACGTGTGTGTGACTGTAAACTAGTCTACTCTAGTATAATCCTGGTAAGACTATATAAGGTATTAATGAAGTCTGTCCTGTGACATGGTGTGACTGTAAACTAGTCTGCTCTAGTATAATCCTGGTAAGACTATATAAGGTCTTAATGAAGTCTGTCCTGTGACGTGTGTGTGTGACTGTAAACTAGTCTGCTCTAGTATAATCCTGGTAAGACTATATAAGGTCTTAATGAAGTCTGTCCTGTGACGTGTGTGTGACTGTAAACTAGTCTGCTCTAGTATAATCCTGGTAAGACTATATAAGGTCTTAATGAAGTCTGTCCTGTGACGTGTGTGTGTGACTGTAAACTAGTCTGCTCTAGTATAATCCTGGTAAGACTATATAAGGTCTTAATGAAGTCTGTCCTGTGATGTGTGTGTGACTGTAAACTAGTCTGCTCTACTATAATCCTGGTAAGACTATATAAGGTCTTAATGAAGTCTGTCCTGTGACATGTGTGTGTGACTGTAAACTAGTCTGCTCTAGTATAATCCTGGTAAGACTATATAAGGTCTTAATGAAGTCTGTCCTGTGACGTGTGTGTGACTGTAAACTAGTCTGCTCTAGTATAATCCTGGTAAGACTATATAAGGTCTTAATGAAGTCTGTCCTGTGACGTGTGTGTGACTGTAAACTAGTCTGCTCTAGTATAATCCTGGTAAGACTATATAAGGTCTTAATGAAGTCAGCTGTCCTGTGACGTGTAATCTATATGTATATTTACATGACATATATTACCTCTTGTCTGCTGCAGTATAAGCTTGGTAGACTAGATCTATACAAATTCTGTCCTGTATGTGTATGATCTATTTTTGTCTTACTGTAAACTTGTCTGTTGCAGTATTATATTGGTAGACTAAGTTAGATCTATACAAATTCTGTCCTGTATGTGTGTGATCTATATTTGTCTTACTGTAAACTTGTCTGTTGCAGTATAAGCTTGGTAGACTAAGTTAGATCTATACAAATTCTGTCCTGTATGTGTGTGATCTCTATTTGTCTTACTGTAAACTTGTCTGTTGCAGTATAAGCTTGGTAGACTAAGTTAGATCAATACAAATTCTGTCCTGTATGTGTATGATCTATTTTTGTCTCACTGTAAACTTGTCTGTTGCAGTATTATATTGGTAGACTAAGTTAGATCTATACAAATTCTGTTCTGTATGTGTATGATCTATTTTTGTCTTACTGTAAACTTGTCTGTTGCAGTATTATATTGGTAGACTAAGTTAGATCTATACAAATTCTGTCCTGTATGTGTATGATCTATATTTGTCTTACTGTAAACTTGTCTGTTGCAGTATAAGCTTGGTAGACTAAGTTAGATCAATACAAATTCTGTCCTGTATGTGTGTGATCTCTATTTGTCTTACTGTAAACTTGTCTGTTGCAGTATAAGCTTGGTAGACTAAGTTAGATCAATACAAATTCTGTCCTGTATGTGTGTGATCTATATTTGTCTTACTGTAAACTTGTCTGTTGCAGTATTATATTGGTAGACTAAGTTAGATCTATACAAATTCTGTCCTGTATATGTGTGATCTATATTTGTCTTACTGTAAACTTGTCTGCTGCAGTATAATCTTCATCCAGAAACACCCGAGCTCTGTCATACTTCTGAAGTTCTTCACAACCTAACATGGCCCTAGAAAACATAACAAACACACAAATTATCTACAATTTTTAAAATCCAAATGCAATGCCTAATTTATCTTGGTCTTGGGGGGGGGGGGGGGGGGGGATGACATGAAAAAGAAGTGAAGAATTTATGAGTTGATAAATCAAAGGACACTAATGATTGAATGTCTAGATATATGCTGTATAAAGCTTATTAATAACATAATGGTACATATTCATATTATATCTGATTAGTTCTCATCAGGACCTGACCATATTGTATACAAGGTTATTTCTATCCTTTCACACTTGCAAATGATATCGCTCAACTTTAAATTCACCCAAGCACAGTTGTGTAAAAGAGATAGCTCTGTCTTATTGGAATTCCCTCCATTTTAAATTCACCCACTTGGACAATGGCGAAAATAAAATGAGGTCGAATTTTTTTCCTGTAAACAGTATTCAAAATCAGTCAATTTAAATATTAAAAATATTTCTTTAAGTAAGCCAGGGATTGTCAAAACCACAAAGAGCTGTTATATGAAAATGATACATGATGAATAGATACTACACAAATGTTAACAGCTGGGAGGTTGATGTCCTGTTAAATAAAAATACAAGTAGTCATGGTTAAGGCAAAAGTACGAATATTCAGGACTTGAAAATTATGCATCATTTTATAACCTAATTACAAGATAATAAGTCATGCATACATTGAAGTTTGTTAATTCATAAAGTAAGGCACACCACTAACTTATATAGAGCTATTTTCCAAACTGTGGTGACTTTCTGGTGTGGTATTCTATTGCTTCCTCCCAAGGGAGCTGCATGGGTATGTTGAATGTAAAATAATGTAAATAAATAATAATTGTTGTCCCTTGCTTACAGGGTCTTACTGCAGGTTGGGGTGCAATGACCGATTAAAGATTTTGAAAGTCAAACTTTAAGGTTTGATCTAGAGGTAAAAAAACATAATACAGTTTGAAAATTTTTGTCACAGGTAATGCACATATGAAAAAATATGAAAGCCCTGCAGGTCTCTTCAGGTGCAAAAGTTATGACCAAGGTTAAAAGTTTTGAAAGTAGGTCAACCATAAAGGTCAACATCATGAGGTCAAAATCATATTATATTAGAAAGGTATTGTCACGGTTAATGCACATGTGAATACAAATTTCAAAGTCTTATCTCATATTCAAAAGTTATTAGTAATACCAAGGTTGAAGTTGTAGAAAAGTCAAGGCCATAGGTCAAAAATCATAGTTCATTCGGAAAGGTCTTGTTACAGGTAATACAAATGTGAAATATAAAATTCCCATCTTATTTCTCTCATTCCAAAGTTACGACCAAGGTTTAAGGTCCCTCTCTACACTAATTGAAAATGTTTTTTGGACATTAAGAGAAAATAATATAAAAGGTGTAAATATTGAGCTTATTTAAATCATCTTTAACATAGGATGCCTGGCTTTTATCCTCAGGAAAAATTTTCAAAGTTAATTAAGTTTTGATTGAATACAAATCACTGTTGTTTACCTAAGTGGGAAAAATGCATGCAGGGGTATTCAATTAATTTGTCTTGGCCTATCAAAATGTTGAGAATGCTTGAATTGATGAGAAATTGATTAATAAACTGTAGATTTCGATTTCTTTCATTTTAGACGTAAGGGCAGATTACTCTTACTACATAAAAATACCACAGAATCAGAACTCTTTAGTTTGCAGTGTATATGGGTTCTTAAGTTTTTGTGACAGACTGACAGACAGACAAATGAGATTTAATATCCCTGTACTTATACCTATGTGGACAGACATACATTTAACTACCAATACAATAAACTAAGTATTTTTGCATGATGTAAAAGAGTTATTACTTATTTCTACCTGTGTTCATAAAATCTCTCAGTACACGATACAACAATAACAAAGGTCAATCTATATATTTATGTAGTTATAGCCCATCTGCCTCCTCACAGGTGTCCGTGATAGATGACACTGACATAAACATACTTTAATTAATAAAATCAAACCATATATTACCATGTATTACATTTATGTTAGTCTTATTGTAACTTTCATCAGTTACACCTAAGAGTACCATGTAGAAATCATGATACTTAATACTGTCGCAATTAGCACTATTACACAGATTTGTGTAATTGACTACAGATGTACGTCTAGTACATAACTACAGTATATACAGGTTTTTATAAAGAACACATGAATTGGGTATTATAGTGTATACATCTTTTAAGTATATGTTCACTGGTAGCATTCAGACACAACATGAAGAATTCATGAGGACTATAGGCAGAGTAGGGTATTACTGTGACCTGATTTCTACAGCACAATTATCCCTCCATTCTGCTAATTCTGCTTTTATTTGAACCCCTACTTGGTTTCAATAGCATGTTTTGAGACAGAATTTATTCAACAATAACAATAATTCAACATAAATGAATTAATATATATCTGTGTAGTAAAAAAAATACTTCACTCCCAAATATGTAATTTGAGAATCAAATTATATAACAAAACTATTGTATTATATGATTTAGAAACATGAAACAAGTGGGTTAGATGAAATTAAACAGATGTGTATTGAAACATTTCTTGTGGTGTAAAATACATCAAACTTTCTTTTCCCAAATGAATACTATCTATGAATACATAATCGTCATGAACAGAAATCTGCTTTGCCAATGTCACTTAACCCACAAAAATAATCATTTTAAAATGGTGAACACTGTGAAACAGATAATAAGTGATTTTAAAAAGCTTTTAAAAGAGGGATGTACTGTATAGATCTGCTACTATAATTGCTTTAAAACAGGCAGCAGTAACAGAATTCTGTATCTGGAGGAATTCCAAGCTCTCAAAAGACAGCTGATATACCAAGGATTTCTCTAATCCATCTGCCCTAAGACACTACGATTTCTCTAATCCATCACGAATTGTCTATTTTCAGATTTTCCAGACAGGCATTTCTAAATTTCACATACGTAAAGGCAGATATATTTATATATTATCTAGAACATGCATTAACTGTTTTTTCCCCCAAGGACGCCAATACATTGTGATTTCAATCATTTTAGGTAACAATGTAAATAAGACTTTTCAAGTGTCACTATATATCTTGGTTTGAAGGAGAAGTGACTATCTCAATACCTCAGCAGTGACAATATGTGTTACTGATGTGTAAAATATGTTGTATGATATTTTCAGAGATAGTCAGAGATCAGTCTATGTCCCATATGTATCTACTTCTGGCATTTGACACTAATGCTGCTAATCTGTGTGGCAAATCATCAAGCCATTTGTCCATAATGATTTGTACATTTGGTAAATTGTTCAAATTTTACAGGAGTAAATATATACAGATTATCCTTGTATATAATTTCCACAGGCCTTTTTACTATCTGTACATCTATATATGTATAAAAATAGTCAGACATTCTCTGGTGAACAAGCAATATGCTATATAATAACAATGACCACAATTTCAGTTCTATATTCTAAAGCACTTGATGAATGCATGTGTCAGTAGGCATCAGCATATAGGTACAGGTGATTAGATAAGACTGCATAACCACAGTATCATATGTACAGCCAAGTCATCCCATCATTACATGCTGTTACAATACATACACAGATAATCCAGGTACATCATGTCATAACAATGTGTACAAAGGACCTATATATAGCATCAGTTAGTATAAAAGATTGACTCAAAATATAGTCTTGACTGCATTGTAGAAAGTTTTTATAATCAAATTAAATGCATATGATCTACATGATCAGATTATGTAAACTAGCCTTACTAGTCCCCTATCTGTGAAACCAGAGGGGACTGTAGGTTTCCTCCTCATTTGTTCCTCTGTCTGTCTGTCCATCTGTCCCTCTGTTTGTCGGTCAGTCTGTCCCACTTAGTTTTCCGTACACTGCACTTGCAGATATTGAGCTGATTTTTGGCATGTGAGTGTACCTTGATGAGTTACAGATCAAGTTTGCATTTTGTTCCACTTTGATAAATTTTGAAGGAATTATGGCCTTTTTAAATTTCTAAGGGGAACAAGATTTCCCACTTGGTTTTCCATCTTTCTTCCTCAGTCAACACTTGCGGATATCGAGCTGATTTTTGGTATGTGAGTTAACTGAATACAGTGTCCAATAATGTTGTACAAATTTAGTCAGAAAACATTCAAAATATTTTTAGTTTATATATATACTGTTTACAACTAACATCCTCTGGGCCCCTAAATTTCATTGTTCAAGGTCAATAAAGTCCCCACATGGCCTATAATGCTATAATTAATTGTTATCTGCTACCGTGCTCAGACAATTAATGAAGTAATTTGTTCTCTTTCAAATGAAAACTTTGTATTGTTTTAAGTATAACCTTATGTCAGCAGCATGTTTTACTCTTATATATTCCACATGTGTAAGATCCAGAAGCTCTGAAGGAATAAGACATCTAAGCCAACACCTTTAAGTCCTTATGATGCTCTCTGAAGCTGATATTATGGGATGTTTGCATGAACACAGTAGTTTACCTGACAGCTTACCAAATCAATATATATTTAAAATTTACATATAATATACATGGTTTAGAAAATTGTTAATCAGAAGCAGCTTACTCACAATTAAACCTACTACCTAAAGTAATACTGATTGGAATGGACATTGGTAGGTTTACAAGACTACAAGTAGCCTGAACCCAGTTATGAACTGTAGTGTAAAACCCTGAATTCTATTCACCATCAGGACCAAATACTGAGACAATTATATGCCTATTACATAAAGTTTAAAAAAGTTACACTGGATCCACCACTAGTACACTAACATTTACTACATGACCTGTAAAAACTTACCATGGATCCGACTCTAGAACTCTACACTTTACACCTGACTCTCGCCAGGGGCCCTGGTTCAAGTCCCTGAAGAGACTTGATTTTTCACTTGTTCACTTGTTACATTTGGTGCCCAACCTACAAAGCCCACTATTCCTGAGGAATATGCTTTACAGCATTTCCATAATAAAGTTCAGTAGGGATGAATTTATACAAAGAGGGGGAATATATTACTGAGTTAACACGTGTGTGAATATCAGTCAACATTCTGACTCTAGATCAGTTGTTAGAGTGTTTTCATGCTATGCCAGAGGCCCTGGGTTCAAGTCCCAGTTGAGACTTGATTTTTCACCCCTTGTGATTTATCTGTTATACATTTAACTTTAAGAATAATACTACGCCCACCACCAATGCTACACACTTACTTGACAAACTGGTTGACATGCTGCATTGAAGCCTCGTAGTTCTTTCCTCCCACCTCCTGACAATGCAGGGCCACAAATTCTGGTTCATAATGAGCAACACACTGAAACACAGGAAGCACTACCTAAATAGCTACACTGACATGGAACCTTACTTTCTAATGTTATATTAATTGACATTCTTCATTTGGAAACCTGTTGCACTGACCAAATGACAAAATTGTATGACCCTCTTGCATCATGATCTTTGATGTAAAGACTGCAATGATTCTCAGACTGATTGAATAAATGAAAATTCTCTACAAATACCCATGAAGCATATAAATGTATACTTACTTTTAAGAACTCCCTTAGCCACAGTTTTAACATATGCTCTGGCTGAAATTGAAAGAAAACAGAAATTTAGTTCACTGAACCCAATATTCAGAAGACATAAGAGATGTTGAAAACAACAGTAAACCTTCCTGATTAAATATTAAAATCAGTCTATGCGAAAGTCAAAAGGACATAAGGTCTGGTGAAAATATATATTTTACCAGACCAAGCATTCACTTACCAGACCGACCTTTTTTCTTTAAATTCATACACCATTATGACACACTGAGAAAAAAAGGGGGTATTCTCACTGTTGAATTGAACCTTAAATGGATCCAGAGTTGAGATTATAAAAAAATGATTTTACTGAACTGAACAAGCTTATTATTAATAATTTTCCTTTTTGAAAGGTAGTATACAATTGCATACAATTTTCTCTTTTTCTGGTTATTTGACACATACAAACAAAATACACATGCAGTGACAAAGATTTTTTTAAAACTTAAAATGCACTTTAAAATATATTTATTTCTTTCCTGAAGTAACTCATAATGGTTACTCTTGTTTAATAATGAAAATAATTCCCCCCAACTGAATCTACGTATGAGCTATCTAGAGATCTGTATTCCAGAACGGAGGAAATTTGAATTAGAAATAAACGATCATAACAGGGTTGTTATAGATCTATTAAAATTAATCATGCATTACTGCTAAATGGATCGAATAAGGCATATGTGTGGACAGAAAGGCCATATGTACATGTAAATTAAGATTTTTAGGCCTTATTTTTTCATCGGACAATCGGTCCTGAATCCTGAATTTTTTTACTGACCCGAACCAAATTTTACCACTAAAAACCGACGGTCAGGTGACTTTCGCATAGACTGTAAAATTTTAAAAAATTATAATAAAATTAAGAAGACACTGAGGCTTTATAAATCTCAAACTGCATTCAGTACAACCCACACAGTGTTTTTCAATCAGGTGATTAAATTTTTTTTATAAATAGCATATAAAAATAAAATGAATAATAAGGAAAAGATGGAGCAACATAGATTTTGGGGCTATGTCATGACACTGACTTGGGGATATGTCATGACACTGACTTGGGCCTATGTCATGAAAAAGACTTGGGGCTATGTCATGACTCTGACTTGCGATGTTTGCATCAAAGTAAAACAATTGTTAACTTTAAACCCTGCAGAAACAAATTTGCAATTTTTTCTAGTGAAGTGTTTTTCATTTGAATCCTGAACATGTTCTGTCGGGGATGCATGGTAAAATTCAACTTCATATTACCCCCACATCTCTTAACTGTAAATCTGAATAAGAGACTCCTAAAACTTATTTATGAAAGCCAAACATTTAGCATTAATGCCACTACTTGTACAAATGCTGTTGCAAAAAAAGTGTGCGATTAAAATACAATGTAAAGTACAACTTTTCTGAGCTACAATTTTCTGCCAATGTTTTTCTTTTTAATTTTAGCCCTTACTTTCCCTCAAAAGAATAGTGTGAAATATTCTCTTTAGAGAAGTGGACAGACATAACCTACACCCACTTCTCTAAAGAGAGTTAGTGTGAAGAAGTACACTCCATATAGTTTTCATGCCCAATCCTTCTATCTCAGAATGTGAAAACAAGGATTGTTATTAATGTTGTGAAATCAAGAGGACATTATTTGTTCTATTTTATGTCAAACACAGGTATAAAAGTGCACTACACATGCTATACTGAATCACAATGGAAGGTTTAAACATGTTATACACATGAATGTGCTGTGTAATTATTCATCAGAAGTGCTTTAAATTAAATGAAAATTGGAGATACAGCCAGTTATAATAATCCTGGCTTTTAACGGATATCACTTTCTCACACATTAACGTGTCACGGTGTGAAGTGGCGAGCAGCGTGTGAAAAGTATTTCCATTTCACGCCGATTTCACTGATCTGTGACTGTGCAACAGTCTAGTATATTAACGCGGGCCAAATAATTTGGATAATAGCAACAGATGTGTTATAGTTAACAAGAAAGGACATACGTGTAAACAATCCATTAAAGGTATCCATTACTAAAGGATAAGCATAATCAGAATTATTGTTTATATAGAGTGAATGAACGTAAAAGTACGTACGTCCTCAAAAATAGACCCCACATTTGCGCTAACCAGTAGCACCCTCGTGTAACTTCCATCCATTTTAAGCATTAGAATTCATCCACTGAATTGTGAAATTTGCATTGCAAAATTTTCACTTTAATAACTTTCACAACATATCCACGTTTTCATGATCTATCCCATATTTTCAGTTAATCCATTCGCTCCGCCTTTGCATGCCAGCAAATATTTGACGTCATTTCCGATAGAGTTCGCGCCATCTGTCAGGAAAGCCAACTCTTCATTCAAGGTAAGTAACGCATACAGGAAACATACAATACATTTTTAAATAATTTACATTTATATAATTTTTAACACATTTTTTCACTGTGTTCAGCGAAGATTAACTAAGAGGAACATTTCTGAATTTTGTATCGAGAGCAATTTATAATTATTTCGTAAGGATTTACATGATATAGACAAAGGAGAGAGACAAGTCCTGAACATCGATTTTACTTCCGAAAGTGATTCACATGTAACTTATTGTACATGTAAGCATTAAAATTTATCCCTGCTGGATAAAGGATTGGTCATTTGAATAGGCTTGATTGTTGTGCGTGAAATTAAGTGCCGGAGGAACATCTGCACATGTATTTATGCATGTGCATTAATGCGGAGCATTTAAAGGATTCTATTCAATCTTCACTCGCGTTTACTTTTCAGTCATGTAATAGGGGTGGGGATGGAGGGCTGGCGCCCCACACGTCTTTCCAAACAAACCTTTTATCTGTTGAAAATGTTCCTGGAAAAGCTGCCCCCACTTTTTGTTGCGGTATAGAGAAATCATGGTAATGTGATAATGTATGTTGTGAAAGAAATTTGGAACCTACCCCACCCTACACTTCCACCCCACCCCGCACACGAAAAGAATTTTGGTTGGAGTTTGGGCAATTAATTTTTTTTTTTTTTTTGGCTCGTCAAAATTTTTTCAATTTTTCAGGTAAGTTGTAACCCCCCCCCCCCCCCCCTTTCAAAAACGATACTACGTGCCTGTCACAAGTCACAGAAAGCTATCAGTTGTCCCCACTAGATACACGAGATCAACTATTGTCGATGAAGAAATAAATTAAACATGATTGTACAGTTATTTTCGTAAAGTTATTGATAGTTCTACGAAAGATAGCATACTGTAAATAATTTGAATACGCATTTACAGAAAACTAATCATTGCAAAGTCAATGCGGTTTTTGGATAGAAATGAGTTACTGATAGTCAATCATACTAGAAACGATAGCCACTGATTTAACAGCTGCCTTTGCTACCTGATGTTCTGGAAGTTTTGATAAGAATTATCTTACCAAGCGTCAAACTCTTTCATGTGCCGCTAGATTAGGGGCTTGGAATAAACGCTGCTACCCAGAAAAATAAATTTGCAAATATTTATATCCCCATCCTCCCTCCCGATAGTATGAATTACAAATAACCAAAAAAGTAATTGAGAAAAAATAATCTAGCAGTGACTGTATGGTTTTTTTTCTTACCAGAATATTAGCGCAATAGGCCTATTAAATATTTTTTTTTTAATAACCACTGTGGTATAGAAACGTAAATTCTCTGGTATACAGTGGATTGAGATTTATTTTTGAACGTGTACATTTTTTATGACAAATCTGTGAACAGGGCATAAAAACCGGACCCCCGGGAATTCCATAAGTGGGATCAGGTGTCAAGGAGGAGTAAGCATCCCCTGTCGATCACATTCGCCGTGAGCCCTTTGTATTGATCAGGTATAGACGGTATATTCCGTAGTCAAATTTAGTATAAAAATGGTACACTTGAAAAATCTTTAAAAATCTTCTTCTCAACAACAGGAAAGCCATGTTTACTCATATTAATACGGAAGCATCCTCAGGAAGTGTAGGTTCAAGTTTGTTCAAATCATGTCCCCCAATGGTAGGGTAGGACCACAGGCCTTTAGATCGCTTTAAAAAAATTAATGTGTTAAAAATTTATACACCCGAATTTTTTAAAGTCTGTTTAAGCGATCCAAAGGCCTGTGGGCAGGACACAATAGAAGATCAATCTTTTACATTGAAATATATAGGGGGAAATATTTTAAAGCCATCATTAGTCAAAGAAATATGGAAGCATACTCAGTGAATAGATTCACGTTTGTTTAAATCATCACCCCCCCCCCCCCCCCCCCCCGAGGGGTATAGGTTAGGACCACTATGTATGTAAACTTAAGAATACTGAAATATGGAGCCAAGGAACTATATTCAAGCTTAAAGTCCATTAAAACAATACAAATCGGTAGCAGCAGAGCAAACACGGACCTACAAAAACATCAGAGGTGGGATCAGGTCCCAATGAGGAGTGAGCATTGTTACAACGCACTTTGAAAAATTACGCACTTTGAAAAAATATTTCAAAGTGCGTAAATTTTGGGACCACGTTAACGCACTTTGAAAAAAAAATATTTCTTTTCAAAGTGCGTTAATATCGACCATATTAACGCACTTTAAAAAAAAATGTGCACGACTTGGTCAATATTCTTGCCAATTTAAGGTATGATAAATAATTATTTGAACCTGGTTGGATAACTTTTTCGGTGATGACGTCAGGATCTGAGATATGGACGTTTTAAAGATTTTTAGGAGTTGTCTTGTTTCCAAAGGTTCTCGTAACTGTTATAAAAGGGAAATGGGTCTTAGAAATAACTGAGGAATGATTGTTTAATAGCACAGTTTCGTTTCTTTTTTTCTTTTCTTTTTTAAATTTTATCCAGTCTCTAATAAATTCGGTAGATGTAGGTGTCGATAAGTGACTTAAAGCATCGCAATTATGATTTTTCCATACCATTAAAATTCCCTCTCCCCCTCTCTCTCTCATCTATTTTTCTATCATATTCATCTATCTTTCTATTGTGAACATATATGAAACAATGGTTGACTCATTTATTTGAAAGTAAGAAAATAAACCTTAGACACATTACTCACTCGACTGAATTTTTAACCTCGTTCACTAATAACTTTTTCTCAAAAAAGTTATGCAGTCAGATTAATTCTAAATCTGTAATTTGATATCATAAAAACTCTAGACATGTCAAATAGCATGTTTTAATTACCATGTAAGTGCATTTTTTCTGAGGAATCATTGTGGATACATTTTGAATAAAGGTTATGCGGCTCTCTTCTTTAATACGAGTATAATAGGGTGCGTAATTTTTTTTCAGGAAAGCTTATCTCAATATTTTCATCTATTTTACGTTAACTCAAATTTATTGAGAGAAATAATATCAATATCATATACACCAGTTATGAAAATACATATATTTGTGTAGGAAAGATAGAGAGTTAGGCTGAGGGACTTTCTACCTGTCTTCTCCTCGTTCTCGATGAGGGTAGATCAATTCATCAGTTCTTTGGAAGAAACATAACAAATTAATGCTGTCTATTATTAAAATCTAAGTCCAGAATTTTTGTTTTATACGTATTTTTTCAAAGTGCGTTAAGTGTCTCCATGGTAAAAAATGTTGATGTACACTCTTAACGCATTTTGAAAAAAATGTTCAAAGTGCGTTGATTTTGTCCAAAATTTAACGCACTTTGAAAAAAAAATTCAAAGTGCGTTGATTTTGTCCCAATTTTAACGCACTTTGAACAATTTTTTCAAAGTGCGTAATTTTTTCAAAGTGCGTTGCCACAGAGCATCCCCTGCCGACCGGTCACACCAGCCGTACGCGTTTGCTCCTTGTCATGATCGGAAGTTAACGGAAAAATCCTTCTACAATTCAATGTGTAAAGAATGACCTAACAATTAGTACGAAAAACGTCAGTCAGCATATGACTTAATGATAGATTATATTTGCTGACAAGGTCAATTGTATCGACCATAGAACTTACGAAATGATGACTTTAAAAGAAACTGTTGATATTCTTGTTTCATCAACTTGTTTGTCAATAACTTACCTCGTTTTTGAAATTGTTCATACTTAGAGCATGCTCTTGCGTATCGAATCAAATGAGAGATACACACCCCATATGCAGGTGATAAGAGTATATTGCTGCGTAAGTAAGGGAAGTTGACGATTGAAAAGTCATTACGTTTATCATTAAGCTTTGTTGTTAGATTACCTTTAACGTCTCTTTAAGTAAAATATCCAAATATGAAACAGATGTAACAGACTCTGTGGTATCTTTTATTTCAAGCTCACTGGGATATAGTGTGTCGACATATGAATGGAAAAAAACTATTGTTAATCGATAATACGTCGTCGATATATCTAAATGTCGAGTTGAAGGCAACAGCAAGAGATTTCTTTTTCTCATGTATAAAATTTTGAATAAATTCTGCTTCATATAAAAACAAAAATTGGTCTGCTAACAACGGGGCGCAACAGATTGTTGGAAGCCGTGGTCTTCAAAAACCACATAGATATTGTCAATCAGAAACTCAAGCATCTTTTTAATATCAACTTAAGAGTACTTGTGTGTACAATCAGAATGTTTTTTAACAAAATAATTTTGCAAATGACCAATGACGAGGTAAGTAATTTACGAGTTCCATTTTTATTGAAAAAGCAGCTTCAATGATGTCAAAAAGCCTGGACTTAAATTTATCGCGGGAAATGGCTGTATACAGAGTTGAAAAGTCTCAAGTTTTTATTATTAATTTTGGTAAAATTTTGTGATTTCAAATTTTCCAAAAGTTCCTTGGAATTTTTAAGTATCCACATCTAATTTACAACACTTCTAGAATATATTGTTGCACAGTACTCCTGAAGTTTCTCCTTCACTGCTGTTAATATTTTAGTGAGGAGTAAAGAAAGAGGCTTGGTAGAGCATTTAATTTTCTGGAACCCGCTATGTATCTTTGTTTGTAAGGATTTTTATGAAGTTTTGGAATACTTCATAAATATGGTAATTCAAATTCATTTTGGGAATATTAAAAATATTCAAAATTGACGTATGATTTTGAAGAATTTCCTCCTTAGAAAGGGAGCTATGGGTATAAGCTGGATTGCCACTTCTACTTTTGTCACGTAGCTCAAGCGGTAGAGCGCTCTCTCCGTGATCGGAAGGTCGTGGGTTCGAGCTTCAGCTGCGACTGACCTAAGTTGATAAAAATAGGTAGCAACTGTTCCTTCGCCAAGCGTTTGGCACTTTGAAGTGAAAGTTGCGGGTCCTTTGGATGAGACTTTAAAAATCGAGACCCCATTGACAATTCAGTGTGAAAATAATGGCCTAACAATTTGTATGAAAAAGGACAGTCAATGACTGACATTCATTGATATATTATATTTGCTAACAAGGTCATTGTATCGACCATAGAATTTGCGAAATATTGACTTAAAACGATACTGTTGATATCATTGTATCATCAACTTATTCGTCAATAGCTTGCCTAATTTTATTCGTATATTTCTATGTTGTTTAACGTCCCTCTCGACAATTTTTCATTCATATGGAGACGCCACCACTTGCCGGTAGAGGGCTGCAAATTTATACCTATACTCGGCACTTAGGGCCATTGAGCAGTGAGGGTTTTTTTTTTCGTGCCAACACTTACTGCGACACGGGGCCTCGGTTTATACGGTTTCATCCGAAGGACTGGTCTCCACGTCCCGCAGTTGATTCGAACTCGCGATGTAAGGATCAGCTCCTTACTCCGCGACTCTAGAGCAGACGCTCTACCACTGCGCCACGCCGGCGACTGCCTTATTTTAGGAATTGTTCATACGTAGAACGTGCTCCTGCGTGTGGAATCAACTTGGAGACATATGTACGTATGTAGGTAATCATGAAATATTGCTAATGAAATAAGGGAAGTGGACGATAGAAAAGTAAAAGTCATTTCATTTATCATAAAGCTTGTTGGTAATGTGCCACCTAAGTCTTTTTCTAGTAAAATATCAAAATATGAAACAGATGTGTCAAGCACTTTGTTGTCTTTTATTTCGAGTTAACTGGGATACATCGAATCAACGTCGTCGATATGTCTAACTGTCGAACTGATGGCCATAGCCATTTTTTTATGATGTGTAGGAATCCTCTATAGGTAGGGTAGATCGAACTTACCTTTGTTGACTCGAATGTTGGAAGTATTAAAGACTGAAATTTGATTTTGAAGAATTTCACCGTTAGAAAGTGAACTGTGAGTATAAGCTAGGATTTCCAGTTGTAGAGTGACTCAGGTAAGCGCTGTGGCCCATGGTCATCTTGCCATATGTTTTCAATTTGTTAATTGAAAGCTTTAACTTTGGTAGTTTGTTTTCGTTTTTTTTCCCCAATGATTTGTAATAGATTGCATGCATTCTTAAGTATATTTATGACACCGGGTTCCAACAAAACTACCCTTGTTTACGGAATTTTGGACAACCCTCGTATAATTATTTTATATATTTATAATCTCATTTCTATTTGTGTGAGTCATAAAATAGGTTTAGTTGCTACATTCTTCCAGTTATTTAATGCTGCATAGAATGACTCGAAATTAATGATCAACCCTGCATTGCGATATTCTTTTTCATCAAAGATTTCACGATATCAAACATCTTAACAAGCACTTTTCGCAGACTTTCTGTCCTTTCCTCAAGAGTTCTTTTAGCTCACCTGAGTCAATTACCCAAGTGGGCTTTTCTGAACATTTTCTGAAATTTGTCTATTGTCTGTCGTCATTGTCATCGTAAACGTTTCCCATTTTCATCTTCTTCTCCAGAACCACTGGGCCAATTTCAACCAAACTTGGCACAGAGTATCCTTGGATAAAGGGCATTCAAGTTTGTTCAAATGAATTAAGTGCCCCACCCTCTTCAAAGGGGAGATCATTGAAGTAGTTAAAATTGGGATGGGTAATTTAAAAATCTTCTTCTCAAGAACGACTGGGACAGAAACAAATTAAGCTTATTTGAAAGCTTTCTTGTGTAGTGTTGGTTCAAGTTTGTTCAAATCATGACCCCCGGGGGCAGGTCGGGGCCACAATGGGCGATCAAAGTTTTACATAGAACTATGTAGAAAAAATATTTAAAATTCTTCTTATCAAGAATAACAAAGTTCCTTTGTTTCCATGACAAACAATATGATCCCAAAGTTAAATCTGTTTTACAGGAGGCATAGGGTACAATGGTTGCCATGTACTGGGAATTGTTGCCATGGGTTGATTAAGTACCAAAAAACTTTAATAAAACCAACATTTTATTGTCAATTTTGCTCAACCACATTTTTTAGACTTATTTTGAATAAGTCTAATAAGATTACATGAGTACACATCAAGATTAACTTTCTTTGCCTCGTTGCTATGGAGGACTTGTTGTTGCTAATAATATATAATTACACAATATTCAATAATTTGCTAGGAATTTGCTAGGAAGTCCAAATTTAATTCTACTATTTTAAAATTTGTTAATCGTTATTCATAGATAACAATTCATTTGCTTTTTCCGTAAACTTTTTACATTGTTTCTCATTTTATGTATCAAAATGCCCATATTTGTTGCTAGGCAACAGATTTCGATTTTCAAGAAGGCCCATGGATTTGACTTCAAATTCTAAAAAAGAAATTCCTCTGCTTTTATGTGAAATACATGCAACAACTGTATTAATCTGGCCTCTTTTTAAATTTGGCCTTGAATATTGCCAAAATCACGAAAAATGCTGAATCAGCAAAAATTGCAAAACATGTGTAACTTCCAATGTCTAGCACAGGACTAACTTAAGACCTAAATTTTTTTTTATTGCATTGTCAAAACACTTAAAATATGTATCTTTATTACACCAGTAAGTGAGAATAATTCTCATGGTATTTACATTTTATTTTAAGCCTTAAAGATAGGCGATATTTTGTCTACCAACACGTAAAATATTTGCTGGTTGCTAAGGAAAATTCTTTTGCCGGGTTTCCATGGTAACCATGACTCAAAACAGTTTTCATTTTACGTACATTGTTCATAGTTCAAAACAAATCTAAGAGTGGAAAATCATCAAATTCTGAGAACCCTCATACATCACCCTTTGTCTGATTTTTATGTGGACTGGTACTTAATAGAAATACATTAGAACATTTTTAAAATTCTTCTTTTCAAGAACATCATAGTCATGATTAATGATATTTGTATGGAAGCTCCATCAGATAGTGTAGATTCAAGTTTGTTCATATCAAGACCCCTGGGGTACGAGTTGGCCACAATGGGCAATTACAGTTTTACATAGTATTATAACTTTCAAAAATATACCAAATGAAAGCTACACTCTTCTATATTTCATAACTTAATTTACATTTTCCTATTACGCTTTTACTTTTTGCCAATACGTTTTTAAAGTCGATTGTTTATGTTTTACGCCATTACCAGTTTACAAGTCATGATTAATCATATTTGTATGGAAGCATCCTCAAGTAATGTAGATTCAAGTTTATTCAAATCATGACCCTTGGTGATAGGATGGGACCACAATGGGCAAACAAAGTTTTCCATGTGAAATGCATAGGAAAATCTTTAAAATTCTTCTCAAGAATAGCAGAGTAATGATTAATCATATTTGTAAGGAAGCATACTCAGGAAATGTAGATTCAAGTTTGTTCAAATCATGGCCCCGGGGGTAGGGTAAGGCCACTTAAGGCAATCAAAGTTTTACACAGGAATTCAAAGGAAAAATCTTTAAATTTCTTCTTTTCAAAAACAGCAAAGTCATGATTAATTATATTTGTATGGAAGCATCCTTTGGTAGTGTAGATTCAAGTTTGTTCAAATCATGGCCCCAGGGGTAGGGTAAGGCCACTAAGAGCAATCAAAGTTTTACACAGGAATTCATAGGAAAAATCTTTAAATTTCTTCTTTTCAAAAACAGCAAAGTCATGATTAATTATATTTGTATGGAAGCATCCTTTGGTAGTGTAGAATCAAGTTTGTTCAATCATGACCCTGGGGTAGGGTAGGGTAAGGCCACTACTATGGGCGATCAAAGTGTTACATAGAACTATGTAGGAAAAATCTTTAAAATTCTTCTTATCAAGAATAACAAAGTCATGGTTAGTCATATTTATATGGAAGCATCTTCAGGTAGTGTAGAATCAAGTTTGTTCAACAGTAGAATCAACAGAAGAATCAACAGTACCTCACGATGATTCCATATAAGTTTATTATTTTCTAGCACAGTGGATCTTGAGAAGAATTTTAAATGTTGCCATTACTTTTTTCACGAATTCGTAATTATCTCCCCATGGAAGAAGGCGTGGCCCTTCATTTGAACAAACCTGAATCTCTTTTACCCAAGGATACTTTGTGGCAAGTTAAATTGAAATCGACCCAGTGATTCTTGAGAAGATGAATATGTGAAAAGTTTACGATAACGACGACAACGATGACAGACAACGGACAAATTTCGATCAGAAAAGCTCACTTGAGTCTTCTGCTCAGGTGAGCTAAAAATTTGGAATGTTTCTAATGATCCATTCAAAATAAAAGCTTTACAAAGCTCTGCTTGCAACTATTTAAAACAAATATTTATTTTGATAATCAATAATTTAAAGAAAAAATAATTGCTGTTCTTCAAGTTAAAAACGAGGCATCTTCTCCATTAACCAACACCTCCATGTTAAAATGGAATAAATTGAAGAATTATAAAATATAATGAGTAACATAATTTGATTTGGTTTATTTTTCTTCTTTAACGGAGTCCTCCTGTTTGGATGGAAGGCAAGACACTATTTTAACTCGACATTGAACTCCTCCAATATAGACTTTGAGTCCACTGACTTGGAATAACATTAGGTGAAATCTTTCGTTGTATCCAGAGTCCGTCTACTTTTCTACACAGCACTATACAAAATTCAAATGCTTAAAAATGTCTTATTCTTCTCCAGAGTCCTTTAAACTGGATGATCAGGGTTGGTAAGTCTAATATAACAATGGATCCCAGTACGACGACGATGAAGACCATACCAACATAACCAGCGACGGAGGCGGATGTACGACTGTCGGGGGCGCTGATCTTTTTCATTTTTGTAGACGTTAATTCAGATGTGTTGACCTGCAACTCTTTTTTCATTTCGTTTATTTTGGAAAGAAGAATTTCTTCTTCGATCTCAGGTTGAGTATCAGCATTTTCCCAGAATGCAATCTGGTCCATAAACTCGCAGTCACAAGGACACATTTGATCCTCTGCTGTCTCGGTAGCTACAAAAAATGGAAATTCTTGTATTAATGAGTGCACTATTCCAAATTTTGTTTAAAGTGTACCCTTTCGGTGAACGTGATTCAGTAGCATTTTCCAAAGAATAATGTGTAATTTATATTTAGTTCCAAATCTGTAAGACAGCATCATTGAAAACTTCATAACTTTGTTGGAGTCGCCGCATGGCGCAGTGGTAGAGCGTCTGCTCTAGAGTCGCGGAGTAAGGAGTTGATCCTTACGTCGCGGGTTCGAATCCCACTGTGGGACGTGGAGACCGGTCCTTCGGATGAGACTATAAACGGAGGTCCCGTGTCGCAGTAGGTGTTGGCACGAAAAAGATCCCTCACTGCTCAATGGCCCTAAGTGCCGAGCATATAGGTCAAATTGGAGCTCTCCACCGTGAAGTGGTAGCGTCTCCATATGAGTAAAAAATTCTCGAGAGGGACGTTAAACAACAAACAAACAACGAAACAAAAATTTGTTGGAGGATATTGTCTATACTGTTACCGGAATCCGTTGATACAGGCAATGATGCGGTGGAATCCGTTGATACAGGCGTTGATATGGTGGAATCCGTTGATACAGGCGTTGATGTGATGGAATCCGTTGATACAGGCGTTGATTTGGTGGAATCCGTTGATTCGATCTCCAATGAATTTGTTGACAGACTTGAGGCAAGAGGGATACCGTCTGAAAATGTTTTCATACACGTGTTTGAACGTGTTTAAAAACATATACATGTAGTTTTTGTTAACGTTTTATTGTCAGTATTTTAAAGCCTATATTTTTAGTTTTTATCTCTAAAACACGAAGGACAAGGGAATCAAATATTGGGCATTAGCCTGTCTGTAAGAAAAAAATGTGACTAAATAACAAAGTAAAGTTTATGTATGTATATGAATAAAATGTGGTGCGTCTGTAGACTAGATAAGGATACAATATAAGTACATGTATCCCTATACATCGAGTTTTGAATAGAAGAGTACAAGTTGTTATCACTGTTACATGTACAACGCAAAAGGTAAGATTTCACCTGTAAAAATCACTTTAAAAAAGCTATTTCCCCATTCATATGATTTGATAAAGATTTTCACAATTTTATAAAAACATTCGGATTTGTGTATTCCTGTGATTGATTTTCAGTTTTAATGAGCGATATCTACTAAAAAAAAATTTAATAAAATACATGTAAACTCTCTTATAGCAGTTCTGAACGCCACCCCTCGTATAATTTTAGACCGATTTGAGTGAAACTTGGTACAACCACTGTAAACTAGATAAGGATACACGTATTGGTGCTTACGCACTGATTCTCAATTTAGCAGTGGTACAGTAAATAAAATCCTTACTCATGTAAATCTTACACGATACCAATTTTGATGCACCAGATGTGTATTTCGACAAATTAAGTCTCTTCAGTGATGCTCATGCCGAATTGTTGAAAATCCGAAATATTTAAAGAAAGAAAAGTTTTATTTAATTTGAATGAAATTTGGTATTTTTAAAGACTAAGAGAAGATTAAATATTTATATGCATGTGCATAAATTGTCAGACATTGACTGTTCTGAATCAAAAATAAGACAAAACTAAAAAAGTTACAAATTTTATGCATCAATTTTATAGTTTGTGTATGTTTTGCTATACAACACCACACTTTTTGGTCTCATGGCAACTCGGGAGTAATTAGGAGACATAAAGGTCGAAAGATACTGCCCATAATGCTGATCTGTGAGTCCTTGACCATGATCTACTTACTGAATTAATTACTAGTACGCTTTTCTTTTTACCAAACATCTTTGTTATAAGCATGACTCAGAGGTCAAATAAGACCTTTCATATTGTGTTCACCATATATTGGCATCTTTATCTCTGCTTTTGACTTAAACTTTGATGTTGTGATATTGAATGAAATCTTCAGTCTACATGTAAATGTTTTTCAATAATTTCATTGAAATCTGAAAGGTCAAATAGCCTTTGCATTGTTAATTGCCTTCTAAATATAAATAACTTTTAATGCATATTTGACCTTGATTTTTATATTCTACGGCACTCACAGCAAACGGCCACACAGACAAACAGATGTACATACTGATATAACATTCAGATACAATTTCTTTCGAGAGTAAAATAAGCCATGGAATATGATGTACTATATACATACTGGTAGCAGATAACACGCTACTTTCACACGTAACCTCTCTCTGGGAATCTAAAAATAATAATTAAAAAATATTTTATTAGCTCACCTGAGCTGAAAGCTCAAGTGAGCTTTTCTGATCACCCGTTGTCCGTCGTCCGTCCGCCTGTCTGTAAACTTTTCACATTTTCAACTTCTTCTCAAGAACCACTGGGCCAATTTTAACCAAACTTGGTACAAAGTATCCTTGGGGGAAGGGGAGTTTAAATTGTTAAAATAAAGGGCCAAGTCCCCTTACAAGGGGAGATAATCAAGAAAAGACAAAAATAGGGTGGGGTTATAAAAAAATCTTCTTCTCAAGAACCACTGGACCAGAAAAGCTGAAACTTATATGGAAGCATCCTGGGATAGTGTAGATTCTAAATTGTTCAAATCATGACCCCCGGGGGTAGGGCGGGGCCACAATAGGGAATCCAAGTTTTACATTGAAATATATAGGAAAAATCTTGAAAAATCTTCTTCTCAAGAACCACTGGGCAGAAAAAGCTGAAACTTATATGGAAGCATCCTGGGATAGTGTAGATTCTAAATTGTTAAAATCATGACCCCCAGGGGAAGGGCGGGGCCACAATAGGGAATCCAAGTTTTACATTGAAATATATAGGAAAAATCTTCAAAAATCTTCTTCTCAAGAACCACTGAGCCAGAAAAGCTGAAACTTATATGGAAGCATCCTGGGGTAGTGTAGATTCTAAATTGTTCAAATCATGACCCCGGGGGAAGGGCGGGGCCACAATAGGAAATACAGGTTTTACATTGAAATATATAGGAAAAAACTTCAAAAATCTTCTTCTCAAGAACCACTAGGCCAGAAAAGCTGAAACCTATATGGAAGCATCCTGGGGTAGTGTAGATTCTAAATTGTTCGAATCATGACCCCCGGGGGAAGGGCGGGGCCACAATAGGAAATACAGGTTTTACATTGAAATATATAGGAAAAATCTTCAAAAATCTTCTTCTCAAGAACCACTAGGCCAGAAAAGATGAAACTTATGTGGAAGCATCCTGGGGTAATGTAGATTCTAAATTGTTCAAATCATGACCCCTGGGGGTAGGGCGGGGCCACAGTAGGGAATCCAGGTTTTACATTGAAATATATAAAAATCTTCTTCTCAAGAACCACTGAGCCAGACAAGCTGACACTTATGTGGAAGCATCCTGGTGTAGTGTAGATTCTAAATTGTTCAAATCATGACCCCCGGGGGTAGGGCGGGGCCACAATAGGGAATACAAGTTTTACATTGAAATATATTGGAAAAATCTTTAAAAATCTTCTTCTCAAGAACCACTGGGCCAAAAAAGCTGAAACTTATGTGGAAGCATCCTGAGGTAGTGTGGATTCTAAATTGTTCAATTCATGATCCCCGGGGGTGGGGCGAGGCCACAATAGGGAATCCAAGTTTTACATTGAAATATATAAGAAAAATCTTGAAAAATCTTCTTCTCAAGAACCACTGGGCCAGAAAAACTGAAACTTATGTGGAAGCATCCTGGGGTAGTGTAGATTCTAAATTGTTCAAATCATGGCCCCTGGGGGTAGGGCGGGGCCACAATAGTTATTACAAGGCGGGAAGTCTGGTAATGAACAGCATGGCCAAAGTTACTCAGGTGAGCGATGTGGCCCATGGGCCTCTTGTTTTTACTTACCAGTCTAAGAGAGGATACATCTTAAATCACAAACCTAGGGAATGTTTCTATTAAACTTTGAAATTCACCAGTTGAATTTGCCTGCATATGAAATACTAGTGTATTGTAACAATATATAATGAAGCTGTTCCAATGAAGCAGAATGCTTCTTAAGCTATGAAAATAATATTGAAAATACTTGAACATCCGTTTTTAGTATCGTCTTCTGTACAGTAGCTGCAAATGGTGACAAACTTCTCATTGTTTGGGACGGTTTGCTCCTGCCATACTCCACCGTGACAGATTTCATACTTGTTACAATCACATCGCCCCTTAATCTGTCCCACAGTACAGACGTCTGTGACAACCAAAATCATATATAACTATTTACTAGCTTATTCGAATATAACATATGCATGATATATTTTACGAAATGTTAATTTTGAAGTTAGGTTTACACAACCAAATAGGATGAAATATATGGAGATAACGAACAGTATTCAAGCTCAAAAGTCCATTAATCAATACAAAATAGGAGCAGAGCAAACACGGACCTCCAAACATCAGAGGTGGGATCAGGTGCCATGGAGGAGTGAGCATCCCCTGCCGACCGGTCACACCCGCCGTGTGCTCCTTGTCATGATCGGGAAATAACAGAAAAATCCGTCGACAATTCAGTGTGTAAATAATGGCCTAACAATTAGTATGAAAAACGTCCGTCAGCATTTGACTCAATGATAAATTGTATTTGCTGACAAGGTCATTGTATCGACCATAGAACTTATGAAATGATGAATTTAAACGAAACAGCTGATATTTTTGTTTCATCAACTTATTTGTCAATAATTTACCTCGTTTTAGAAATTGTACATACGTAGAGCATGCTCGAATCAACTGAGAGATATATACCCCGTATGCAGGTGATGAAGGTATATTGCTGCATAAGTAAGGGAAGTTGACGATTGAAAAGTTAAAGTCATCACGTTTATCATAAAGCTTGGTTGTTAGATTACCATTAACGTCTTTTTCAAGTAAAATATCCAAATATGAAACAGATGTGTCAGACTCTGTGGTATCTTTTATCTCAAGTTCACAAGGATATATCGTATCGACATAAGAATGGAAATAGCCATTGTTAATTGACAATACGTCGTCGATATGTCTAAATGTCGAGTTGAAGGCCACAGCAAGTGTTTTCTTCTTTTCACGTACAAGATTTTGGACAAATTCTGCTTTATATGAATACAAAAAAAGGTCTGCTAATAACGGGGCGCAATTGGTACCCATGGGAATTCCAATAGATTGTTGGAAGACCTGGTCTCCAAAAATCACATAGATATTGTCAATCAGAAACTCAAGCATCTTTTTAATGTCAACTTCAGAGTACTTGTGTGAACAATCAGAATGTTTTTTAACAAAATAATTTTGCAAATGACCAATGACAAGGTAAGTATATTTACGAGTTCCATTTTTATTGAAAAAGCAGCTGTCAATGATATCAAAAAGCCTGGACTTTAATTTATCGTAGGGAATGGTTGTGTACAAAGTTGAAAAGTCGTAACTTTTTAAGCTGTTGATTTTGGTAAAATCTTGTGATTTCAAATTTTCCAAAAGTTCCTTGGAATTTTTAAGTATCCACATCTGATTTACACCACTTCTCGAATATATTGTTGCACAGTACTCTTGAAGTTTCTCCTTCACCACTGTTAATATCTTAGTGAGGAGTAAAGATAGAGGCTTGGTTGAACATTTACTGGAACCCGCTATGTATCTTTCTTTGTAAGGATTTTTATGAAGTTTCGGAATCCAATATAAATATGGTAATTCAAATTCATTTTGGTTGTTTGGAATATTAAAAATATTCAAAACTGACATATGATTAATATTCCAATAAAATTACAGAAAAATGCCTTTCAATCGAGGAATATTGGAAGCTAGCTTCAGGAATGTCATCTCACACATTACTATTAGACTTTAAGGTGAGTCTTTTTAAGAAATCTTTATACCACCTTGGCCATTGAAAAATATTAGATATGCAGAAAAAAAACAAAAGAAAATAATTTTAAAATAAAATAAACTTTGAAAATGATGAATAATATATATATATATATATATATAAATCTGGGAACAAGGCATAAAACAAGGACCCTAGGCAATTCCAGAGGTGGGAGTATCTCCTGTTGACCGGTCACACCCGGCGTGAGTGCTATGTATTGATCCGGTAGACGGGACATAAACACGTCAGCCAAAGTACGACCATATGATATGTTTTACGTTGTATTTGTTAAAAACGTTATCATAACGACCCTAGAATCTACAAAATGATGAAATATACGAGTATGGAGAAAACAGTGATCGATCTCTTAGATTATATAAAGAATAAATATCGAGAACGGGGCAAAACACGGAGATTTAGAGATACAGTGCCTAAGATGAGAGGTATCCCATGTTCACCGGCCACATCCGCTGTGTGCCATAAACTTTGATAAGGAAAAAGGAGAAAATACAGTTAAAATATGTATGAAAACATGATTCGACCCAAAGATAAACTTTATTTGCAAACAAGGTCATTATAACGACCATAGCATTCGCGAGATGTTCCCTTTCAATGAGACTGTTGAATCTCTGTAGCAGCAACCTCTTTGGCAGTAGTCTGCCAAGTTTAAAAGTGATAGAACTCAAAAACATGCTCTTGCGTACCGAATCATTTTGGAAGCATGGACATTATATGCACGTGATAATGGAATGTTGGTACAAATACTGAGTATGTGGGAAGTTGACAACGGAAAATCTGACTTCTCCTCTTTTGTCATATAGTTTAATTGTTAGTTTATCAATAAAGTCTACATTCAGAAACATCCAAATATGAAAAAGGTATCGTAGACTCCCTAAATTTATATTTCGAGTTTTGTGTATATATCTCGTCAACATATGAATAAAAATAAATACTGTTAATTGATTAAATGTCTTCGATTCATCTAAATGTCAAATTTAAGGCAACAGCAAGAGTTTCTTCTAACCGTATAGAAGTTATAAGGAGGTTCGATCCTGAGCTTTTAAGCAGATATTTTGTACCTTTATTTCTAAAATTCTACATCATATCTTAGTTCTTACATTTAATTTGGATTCTACAATACTATATTCAATTAAAACACCAACTATTAAATTGCATGTAAAAAACATTAAGTGAGGAACTAGATTTTGTGGCGGAAGGTTTTTTCTTAGAAGAAAATGATCAATTTTTGAATTCTCTTTCGAGGTATTTCAGTACTGTTAAGTAGTTTTGATTGCTATTTTTCCATGCAGCCAGCACACATTTGTGTAGTGAAATGTTTTTTGCTGGTCCTGAAATACATGTATTTATTAAATCAACCTTTACGAATTCTATCATCATTTTATAACAAATATAGCAAATATATACTGAAAGTCTAGGGGAAAATAGGATCAATTTAAACTGGAAATTAACACTTTTCAGTACTATTTTGAAAATATACGTCATAGACCCCCACTTTTGATTTTCTTTTCTGAATATATAAGATAACTTCGATCATTCTGCTTAAATTCAGTAAAAGTTTAAGGCTTTAAAATTGTTTTCTTGCTTGTTAAATTATTTATGACAGAAAAATGTCAAATTTGAGCTCAGAAAGGTCAAATGATTGATTATGCAAAGAAATTGAAACTTTTCTTCGTCACAATTTTTAATGTGTCTTTTCAAGATAGATTAAGAGTAAATTTGTCCCATGGTTTATTCGGATAAAAATATTGGAGGATAAACTTCGAAGTAGTGAATTATGTTAAGACACAATTTCAGTCCAAAAAGGTCACATTAAATGTACCACAGCGCCATAAGAAGCGTGTTGACCCCCATTTTTTGTTTTGATTTTTAATTAAGCTATGTGTGTAGATGCTAAAAATATACTTGACAAAAAATTCTCAAGACTTTTGATAGCAAGATCCAACCTCCTTCAATAAATTCTGCTTCATAAAAATGCAAAATATATAGGTCGATTAATAAAGAAACATAATTTATGCCTATTGTAATTCTAACAGATTGTTGGAAGACCCGGTTTCCTGTCAAGGAGGAACTCCAGCATCGTTTTAATATCAACTTCAGAGTAATTATGTAGAATGATGAAGTGTTACTTTATAGATGACTTACCACAAGATAAGCGATCTGTGAGTTCCAATTTTATCGAAGAAGCAGTAGTCTATGTTGTCTTTAATTGATTGTCAGGAATGGTAGGGTGAAGTGTTATGAAGTCAAACGTTTGAATGAAGATGCATTAGGGGAAATAAATAGTGATTTCAAGATCTCCAAATACTTTAAAATTTATGAGAATCAATACCTAAGTAATTATAGCAAACGGACGCGTAAATTACAACGTCCTAACCCTTAATCTTCAAAGCACCATTTGAGCATATAAATCTATGGAACAAAAATTTGCTTTTAGGATCACTCATCAAAGTCATACTATAAGCAATTATCTTGCAAAAAATAAAATATTAAACTGAATAATTGTCTTAAAAGTACTCCAAATATGACACGAAACTTCATTTCTTCTGTCATGCATCAAAATTCAATGTTAGTGATGACGAATAAGTACGTGTATGAATTTTTCTTCAGATAGGGAGTACGTCACTGTGTGTGTATGGACACTGTACATGTAGTATTCCATAGTCACCGTGAGTAAGGGGCTTAAAATCATACACAGAACATAATGGACATAAAAGTCACATATCAGAACATTCATCAATCAAAAATAGCTATTTAATCTTATTTTCATCATATTTGATTAATTAGCAATAGCTTCATTAAGTTAATACATATGATGATGATTCAATTAGATTTTTAATAGAAAAGACAGTTTCAATAAATGTTTATGAAATCGCTTATTCTTGAGTCGTACTTTGATTGATATGTCTTATATCAATTGTTACATAAGTGAACATTCACTCACACACACACACAATATATATATATATATATATATATATATATATATATATATATATATATATATATATATATATATATATATATATATATATCAGGTTATAGTTACCACTTTGTCCTTGAATATGTCCAATCATTAAAATGGCAAAAGGTAGAAATCCTTCATTGTTGACCATTTTTGTTGATTCAGAATCGATGGCTCAATAAATGAAGTAAATCGTATAAAATCTCTAGAAATCAATGTTTATTTTCAAATTTAATCTATTTCTTTTTAGGACCCTCCATATACTTATGAAAAAGGTTTCTGGACTTTGAGAAAATTATACAACCTACTGTAATGGAATACAAATTAAAATTATATAGTTCATTTTTAACATAGGCTGCGTGCGTTTTTTACCCAGGAAAAAAGCCTTGAAAGACAACGAAGTACTGATAAAGAAAAATCATGTTTGCTTACTCAAATGAGAAAATTCATACAAAAAATGTTTCCATTTACTCCTATTTGGTCTAAAATAATGTCCACAATACTTAGATTAATTACAGTGCAGATTGCAATTTACCCAGGAAAAATCTTGAAAGACCATTAAATACTGATGAAGAAAAATCATGTTGGCTTACTAACTTGGGGAAAAACATACAAACAATGTTTCCAATTTTCTCTTTTTTGGTCTAAAGTAATGTTTAAAATACTTTAATTACTTACAGTGCAGATTGCAATTTATTCTTTATTTAATCAAATGGTGAATCAATCTAACTACACAGAAATACTCTGAAATTAGTGAGCAGTGTCTAGAAGCTCCTTCACGTTAATATTTTTAAGTCAATGTCAAAGTAATAAAAATTTTGTTAATGTTTGATTAATGTTAAGAATGTTAAGATTGCAATTAACATGATTCGTTCCGAGTAAAAAGTAACAAACAAAATAATTTATGAGCTTGGCAAAAGTGAATTTCCTCCTTCAATTCGATTACAGTATTTTACTGAAAATTATTGAGATATAATGATATAAAAGTGAATAGGATTAGCAAAACATGTACTTACTCACAAAAAAAGTTCTACCATTTTGTCCACTACAGCGAATGGGGTTTTTAATGAACGCAGTGGAATACATTCAAAAGCATTGTCATGTTTTAAAAAGCAATGTCGATATTATGACATGCATCAATTAATAATAATATTGATGTATATTTCAATAGGAAGATAGGATTACCAAAGCTTTTCATCCGTGTTCAATGGTAAATGAATGAACATGAATTAATCTTTTTAATAATTGGCAGACTCATTATATCTAATTTGCATTTTAAAAAAATATTGTAATTTGAACATCAAACTGGGAATATCTGGAGATGTGAAAGCTGATTAAAGATAGTAAATTATGCAATTTATATTCGTGTAATTTTACACTTTAACAAAGTTTGTTACAGATTGTGATAAAGAGAACATGTCTTTGTGCAAAACAAGTTAATGAATCATTAATTCAATATAATCAAACTTGATAAATAATTTATTGGAAACCTTTTGAACATAGCGATGACATCAATAAAAATTTAGCACCTAGGTCCAAAAGGGGAACATACATTTTAAAGACACTTCTGGAAGCAATTAGAATAATATTGCTTATTCAAACCACACATTCACTCTCATTAAAATTTAAAATAAAGACTTTTTTGTCATTTTAATATCCGTGTCTTATCGATATTGATGATGAAATAGGTGAAAATAACAAACAGTGATCGATCTCGAAAACCCTAAAAACAATACAAATCTGTGATCAGGACATAAAATACGGACCCCTGGAAATTCCAGAGGTGGGATCAGGAGGAATAAGCATCACTTGTCGACCGGTCACATCCGCCTTGAACCGTGTATGTACAATGTGAAGATAAAAAAAAAACACCGACACCGATCAATCTCATAAATCCAGTAAACAAAAATAGTCTTTAAAAAGGCAAAACATGGAAACCTTGAAACACCAGAGGTCAGGTGCCTAGGAGGAGATGAATTGATCCAATAGACGGAATAATACGAGGTTAAATTTAGATTAGTTACAATGGCCCAACAATTGATGTGAAAAATATCAGTCAAAATACGACCAAATAATAGGTTGTATTTGCTAACAAAAACATTATAACGACCATAGAATCAACGAAATGCTGACTTTAAACGAGTTTGTTGAAATCCCTGTAACATAAACTTGTCTGTCAATAGCCTGCCTAGGTTTAATACTTGATCGTACTCAGAGCATGCTCTTGAGTATCGAATAAGTTGGAAGCCATAAACACCATATGCAGTTGATTGTGAATGTTACTATATAAATCAGGAAAGTTGACGATGGAAAAGCTGAAGTCTAGTTTGTCATACAATTTAGGTGTTAGTTGCCCTTATCGTCTATAGTCAGTAAAACAACCAAATATGAATCAGATGTAGCAGACTCTGGGGCGTCTTTTTTCGAGTTCACTGGGATATATCGAGTTGGCATATGAATAGAAATAGCTATTGTTTATTGATAAAACGTCGTCGATATATCTGAATGACGAGTTGAAGTCCACATTAATTGGGTTTTTTTTTATCTTCTGATGAATTCGTTTTTGAAAATTAAATGTTGTTTTATAAGATTATAGAAACAGGGCGGCTAATAAAAGGACACTAGTAGTGCCCATCAGTATTCAAACAGATTGTTAGAAGACCTGGTCTCAAGATTACATAGATGTTGTGAATGAGAAACTCCAGCATTCTCTTAATATCAACTTCGAGTACTTATTCGTAGAATCAGAATAATATTTTACAAAGTTATTTTGTAGATGATCCATCATAAGATATTATGTATGAAAACTTCTCTTTATTCATTTTCACGAAGTGTCGAAGTCAGTTCTTCCCCTTCATATTTTGCTTATCGTCTGGCATACTCTTCGAAAGAATTCATATAAGTGAAACTCTTTCGCCTTATGAGATATCGGGGCTTCCTGAATTTCGGACCTGTTTAAATGATTGCTTCCAGATCATTTTTTCAACTACGTTTCCACCTCCTGTATGCTGTGTCCAGCAGAAGCACACAGTTTAAATAAAAGGAAGAACAAGAAGACCTAGGTGGATTTTTAATTTAAAAAAAAAATTATTGAGGTCTATTATTATTTTTTTTTTGTCATTCATATTTTATTTCTGTCGTAACATGTATTTTTTAAACAAACATTACAAAAACTACATGTACAATAACATGGTATAAATACAAATATTCTACATGATAGACAAAAAAAAAGAAATCCATTCGAACAATTTTGAAAAATAGACAGCATATATTCTTTTTTAATTTTTCTGTAACATTATCCCTGAGGTCAATTAAATAGCCTTCAATATTGACTTCATTACATCTGGCTTCGATAAAAATTGTCCTTTTCTGGTAGCTCATTGACATTGTAATTTAATCAGTGTTTGTATAATATTGGATATATGTTTTAAAGCAGTACTTCCATGTGTCCATGAATTATTGAAATAGAAATTCTAAATTTGTTCTCTCTTTCAGCCATTTCAACGCATTTGTGTCGTTATTTGCTCCCAGTTGAGGAGTTACTAATTTATCCACCATTGTATAGTAGTCTTTTAACCAAGAAATCTGTAAAGACATTATAAAACATATATTTCCACTCTTTTCAGATGTTTAGAAACATGATAATTATAAAACTATTATAAAATTATAAACTTTGTATTAAAGGTTTCCATTGAGTGCTAGCCTGACCTAGATACATAATGTGTTCAAATTTTCATCATCTATTCGACTATTCAGAAACGCAATATTTTTTCAGCTTTGATTTCTCATTTAGCAGGTCCCCCGAAATATGACCTTTTATTTTTTAAAAAAATGTAAATAATTTGTAATGTATACCTGATCATCTGTTAACAACTCTGGTTTTATAAGTTTGGATTCATATGGCAAAAACACCAGTTGTTCAAAAGCATAGCAGGGCTCAGAACAATTTCCCTGAAGAATATTTGCAAATATATCTACTATTATTCGAAATTGTGTTAAGTTTTCACAAAATAATGTATTTCTTCTACGAATGTGTGTTACTAAATCGATTCTAGCATTTAGGACCACTTACCTTAATGATAAGCATTGTGTTTTCTATTCGCATGCCAAATTCTCCTTTCCCATAAAAGCTCGGTTCTGGATTATGAAAAAAGACACTCACATTAAGTTGGTTAAAAAGTGTGACGAATAAAATAAATTCAAGTAAAGTATATGGATATGATAAGGATAAATGTAAAATTGAAATGAAAAGATAACAAAAAAAAAAGAAAAAAAAGAGTGATCATTATTAAAAGAAAACAGCACAGGTTATTACATGTAGCACAGGCCCGTAGGAAGCAATTTCAGTTGGAGGGGGGGGGGGCACAGCCAATCCTGCCATACATTTTCAGTTGAGGAGCATTTAAAAAAAAAAAAAAGGTCATCAGACGTTTTTATTGAGGGGACATAGGCATATAGTATCTATGTTTTCTATAGTAATCTATATATCGGCAGAGGTGGGATCAGGTGCCATGGAGTAGCAAGCATCCCCTGACCACTGGTCACACCCGCTATGTGCTCCTTTTCATGATCGAGTAACCGAAAGAAAATCCTTCAGTGTGAAAATAATGGACAATATGCACGAAAAACGTCAGTAAAATATTCAATTTAAGACAGATTGTATTTGCAAACAAGGCCCTAGTATCGATCAGAGAATTTACGAAATGCTTTATACGATCAAAAAAAATCTACAAAGAATACATATCTGTGAACGGGGCATAAAACAAGGATCCCGGAAATTCCAGTGGTTGGATCAGGTGCCTTGGAGGAATAAGTATCCCCTGTGGACCGGTCACACTAATTTGTCAATAGCCTACCTCGTTTTAGAGATAGTTCGTACGTAGAACATGCTCTTGCGTATTGAATCAACTGGGAGACGTAAATTGATTATGATATATTGCTACATAGATAAGGGAAGTTGACGATAGAAGAAATGAAGTCATCTAGTTTAAGATAAAGTTTGTTTATCATTTTAACATTCATACTTTCTCAAGTACAACATCCAAATATGAAACAGATGTGTCAGACTCTGTGGTATCTTTCATTTCTAGTTCAAAGATATATATCAAATCAAAGTAGGTATGAAACTGAATGATGAATGCTGAAACGTCGTCAAATGACATGTAAATATCCAAAGCTACTGTTAGCATTTAGAGCGAGATTTACCATTTGAGAAAACCATGCCCTCTTTCAGTGTATAATCACGCCAATCAGGAGTCGTAATTAAATCTTGTGGCTGTTTACAAGTGTCTGAAATTCAAATGAAACAAGTATTGTTATTTCCTTTTCTGTGTATAACAACATTTCCATGGATTAAAAACATATAGAAGTAAGACAACTTACTCTCATTTCATTCATTTATTTAACCAACAATTCCAGCAAGGCAAATATTGTTACCCTGCATATACTTAACGCCGGGGATAATATTTTTTAAATATTTCTGGCATATTGTGGCAAGACCAGAAATAAAGACTAAGAAATTTTTCCGACGAAAACGCTAATACCATGATTTTAATCGGTATGTAAAATATTGGAAAGTAGATGATGGATTTTCATTTCAGAAGATAAGAATTAGCAGATAGGCATTAGTCTTACAGTTATCACAGTCTTCATTGAAAAGGGATTATTGTAATCATTAGCAGAAAGACTCGAAAGATTAAAGTATTATTGGTTACATAAAATAATTTACACCTCATCTTCTTTGTAAGTTGAGTTCTCCGACCGTTCAGCATAACTAGCATAGATCGATTAACTCTCTCCAAGCGCTTATGCTTAGAAATGCATCGGGATTTTATTTATTTCACGCATTATCATGTAATAAAGAAATTGCCCCTTCTTTAACCTAGTATATTTTAAAAAATGGAAATAGAGGGGGACAAAACATTTATTTGCAAAGATACTGTGAGAAGTGATCCAAATATTTTGGGAAGGTAAAAAAATTATCACAGTCCATGTGTGCTTTCACAGACTTAGCTAGTTGCTTAATTGATGACACTATACTGAAAGCAAACTAAGAAATAATTCATTTTATTTCTGTCATCTTTATCACAACAAAGTTGCTCAGATCCAAACTTTACGAAAATAATCTTCGTTTTTTAACCTTTTTTCAGACTAAGTGCATTCTGCAAAGGACATATGCACTAAAACAACTTAGATGAAAGACTGAATTCGAGAAAAACTAGTGTCCGGTTTCAGTCATTCATTAATCACATCGGAATCAACCTTTACCATTAAAAAAAACTTCACAAATAATTTTTTTTAATTTTAAATATAGGATTTATTTCAAATTTTCTTAAATTTCTGCCCAAACCGTTCATAACTTCAATACATTTATTAATCACTATTCATATTTTTTATATACGTAATATTAATTAAAGCTTTTCGTTTTAGTCTGACTATTTTTAAAGAAAGAAGTGTAGCTACGCTTCATCAAATGAAATTTAAATTAATATATAGTAAATTTGTATTTGTCGTAGAGCGTATGATCTTAGCATTCATTTTAAGTTCAAATTTGTGAAACTATAGTTTGTATAAATATCTATAGTTAATAACTTACTGCAATCAAATATATGTCTGTCCAAAGGAACATCGCTTTTCCAGTCTGCAGAGGTGTTAGAAATGGATGCTGGACCTAGAATTTAAACAAAGTTTGAAGCATATTTTGGAGAAGTTTCCTTTTCCTTTTTTTGGCAAAATGGAACAACATTCAACAACACGATGTTATCGATCTCAAGGCCTTATTTCCAAATTTCCTTTTCCCAATTTTCATATTCTTAAATCTAAATAGAAAACATTTATTTCATTTTAGGACAAATGTTTAGTTTATTATCCATGTGAGAGAACATGACGTATTAAAAAGCCCTTGAAACTGATATTTAAATCTGCCAAGGTATTGGGTAACTTTTAAAGTATTGACATTATTGTAATAATTATTAAGTAATTTTCATGAAATGGAGAATTCAGAAGAATTGCAAGAGTGGCAGTGCAGACTCTACCTTCTACAATGGCACCATAAGCAGCTACCATATGTCCTATTTCATGTGGAAAATCGACACCTATTTCTTGAAGGGGTTCTCTCATTTCTCTCGTATCTAAATCACGACCTGTATATTACAAAGGTAAAAATGGTTATTTTCAAAAACAATCTTTACCTAAAAACTTACTCATTTGTTTTGAATTCTAAACTCAGATCACCTGTGCTTCCTACTGGAAATGTCTTCTTTGCTAGATTAATGTGTGTCATCAACAAACGTGTGTATATATCCTACAGAGAATTTTATGTTATTAATTAGAAATAAAAAAAATATGATTCCTTCTCTATCCACTATAAAATTATTCAGACAAATAAAACAAAATATCAATTAAAAAAGAAAAAAAAACAAAACATCAAAAATACATTCAGTGATTTTCATTGCTAGTTTTGTTTTTTCTTGTTTAAAGTTTTTAAAAAACTGTTATGTCTAAAATTAACTTTTTAAAAAGATCTTACTAATCAACATTAGAAAGTTACTTTTTGCCTCTCTGAAGGAGTTCCATACACAAATGAACGAGCGATATCCGTGGTGCCATCCCTATGAAAGAAATGCTTTACTGTGACTAAGTTTTACATTTCTGCATTCATGGTTTACTTTATTCAGTGTATACTTACAAATATTGTGCGCCCATGTCAAAAAGTAAGACATCTTTTTCTGTGATAACATCGTCAGTAATTTTTGGAACCATCGGAAGAGCAGTGGAACCAAAACCAATCAGAGAAGTGCCACTGGGACCTCTATTGAAAAGGACGTTCCTACAAATATATTTAGATGCAAAATATTGATAGAATTTCCAAAATTTCTTTTTCTTTAACCCAGAGAATTGTATTTTAAAAAATGACCATTCACTTTTTATGTGAGACAATGATATTCGGTAAATTAAATGTTTGGAATCTCTGAAAATTACCGTAAGAAAATGTACTTTTTGATTGGTGAAATATTACTGCGAGTCTCTTTTTGGGGTTACAATATGCAGAGGGCACTCAATATATAGAGGATAATGATTAATTTTAGATACTCACTTTCTTAACTCCTTTGTTTCAGCTTCAATTTCTTGCACGCTCAGAACTTCTCCATTTTTCATCTTTTTGGATTCATGTGAAAATAGTGATCTTTATCTCAATGCTATTTTAAGTAAATCTCTTCTAACAATGTGAGTACATTTCTCTACTTACCCTTTCCTCTAGTCCAGCAAAATAGGAAGATAAGAACACAGATTCTCGTAGCTGTAAAATAATTCATTCAGTTTGGGGAGTTTTTTTGTGTGTGTGCCTGAGTGAATTTAACTTTGATATTGTTTTCATCATAAAGTCTTGGGTTAGAAAATTTATTCAGATATATTCCATACATTCTTATCCCAACTCTGATATTTCCATTGGTCTATGTTTGCTTTGCTCTCATTTTCTAATGTTAAATAAGACTTCTGAACATGAGAACTATTCGTTATCTTCACATTTTATATTGTTAGACTTCTAGGAAACACGTTTAAAAAGCAAATAATGTACCGTGGAGTTCTTTTTCCCTTGTATCTCACCATCGTTTTTCGCTGCTTTAAAGATTAAAGGAGGTGAATGTTCCATTACAAGTTTTTCCTGTAACAAAATTCAAATCCGTTTAAATGAAAAGAAATTTTTACAGATACATTAATATATTAAATAAATGATTTTTTAAAACTGAACTACTTTTTACAGGTAATTTAATCTTACCTTTGGAATTTCCATAACAAATGACTGGCTGCTCTCCCATGAAACCCAAACTTTTCGAATACGTTCATCATGGGATAATTTACGGATGTCATCTTTTAACACACTAGGACTATATTCTTTTACCTCCACACAATTACCTCTGTCACTCATGACTTCACTTATTCTCTCACATCTTTCTACACTATCGTCTCCATACTTGTTTGTATTCGAAAGGCATTTCCAGTGAGCACAACTGCCATTTTGAGACGTATTGAGGAACTCGTGGATTTTTAGATCCTCCAATTCACAGTTTTGTGTAAGCTTCTTTTCATGGTTAACAATGTAAAGGCTACTCATATGTAAGAATAAAATAGTTAACTTATTGCTTGTTAAAAAACTCATGAAAAAACTATTTGTACATGCATACCCCCCCCCCCCCCCCCCCACCCCAAGCAAAGATTAGGAATTCATAAATTATCATTTATTTTGACATCTTAGAAAATCGAATTCCAGCCAATATCTCTTACGTATCATCTTTATTAGCATTAGACTCACATATTAATGAAATGGGGTATATCATAGATAACACAAAGACACCAACAACCACAATATCATTATATAAATGTATGACCCCACCCTATTTTTTAGTATTTTAAGTAAAATCACTGACTATACAGGACTCTAAAGTTTAGAAAAACTGAAATGAATGAAACAAAGAATATCAATGACTAATGAATCAGTCTTAAAATCTGTGAAATATTTCCAAATGCATTTTAGTTAAGCTTTTAGTAGATCATGCCATATCAAGTACTCAATAAACATACTTGGATAAAAAATTTACCTTACATCACTCGTTCTGGCATTTATAAGGCAAAAAGAGATAAAATACGGGTCAAAAGTGAAGTCTCTTGCTCTGATATTAAATAACCCTGTAAAATAGTGATAAATACATTAGATGAATAAAATACGAATAAATCAAAGGGCCTTAACGAGAATATCAGGATGAATAACAGAAATTTTTTCTATGTATTATAATTTTTTGTCAAAAGCATGATTGAATCAAATACATGCCTTTCAACTTCTCTGTTGTTAAAGATAGTCAAAGTCAATATTCTTTATAACTGAATACCAGTGCTTCTCCTATTTTAGGGGCTTTTCATGATAATTACAAATTTAAAAAAAATTTTCTTTATTTACATAAGGAAGCATCTTTATAGAAATGTTTTCAGTAAGTATTGGTTTAAAATAAATGAAAGAAAGAAAGAAATAATTTAAATTATATGAATACTCACGAATGTCAAAAGAAGTTCAAAGACATGTCAAGGGTTATACCTCAATGAGCCTCTTGAATATGACTCAAATTCTTGCCTCATTATTAAATTGTAAAGTTTTGTCACTTTTTGAGCACATACTGTAAAGGTTTGCTACTTACAAGCTATTTCATCCAAATTAGTCAGTACTAAAACATCAGCATTCTTTTCTCCCATCATGTGCATCGTCCGTTTAATTTTGCTTTGCCAAGTTTCGCCTGCAAGGGGAGAAAAAATGTCAAATGTTTTAATTTAATGCATTAATCAAACATATTTATTAAGCAATCGAATACCGATGTTTTAATAGTTCTGGCATAGTATTACGATGCAAAAGAGATGTCAACATTTTCAAAATTCTGTTAATAATAGTACAATCGTAAATAATCTTGCAGACTTTCTATATAAGTCTAGTTTTCAGAATAAGGTTAGTTTTTGAGAAGTTATACCTACTTTTCCTAAATTTTATTTCTTTTAATTTAATTTCTATGAACATCATAGTATAATATCATAATAACATGTACATGCTCATATTCGTTTGAATTTACCTGTAAATTTCAGTGGAAGTATGTGAATAGGTGAAGATGGTAACGGAGGTCTGTCGTCCGTCCATACTAAATCAATAAAATCTGGATACACTGGAACAAAATCGATCTTTTTCTCTGCAAATACTTTTTCAAAATTTTTCCACCAAACTAAAATGAAAAATGGACCAGATTTACTGAACTTAATCACGCTGCTTAAGTAAACTAACAAATAAATCTTGGATAAAAATCTTCATTGGGTCCAACAAAGGTATAAAATGGTTAACTTTCAAATTTCCTCTTTGAACGGGGAGTTGTGCATCCGTAAGGGCATTCATTGCATTCTCAGAAAATAAATACCATGTCAGTTTCGTATAATTATAAACTGAAGGTTCGATTTTTTTTTTGTCGTTTATCATGTACAAAAGTACCAGAAACTTGGGCTCCATTATACCAAGACTGCAGAGTTCAGTTATTTCTAAAATCCATAGTAAAAGTAGCTTTTCTTAGTTACCTTCTAGGGCCTTTCGAAGGCTTGGAAATATTACGCAATCGTCCATGACAAATCCCTTTTCACAAGATTTGAAATAAATGTTGAGAGACCTCTTTCGTATAGAGTCTGGAGCTAAACTTCATTGGATTCAAAAAATGTCAGTTGGAAGTGCGATCGCTCCATGATCGGAAGGTCGTGGGTTCATACCCCGGCCGCGACTGACACAAGTCGATAAAAAATAGGTAGCAACTGTTCCTTCGCCAAGCGCTCGGCACTCTGAAGTAAAAGATGTGGGTGTTTTCTGCGGATGTGACCTTAAAAACAGATCTAGAGACCCCGTGTCGCGGTAGGCACTGGCACGAAAAAGATCCCCCACAGCTCAATGTCCCTGAGTACCGAGTAATCGTCTAAAGGACAAGGTATGTAACGACCAATCTTACCCCTTATGTGATGTAAAAGTCAGAACACAGTTAAAACTGTTATAGTTTATTGTGAAGAACTAAATATGATGCTTGTTTTATAACCAACACTTATTTTGATTCAACGCTTACACGGAGGTCACAAGAGGGTGCAGAAGTAGATTATTTTCCCGAATTTCCTCAATTCTGGTGGAATTTCGAACAATTTGAGATACTTTTTACTTCGGGAAACATACTGTAAAGCACAAGCTTGCCTATCTGAGATTTTGTCATACAAAATGCATCTGATACTAGTGTATGAAATATATAAGTTTGGTAGATAGGCAAGCTTGTGCTCTGTGTTTTCTGAAACAAACAGTGCTCTAAAATCGATGAAAATTTGTATAAAAATGAGAAAAATCGAAAAATGACATGTTTTCTGACCTTCCTGTGAACTCTGTATCCCATAACTTAGAACCAATACTCATTTTGTGGCAGGGGTGACACCAGGTTTCTATTGACAAACTGTTGCATCTTTCTAAATGACACCCCAAACCAGGGGCCAAGAAAGGGTCTTAGCCTATCTTGTCTTTTGAACCCTTCGCCAGTATATGGTGACGTCTCTATATGAGTGGAAAATTCTCGAATGGGACGTAAAAACACAATTAATAAATCAATCATTGAATGGAAAGTACGATATAGCCTGAAATTTACTACAGATGAGACAATCTACATTAATTGATGGGAAGCAACTCCATTTTGTACAAAATTAATTTCCGGTGATATAAAGTCTTTCCGAGCTAGGAGAAAAGTGCAAAGTGGATGGGATTTCTAAAAGACAATATCACACTGGAGTATTTTAAACCAGATGCCCATTGGTTCTATCGATCTCTTAAATATAAATTATATTTTCCACCTCAATATAGATATTACATTTAAAGACAGATTCCTTGAAGCACAAAGATGCCATTGCCAACGTGAAGGCCACTCGAGTATTGAAAACCCAAATCCCCAGTGCAAAACTACCTTCCTATTTATAATTAATCGATTCAGCAAAATGAACCAAAGGATCAGAAATCTACTTCTGTGTTTTATAATGGCTATAGCGCTACTTCACCTATCCGTTGAAAAAATAAGCTTGCCATGACTTAAGAAGGAAGAAATCCAAACTTACCGGCGCTTACAAGATACGGGCTTGCTCCAACAGAAACAGAACCTGTAGTTGCCTGTATGTTAGTAAAAATCCAGTCCACCAGAGAGGTTGTATCATCTCCACCTTCAAAAGGTATAAATTTATTCATTCATTCACCAAAGATACAGTTTGCGAAGATTTGTATCTTTATACCTTTTCTGTACACTGCCCAACCACAGTCTACGTCATCAATGGCCGTCTGGAACGTTCTACCATCTGTCCATAACACCGCCTTGTCAAGCGTCACCACCGCAGTTCCTGAAAGAAAAGGGAAAAAAATCAAGGAATATTGAAGTAAAGTATTACAAAATAAATCTTTTGACTTATCTAAGTCACTTCATCGTACCAAGAGAAAATTTTACCTATTCCTCCAGTGAACCCTGATATAGCTTCTATCCTTCTGTCATATGGTGTTAGGGTACCCTTCAAGATATATCTACATAATTCATATCAAGGAGCATAAAGAAAAAGTTAATGTTAAAACAAAATTCTCTTTTCGTTACAGCTCTTGCTTTTATCTACCTAATAACTTCAAAATCAATGGATTAAGATGCAAATATTTTGTTTTGATTCAGATAACAATTTTAAATAAAGATAACATTTGTTTTTTCGTTATTTCTGTTGTTCAGGGATGAAATAATTTGAGAAAACATTCTTCAATAATGCGAAATATTTACTCACATGGTTCTCATTCACATTACATATTATGTAGGCGTCAATATGATTTTCTCGCATGAGATTCCTAACATCATTTAGACGTTTAACTTTCGCCTGTAAAGAGAAATTTGTAATAAGATCACATGTCCAGAGTATTTGAGCACATTAGATTTTAAAAATGTTTCTTTCACATTTTGTGTATTTTGATAATTCTGCAATTTACAAGCAAACAGATTAAAATAAAAATTGCTTTGAAAACATATTAACTTTTTGTTTACATGCTTTTGTATTTCGGAACATTTTCATACGTTTCATTTGTAACTTACCCGATCTGTGTGACAATCGCCCTCGTTAAAGTAATAACTCTCTTTTGGTATAAAGTCTTTTGCATACCATTTTTCTGTTAAAATTATTATTGAAGTATATCAATTAATCTTTAAAGTATTACCTTTCTTTGTAATTATTTTTGCTTGCTTTCATTTCCATAGCAATCCACATGTACTTGTACATACATGTACGATCCTCTCATTGCAGTGTTCATAAATAAAATAACTATGACAATGCATTTAACCTGTTATCATAGGGACCTCCAATCTATCGTTTTACCTTGGAGTTTTGGAGATCGAAGTCTGAACGATAATTGAACGCTGAATGAAAGATGAGCGTAAGGTAAACGCAAGTTTATGGTGAGCTAACGCTATGTGAACGGTGAACGCGAGCAGTTGATGAACGCAAAACTGCGAACAATAAACGAACGACAAGCAAACGGAAAATGAGAAAGTAGAACATTTAAGGGACTGTAATCATTTTGAGCAAACACACCGAACAGGTAAACTGGAACAGATTATATAACTCATTAAAAACAAACACACACACACACACACACCTTCTCTCCCAAAAAGCTACCTTGACTTCCAGTTGATTAAAAACAACTACAGTATCATATTTATTTCATCAGTTTGAAGTCACTGCTTTTTTTTCATAGGAGAAGTTTAAGAACTAAATACTAAAAATAACCCACCTTACCTGCAGTACCTGTAGTACTATTTATCCACAAGACTGGAAATAATAGAAACAAAACTACGTAGTACATCTTTGCCGAGTTTCAGAACGTCTGTGGTATTTCTAGTCCAGAGGATTATAATACCCTGTATGACCATGCATAGAATTGTTCATTGTATTATCACCAAGGAAAGGATCACAGTTTGTCTTAAGATCAAAATATCATCGACAGTGGAGAACTTTCAGCATTTACATGGTACTTTCAGTTCAAGCCTTTGTCGTATACTTTGTACTTTTGTAGTACCTACAATAACATCTGTCCCCTAATTATATTTCACGATTACACATGTCAACAAAGCAGTCCTGGCAAATTCCGCTAAAACGGAAGCGAATGAAAAATAAATCTGATTTACTTTAAATTAAGCGTTTCTTTTCTGAAATCAAATAGTTTGAAATTTTTAATAACACAAGGCTTTAATAAAAATTAGAGTAAAAGTCAGACTCACCTGACCTATTTTAAAACATGCAGACGATACATATTTAAAGCTAAATTCGTACACAATATCAGAGATATTCGAAGATATGGGTGGTACCCTGCAAAAGAAAGAGAGTAAACATACCTGTTTTTAAACTCTGTATCTCCCAAGGAAAGAAAGGCGTCACACCAGCTCAGAGTGAAGGAATGGGTGCCGCTAGCATTTGAAAATAAATAAATAAGCTGGCATTCATACATAGATTAATATAGAGCAAATGATCCACTCCTACATGTATGTATAGAATTGTTCACCCATTCATATATTTATTTTAAAAAACACTTATAATAAATCTAGTCCTAATCCCACAAAATGTTGAATGCTTAAAATATGCAAAATGCAAGGCAGATAGATTGCAAATTTTCAATTTTTACAGATACTGCAGAATTAAAAGTGTAGAAAGCACAACTCTATCTTTACTAATTTTAAGGATATTTTTGCAAATAAATTCCAAATTGCTTGTGCAAAGACAAATAATGACCCACGTAGAAAACTAACAGGGGGTCATTTTTTCGACGTCGAAAAATGACCCCCAGCCAAAAACAATAAAAATAGCACTTTTGATACAATGAAGCGCATTGAAGTGGTAAAATTGAACGTTTTGAGCTTTCTTTAGAACGTTGATTGTCATATAATGACATGCCCATTTCTTTAGAAAGGAAAACAGCGTTCAAATGATTCATTCGAATACCTGTTGAACAGGCATTCTATAAATACAATAACCAATCAAATTGACAGTCTACATAAGCACCGAGTAAACACGTGTTTACATGTGTTTACATCGATACATGTGTTGTGGTAACTCCAATAAACGATAAATTTATAATTATGTACATATTCGTTGCAATACGCGTTTTACAGAAGTGAAAGTCTCTTACTCTCACTCCGAACTTCATAAAATCTGTATTTCAGTTTAACTCATGTTGCTACTCGCAGAGTGTGGGGTGTCCTAAAGCATTAGACAAATTATTTCTTTCTCGTTTTTAAAGAAATCGGCGTGTCATTATGTAGCAATTCACATAAGAAACACCCAAACTTTCCACTCAAACGAAAAACTTTACCACTTCAATGCGCTCCATTGTACCTCACAGTGGCTATTGGTTAAAACTGGCATTTTAAGCTTTCTTTATAACCTGTTTTATATTCTTCAGATATTTTCCTGATTTTAGACGTTTATGGCCACCTAACAACTAAACTATATGTATATGACAAACAGGATAACTTCCGAATCGGCTTTTCTATTACCAGCTTACGATGATGCGCATTGAAGTGGTAAAATATTTTGTTTGAATGAAACGTTTAAATCTTTCTTATCAAATGTCAATTATTGTTACATAATGACCCGCCCATTTCTTCAGAATTTAGAATATAATATTCGTCGCAATGTTTTAAGACACCTCACTCTCTGCGACCAGCAACACGAGTTTTGCTGAAATGGGGATTTAATGAATTTAGGAGAGAGTGAGAGCCTCCCCGATTCTGTAAAACTGACGTATTGCAACGAATGTTACAATGAATTCATCATGCTTATATGGCTAGAAGTTATCAGAACACATGTGTCGGTCGAACACGTGTTTTAAATAATGATCTGATTGGCTATTGTGTTAATGGAATACCTGTTCCACCGGTATTCGAATGAAGCATGAGACGGCTTTTTTTCTTTCTGAAGAAATAGGCGTGTTATTAAGTTAGCTCAAAGCGTTCCATTCAAATGGAAAATTTTAACATTTCAATGTGCATCATTGTATTACAAGTGTTTATGCAGTAATATTCAACTCTTGCCTGCATGTGGTGTGTTTTTCTCCCAACTTATTCGGTGCTGTATAGCATGCTCTGAGTACGATCAACTGTTATACAAAGACAGAATACTGACAAAAAATTGAGGTTACAGAGCTTTCAGCATCTCAATCATTTCGAAAATTCCTTGGTCATTATAATGAACCAGGGATTTTTTTTTTTCAGTTTAGGTTAAAATTGCTTGCATTTCAACTCCACTTTTGTTTGCTATGTACAATGGATACTTAATTAATGCTTGTTCATTCGGTTTTAATGAAAATGTACCAAAAGTATCTAAAACATCACACAATTCTTCTTATTTTAATTGTAAGATACTTTTGGTTTATTTCCGAAATTTCCATGTGTATACACTGTAAAAATCATGACCTAAAATACACACACTCAAACGCAACTTTAAATTAAAAATAAAATATATTGTTAAACAATGTGAATTTTTCAGATCAAAATGGAAGAATTTTCACATAGTTAGAACGCTGTTAATTTATGTTAAAAGACAGATCATTTTATTCTAAAGATTTAATGAGAACAATTTAATGAGACTAGATCATGTATCCTCAATTTATTTCAGGTAAGCATCTTGGCCCACGAACCTCTTGATTTATATTTCTTAATTTTATTTTAAACAAAAAGAAAAATATATTCCTAATAAAATCTACATGGAATCATTATTCTGCCGGGGGGGGGGGGGGTTCTTCAAGTAGGGTAAGCAGATATAGGTTAAGATCACCTACTGCAATCGATCAAAAAAATCCCCCAAACCAGAAAAAAACCTACAAATAGTAAAAATCTTTGAACAGGGAAATTACAGGGTGGGATCAGGTGCCTAGGAGGAATAAGCATCCTCTGAGCTCGATATATTGATCAGGTAGAGGGAATAATCCGTGGTCAAAATTTAAAAGCTGATATGAGTCAGTATTTTAAGGGTGATACCACTTTTTCTACAGGCAAATGGTTCATTTTTCGACGTCAAATAATAACAAGGTGTCACTTTTCGACGTCGAAAAATTACCCCCCAGTCAATGTTCCATCTGCACCAAAATATAATGCTTACTATTCTAACATTACATAAGGTATAAGTTAGAGTCCATTGACTACATTTAAATTTCAGTCGCAGAGTAATTACAGCTAAAAGACAGAATGAAAGTGGACACGGTTTTGGGATCCAAGTTATATTGGGAATTTTAAATGAATTTGACAATTTGCAAGAAAGTGATGTCTGTTAATATACTTATTTTTAACGGCAGAGCGATTATCGTAAATTTAATTGAAAGTCTACTTTTCGATAAACATCATAAAAATAGTGGTCTTGTTCCATGATCCCACGGAGTGCAACAGATCACGGGGCAAGACTAAGAAGACAGTACGGAGTTTCTCGGATATAATATCCTTGCAATTTTTAAGGAAACTGACAATTTACAATATTTTGATACTTGAAAAACCGTCAATGGTGAAATTCAATATTTCAATCCAAACTTGATTTTAATTTTTTTGAAGAAATATGTTGAGTTAACTGATTAATAAACAAAACGTTTCCCCAGTAGTCCCCAGATTTTAGTCACGATGTTTTATCGAGAGTCATGACATTGCATCTGATGTAAGAAAAAAATACAGAATAAAATAAACCACTGAATAATTTTTTTAAGTTGTTTATGGGTATGTAACGATTTTTTGACTATATTATTAAAATCTGTGTTTATCTATTTGTGATCTTAATTTATACCGATCGGAAGATTCATTCATCATTATTATATGTTTAAACTACATTTAGATTTGTTGTACATCATTGTTTTACCTTATTTATATGTCATTACATATTTGTACTTTCATTTTCCGTTACTTCCGGTCGCGGGAAATTATGTATAGGTTTTACCTGAAATGTGTCGTGATTTTGGGTTGTGCAACGTCACGTTTAGTTATGCGACGTCACATTAGCGTTAACGTTTAGTTTTGTAGTGCAGTTGAAGTTTTGGGATTCTAGTGAACGGATGTAGAAATTTTTAGAGTTACTTTTGTCCAGACCAGACTTGTGGATTTTTTTTTATTATTCAATTTTTAGTCGCTCCCAGACTATCTTTGGAATGTCGAGGTAATATTAATATATTATTGAAATTTATATCATTTATTTATCATTTATGAAATTAGGTATTGGTAATTAACTTTAACTTTATCCGAATTTCGGGGTCCTGTAAATCTAGCAAGTGACGTTGTGCGACCATATATATATAAACATATATTGTTGTTGATTTTGTTAACTATAATAAATTTTTGAATATCAGAATATAATTTTTGAAAACTTTATTTGTTTTTGTTGATTTCTTTTGTAAAAACCCGCTACCAGGTTATTCATAATTATATTCGCTACCAGAAATGAAGAGACCAAATCTTAGCCACAACCAGGCTTTTTAAAACCATACCATATTTAGTCATATTTATCCTATCTTACGAACTCATTACGGCGAAAACGTTACAGGTATCAAAACACTGGCATAATATTTGATATCAACCATAAATAGAGAATATATTTATCAGGATGTCGAGAGAATTAGTGATAATTGAATTATTGAGGAACCTCTGACACTGCTCAGTAAAAATACTCAAATTACATGGTAGTTTTAAGCAGTTAGAGTGATCTGCCCTTTGATGTAAAATGGAATAAATGGAACTCTATAGTTAATGACACAATTTAGAATACTAGACTAAAGAAATAATTCTAAACATTATATTAGACAAAAGAAAGTTAAAATTGAAAACATTGTTTGCATGTACATTCCCACTGTAAGTAAACAACAGTAATTTCTGTTCACTGATACTTCATTGTCTTTGAATATTTTCCCCAGTGAAATATGGGAGGTACCCTATGTTGAAAATGAACTAGAAAAATTCAATATGTACACCTCTATGTAATAAAATTTTCTCAAAGTCAATAAAAAATTGTCAGTGTTTTTAGTTTCCTTAATCAAATATGCATATTCGTTTCCTTTATCTCCGTCTCTGCATGATGGAAATACATCAAGGCAACGAAATGAAGAACAATATGTAAAACACAAAAATTATAAAACAATATGTATCTTGATACAATACAAGAGGTTAATGAAACGAGGCATGCCTAACATTCCACAAGTATACTTGTATTTTGCCCTGTAAATTAGAAAGAACTTAAGTCTAACGGAAGCAGTTGCCACTGAAAAATTAATTGATTTGCTTAGTATAACCAATGATTTTTTTGTACATCATATAACATCCTAGTAATTAAAATAGTATTCTTGTGAAATTTAAATATATTTCCGGTTGGAATAAGTTTTATTGCCATTCAAATAGGGAAAAAAAACCAGCAAAACAAACCTATAAAGTCAGTTATTCTTTGGTATTATTTTGCCACAAACTGTGCATATTTACTTGTCTTATCCAACAGGAAAATTTCATCGTCCCAATGTTTTGAGCGGATAACATCAGAGTTTAGTTGAAAAGTCTCCTAGTAGATCGAACAGTGATCGACCAAAACAATCTATAAACAATGAAAATTTGTGAAGAGAGCATTAAACAAAGACCGCTGGTGGGATCAAGTGCCTTGGACGCGTAAGAATGCCATTTTGACCGCTCATACCCGCCGCGAGTCCTATGTATTATTTAGGAAGACGGAACATTCAAATTCAGTATTAAAACAGAGGCCTAAAAATTGATATGTATGTCAGCCAAAATACCACCTGATGATAGGATATATTCACGAACATGTCATAAAAACGACCACAGAATTTACAAAATGCTGACATTAAACGAGGTTGTTGAAATCACTGTGACATCAACTTATCTTTCAGTAGCCTGCCTCGGTTAACAAATCGATTGTACTCAGAGCATGCTCTTTAGTATCGAATAAGTTGGGAGACATAAACACCATATGCAGACGATAGTGGAATATTACTACATAAATAATGAAAGTTGACGATGGAAAGGCTGAAGTCATCTCGTTTGTCATACAATTTTGTTGTTAGTTGGCCTTATCGTCTATGTAAAACACCCAAATATGAAACAGATGTGGTAGACTCTGTGGGTTTTTTTAAATATTTTATTTCAAGTTCACTGGGATATATCGAGACAACAAGTGAATGGAAGTAATTATTGTTAATTGATAACACGTCGTTGATATATCGAAATGTCCAGTTGAAGGCCATAGCAAGTATTTTCTTCTTTTCATGTAGACGTTTTTGAATAAAGTCTGCTTCATATGGATATAAAACTAGGTCGGGTAATAAAAGAACACCACATTTAGTGCACATCGAAATTCCAACAGTTTGTTGGAAGAATTGGTCTCCGAATACTACTTAGATTTTGTCAATGATGAGCTCTAGCATCCTTTTGATATCTTCAGAGTACTTGTTTGTAAAATCAGAGTGATTTTTGACAAGGTAATTTTGTTGATGACCAATCTCAAGATACACAAATTTCCGACTACCATTTTTATTGAAGAAGCAGTTGTCTATGATATCAAAATGCCTAGTTTTTAATTTATCGTGAGGAATGGTTATATAAAATGTAGAGAAGTCGAACGTTTTGATGTTACTGACTTTTTGAAAAATTTGATGATTTTAAACATTCTTAAAGTTCTTTGGAGTTTTTGAGATTCCAAATTTGATTTACACCACTTCCACTATGCTGTTGCACAGTACGTCTGGATCTTCTCCTTAACAGCTGTAAATATTTTTGGAAGGAATAAAGACAGGTGCTTGGAAGAGCATTTGCTAGACCTGCCAATACAACTCTGTTTGTAAAGATATTTTATGAAGCTTAAAAATTCTAGTATAAGTGAGGTATGTTAAAAGTAATAATCACTGAAATGTGATATGTAGAGAATTTCATCTTTAGAAAGTGAACTGCGAGTATAAATTGGATTTCCAGATGTAGAATTGAAACCGATTTCCTCCACAATGCAGTTAAAATAATGAGCCTTACAAACAAAGACGATATTCTTATAAGCCTTGTCGGCTGGAACCATAACATATTGTTCATGTCCAATTCTTATGGTAAAAAAATCCTTGCTGTTCGTGAAAAACAAATTTCCAAAGAAGGTTTCCACTTTCATAAAATTTTATTCTCAGAGTCAGATTCTTTTAAAAGATATTAGTATATTGAATTTCAAATAGTAAATTTTGTTTGGTCACACAAAATTAGAGAGAATGCAATGTCTGAATGTGCAATGGCTTTGTATATTAATTGCACGATGGAATCAATCAAAAACGTGGTAGTCAAAAATCTCTACCTGATTCGTGGCAAAAACAAAAAAAGAAACCCTAACTGGAAAAAACCAAAAGAGTGTATTTATATAGGAAATATTTTCCATCTGTGAGTATTTGCGGGAATTGCCAGGGCTGAATTGCAATTCAGAACATGATAAAATTATGTCAAACGGTAATTTCAAATGTTTTTCAACTCAGGGTTTGTTAAGCTTTTTTTAAGTCTTGTGGTCTCATCCAATTAAGGACAAACAAACCAGCAGTACATCTCATAGATTTTTATTCATTTAGGTTACCTGATTTATATTTGCTAGGATAAATGTGAAAATTTTGTAAGATTTTGTAATAATGTTGTAAGATTTTGTAATAATGTTTAAAAATGTGAGCAAAATTCAGCATAGATTTACATAGAAAATGGCACAAACTCGCATATTTAAGCACCAAAGAAAAAATAATTTCTTTATATTTTAGGGATTTATTATTTATGTTATTTCTATTCATAATCAGTCCAAAAAAATGCTAATCTATGAATAAGCATACAACACAGACACTGGAAATCCCAGAGGTGGAAGCATTTGTCTAGAAGGAGTAAGCCTTTCCAGTCGGCTGGTCACACCGCCGTGAGCCCTTTATCAAGTAGACGGATTAATCCGTAGTGAATTTTTGTTTAAAAACTGATATAAAATATGTCAGTCAAAAATACGACCTGTATTTGCTAACAAGGTCATTATAACGACCATAGAATTTAAGAAATGCTGACATTAAACGAGGTTGTTGTAATCCCTGTAACATCAACTTATCTGTCAGCAGCCTGCCTCGGTTAAGAAATCGATCGTACTCAGAGCATGCTCTTTAGTATCGAATAAGTTGGGAGACATAAACACGATATGCAGACGATAGTGGAATACATAAATAAGAAAACACAGTCATCTCGTTTGTCATAAACTGTAGTTGTTAGTTGACCCTTATCATCTATAGTCAGTTAAACGTCCAAATATGAAAGAAATTAGACAGAGCAGACTCTGTGGTGTCTTTTATTTCGAGTTTACAGGGATACATCGAGTTGACATGAATGGAAGTATAAAGAGGAAGAATACATATTTAAACTGTATATCAATCTTTATCAAGCACAACATACAATTATTTTACGTATACTCATTGAAAAATAAATAAGTGTAATATGGAGTTTAACATCGATATCTTCCTCTCTCATCCAAGAGATGCTGAAATTGTTCTTTAAACATTTGAAAGTTACAGACAAGTTCAGTTTTTAAAATCAATAACACCTCCAATCATTTGTTAATGAACTCTATTGAATTCAGAAATCACAATACACATACATTCTTAAAAACATGTACTAAGTATTCTTTAGTCAGGGATTTACTTTTACTCGCAATTTTCGAGAATTTCTATAGAATAAGCAAAACTGGCAAACTAAATTGCAAGAATCAACCAGGACAATTATACCAAAAACCAATGCAAGGATAGTCACACCAACATAACCCACAACTTCTGCAGATGCTCGTCCTCCACTAGAGCTGGTCTTCTTTCTGATCGTTGACGATAAGTTTCCAGTGTTCAAGCTGAGCAGGTGCTTAATATTGTTCAGTTTTTCTTCTAGTTCATAGTATTGTTGCAGCTGATTGGTTACATTACTCCAGTATTCAATTTTATCGAAGTAATCACAAGAGCAAGAACACAGAGCTACAATTGTAAAATGTAAAACATATTAACAATAATACTGACAAAGAATGTTTTGAAATTCATTTAACAAAAGTTTTTTATATACAAATTTTCATCGAATTTGTTCTCAATGTCCTAATTTTTCAATCTAGGAAATACTTTCCTTAATATGGCACGTTTAGGAAATACTTTTAATTATATTGCACTTCACCAAGTGACCACTTTACTTCCAAGGTCATGTGTTGTCATTTAGGTCTAACAAATTTTGATATTGTCTGGATGCAAATTTGCCAGAACATTTATATTAGCCATTGATTATTTAAAAAGTGATATCGTCAGTCAGATTGAATATGTACGTATTCGACAACTAATCAAAAGAAATGTGAATGTCCCTTCTTATCCTAAGTATTTGTATTTACAGGGTTTTGAGAGAATGAATTGAGCTGTAAACACCACTTACTATGCGTTAGAACCCCAAATCTTCGCTATTGTGCTTGTGCTTCCTTAAATTGATTTTAATGCAAGATAATTGTATTTATTGAATTTTGCCATTTCAAAAAAGTGACCTGTTTATCATGATAGATTCAATATTTATTTTGTTTATAGAAGCACCGTAGCTTAGTCCAAGAAGAAGAAAAAAGTATGAGTGGGGGTTCTCTATATCGAAATATTTGGAAGCTACGCACATATCACTCAAGTGGAGCTCATAGAATATTGACACTTTCACCTGGTTCTGTTGAAACAGTCTGAACACTCGTCGGTGAGATGAAATTTGCTGTCTCTTTCTCTGAAGTGAAGGAAACCATCGGATCACGTATTGATGTGGTGGAATCTTTCGGTTCACCTGTTGATGTGGTGCCATCTGTTAGTATGTTTGATAAGGTGATATCTGTTGGTACACTTTTTGATTTGATGGAATCTGTCGGTATACGTTTGAGTGTGGTGGAATGATAAGGTACACTTGTCATTGTGGTTGAGTGTCTCGGTACACTTGTTGATGTGGTAGAACCTGTTGGAGAAATGTTCTCAGAGGTGGCTTGGAGAAGTTAAGTGAAACTTTACAGAAATTATGATTAAAAACTCGAGCTGTGCAGTCATTATTCATAATTTTCTAAATGCCTATCGTGCTTGGAAAAAGCTGAAAAGTTCCCTAATTTTTTATTTTTCCCAGTGGTTTTTGGAAACTTTAAACGATTTATTCCATCCGCTGTATTAAAAAGTGATTTCTGTTTGTTTGGTTGTTGTTTAACGTCCCTCTAGAGAATTTTTCACTCATATGGAGACGCCACCACTTGCCGGTGGAGAGCTGCAAATTTTGTCCTATACTCGGCACTTACGGCCATTGAGCAGTGAGGGGTCTTTTTCGTGCCAACACCTACTGCGACACGGGACCTCGGTTTATACGGTCTCATCCGAAGGACCGGTCTCCACGTCCCACAGTGGGATTCGAACCCGCGACGTAAGGATCAACTCCTTACCTCGCGACTCTAGAGCAGACGCTCTAACCACTGCGCCACGCGGGCGACAAGTGATTTCTGTAAAGAAATTGGAATCAGAAGGTCTATCACTTCAGCCACCCGAACGAGGTCGGGGCAACATATCATTTTGTTTTCAACTAAGTTTTGTCAGGGAGTGTTTTCTTAAATGGCTTACAAAATCTTTATGAAACTTGAAAGAAGTAACCAGAAGTCTCTGACGAGATTGTAGCTCTAGTGATGTTAAGCTAAAATGAAGAAATTTGCAACTTAGCATTGTTCACTTGTGTAAATAGTCTAATCAGACCAAACTGTAGGAGAAGTAGTTTATTAGCTCTACTGGTCAGAGACCAGAAGAGCTTATGCATTGGTAAGGTGTCCGTCGTCCGTCGATCCGTCCGTCTTTCCGTCTGTCTGTCTGTCTATAAACAATTTTTCAAAACGCTACCCCTCCTACAGTTTTGATTCCAATTCAATGACTTGGAACACAAGTGGACCACATTAAGATACACAATTCCGAGTATCGTTTATTTGATTTTGATGAACGGTGTTGCCATGGTTACTAAAAACAAAATTTCTTTAAAATTCTTTCATAATACTTTTCCTACAGTTTTGGTCCAATTAAATAAGACATGGTACACAAGTAGACTACGTTAAGATACATAATTCTGTATATGTGATTGATTTCGATGTACGGTGTTGCCATGGTTACTAAAAATAGAAATTTCTTTGAAATTCTGTCAAATTGCTACTCCTCCTACAGTTTTGGCCCAATTTCAGTAAGACGTGGTACCTAAGTAGACTACATTAAGATAAATGATTCTATATATTGTTTTTTTTTTATTTCGATGAATGGTGAATGGTTACTAAAAATAGAAATTTCTTTGAAAATCTTTCAAAATGCTACGCCTCCTACACTTTTGGCCCAATTTCAATTAGACTTTGTACATACATAGACTACAATAAGATACATAATTCTATATATCAGTATTCGATTTCGACGAACAATGTTGATATGGTTACTAAAATAGAAATTTCTTTAAAATTATTTCAAAAGCCTACACTTCCGAGAGATTTGGTCTAATTTTTTTTAAAAAGATTTGGTTCACAATTAGACAACATAAAGCTGCATTGTTCTATTGTTTTGTTTAATTTGTTATGATGAAAGATGTTGCCATGGTTACCAAAAAAATTCTTTTGATTTTTTTAAAGTGCTATTTTCCTAAAGTTTTATTTTGATTAAACTTTTTAAGCAACTAAAATTCCCTAAGATCCATCTTTCTTAATTATTAGTACACACCAGTAGAGCCTCAGTCTCGTCAGAGATTACTGGTTTAAAATAAAGAATTCAAAGAATTAACCAGGGCAATACCGTTTGTAGAAATTAAAAACCATTACAGATAATTATGTCACTTAGTATAATTTACCTGTGTGCAAATTGTATTGACATTGGACCAAAGCTGTAGGAGGAGTAGCGTTTTGAAAGTCTTTCAAAGAAATTTCTATTTTTAGTAACCATGGCAACATCTTTTGTCGAAATGAAAACGATATATGAAATCATGTATCTTAATGAAATAGGGATACAATGCACAGTAATCAAGCTCGAAAGTCCATTCAAACAATACAAATCAGGAGAAGAGTAAACAAGGGCCTCTAAAACATAAGTGGTATGATCAGGTGCCATTGAGAAATGAGCATCCCCTGCCGACGGCTCACACCCGCCGTGTGCTCCTTGTCATGATCGGGAAAAACGGAAAAATCCGTAGACATTTCAGTGTGAAAATAATGGCCTAATAATAAATATGAAAAACGCCAGTCAGCATTTCACTTAATGATAATGTTTCATTTACTTGTTTGTCAATAGCTTGCCTCGTTTTATAATCTGTTCGTACGTAGAGCATCCTCTTGCGTATCTAATCAACTGAGAAACATAAACCCCATATGCAGGTGATGAGGATATATTGCTACATAAGTACGGGAAGTTGACGATTGAAAAGTTGAAGTCATCACGTTTATCATAAAGCTTGGTTGTTAGGTTACCATTTAGCGTCTTTTTCTAGAAAAATATAAAACAGATGTTGATGTAGCCTATTTGTAAAAATAGCCCATGATTTCTGTTTATTTCCAATCCAATCTGTTAAACACAAAAGAAACAAGATGTGTTTGTGAAACACTGATGCCCCCGTGTGGTAACTTATAGCAAAGGTTAAACTTTCTCAAATGCAAATCAAACATGTTGGTACCAAAAGTAAGGTGTTGTCTCGAGGAATATACCTGTGAAATATGATAGCCTTAGCAGCAACCATTGAATAGATATAGAAAAGGTTAAAGTTTTTCAAAAGTTAGTCAAACATCAAGGTCAAGGTCAAATGGTCAAAATTAATGGTGCCTTAGGAAAGGCCTTCTCACAAGAAAGATACAGGTGAAATATGTAAACTGAAGCACCAATAGTTCAAAAGTTATGACCAAAGTTTAAGTTTTTCAAAAGTAGGTCAAACTCCAAGGTCAAGGTCAATGGATTACAATTGCTGGTATCCTAAGGAAGGTCTTGTCACAAGGATTACATATGTGAAGTATGAAAGGCCTAGCAAAAACGGTTTAAAAGTTATGGCCAATGTTAAAATTTTTCAAAAGTAGGTCGAACTCCAAGGTCAAGGTCAAAGGGTCAAAGTTGTTGGTATCCAATGGAAGGACGTCGACTTGTCATAAGGATTATACATGTGAAGTATGAAAGCCTTAGCACCATTTTTTAAAAGTTATGGCCAAGGTTAAAGTTGGATAAAATTTTGCAAAACTGGGTCAAACTCCAAGGTCAAAGTCAAAATGTCAAATATGGTGGTACCCAAAGAAAGGTCTTGTCACAAGAAATACACATGTGAAAAATGAAAGCCATAGCTCCAAGCAATCAAAAGTTATGGACAATGTTAAAGTTTTTGCGGACAAACAGACAAACAGACAGACAGACAGACGGACGGACAGGGCAAAAATTATATACCCCCGAATCTTCGATACAGGGGCATAAAAATTCACTTTATTTTCATTTAATTACTGTGAATGCCCTAAGTTAATGCGTAATATGTTCTGTGTGCAAATTAAACCTCCTAAGGAGGCAGAAAGGACGGAATACTTTTAAGTTTGTAGAAAATAAGTTTCGGTTGTATATCTTTTATACTAAGAGACATGCGTGTCGGTTTTCTAGAATAATTTCTGAAATTTTTTTTTCTTTTTTGGCTTATTTTCACATGCCGTTTGCATAGAAAATTCTGTTTAAAATAGTGTTAAGTTAAGAATGTTTAGCTACATGATATTCAACCTCCTCCACCCCCCCCCCCCACTCCCATCCGGCATAACAGCGACGTAGTATATGTCTCTTAACCTAAAACTGGACCTCAGATCGACAAAAAATTTCAAAGTACTCTACTAAATACAAAAATAAATAAAAAATGAATTTTCTTGAAAGTATGGTTCCCTCTGACCCAGGCATAAGGAAATAATAAATTTTTCGGCTAATTTCTGTACAGAGAACAGAGAAATAAAATTTTCCTTTTCGTCTTGAAGTTCTGGGCCCAGTTTTACAAAACAATTTACGACTAAGACCAAAATATAGTTTTGCGAATAACTTTCTTTTTGATGTTAAGATGAAAATAAAGTTCAACTCTTTAAAAAGAACTATAGAGATATTTTTATACGAACAATTTTTAACATATTCATTAATTTTGCAAGATTTTACAATCAACTTAAGTTTTTGGTCTCATAAGTTCTTCTGTAAAAATGACTCCTGTTTATTATTGAAATAAAGTTCCCCTCATATGAGTTTATATTCCGCTGCCTTGTTTTCTTTGTTTTGTGTGTGGAAATTATCTTAACCTTATTTACAATTACTTAATCCTGATATAAATAGCTATTTCCGGTATCAGTAGTGACTAAAAATTCTGTTCAAATGAATGCAGAAATAAAAATCATCTATAATTAGCAATATTATTCCTTCAAATATCAATAATAGAGTCCAATTTCCCTGATTTATGTTAGTTTTAGATTTCATTTTATTGATTATTCTTTCTTTACTCCTCACTAAGTTATTAACAGCAGTGAAGGAGAAACTTCAAGAGTACTATGCAACAGTATGTTGGAGAAGTGGTATAAATCAGATGTGGATCCTCAAAAATTCCAAGGAACTCTTTGAATATTGAAATCACAAAATTTTACTAAAATCAACAACATGAAAACTTACGACTTTTCAACTTTATATACAATTATTCCCCACGATAAATTAAAGTCCAGACTTTCTGACATAGTTGATAGCTGCTTTTTCAATAAAAATGGAACTCGTAAATTAACTTACCTTGTCATTGGTCATTTGCAAAATTATTTTGTTAAAAAACAATCTGATTATACACACACGTACTCTGAAGTTGACATTAAAAATATGCTCGAGTTTCTGATTGACAATATCTATGTGGTTTTTGGAGACCAGATTTTCCAACAATTGGAATTGCCATGGGTACCAATTGCGCCCCGTTATAGCAGACTTATTTTTGTATTCATATGAAGCAGAATTTGTTCAAAATCTTTTATGTGAAAAGAAGAAAACACTTGCTGTGGCCTTCAACTCGACATTTAGATATATCGACATTCTTATGTCGACACGATATATCCCGGTGAGGTTGAGATAAAAGATACCACAGAGTCTGACACATCTGTTTCATATTTGGATATTTTATTAGAAAAAGACGTTAATGGTAATCTTACAACAAAGCTTTATGATAAACTTGATGACTGTAACTTTTTAATCGTCAACTCCCCTTACTTAAGCAGCAATATACCCTTATCACCTGCATTCAGGGTCTATATCTCTCGGTTGATTCGATACGCAAGATCATGCTCTACGTGTGAACAATTTCTTAAACGAGGTAAATTATTGACAAACAAGTTGATATCAGCAGTCTCGTTTAAAGTCATCAATACGTAAGTTCTATGGTCGATACAATGATCTTGTCAGCAAATACAATCTTTCATTAAGTCAAATGCTGACTGACTTTTTTTCATTCTAATTGTTAGGTCATTATTGACAACTGATTTGTCGACGGATTTTTCCGTTATTTCCCGATCATGACAAGGAGCACACGGCGGATGTGACTGGTCGGTAAGGGATGCTCACTCCTACATGGCACTTCTGATGTCTTAGATGTGAACATTACGAATGATAATCATGGCCAAAAGTCTAAAGACTAGAAGGTAAAGATAATGAACAGTGATGAATAGTGATCAATCTCATAAATCTAGTAAACAAAACGAATCATGTACAGGGCAAAAACACAGACCAGCGTTGGGATCAGGCGTCTAGGAAGAGTAAGCGTCCCCTGTTTACCGGTCCCACCCGCAAGAGCTCTTTCTCGTAAACGGAGAGATCCGTTGACAATTCAGTATAAAAATAATAGTCTAACAACTTATTTCTAACAACTATTTCCTAAAGAGAAATGGAACTCGCAAATTTTCAGATCTTTGATTGGTCAGTTACAAAATTACTTTCTTAAAAATCATTCTGAATCTACATATACATACAAAAACTCTGAACTTGATATTAAAAAGATGCTGGAGTTCTCATTGACAATATTTATGTAGTCTTTGGAGACTAGGTCTTCAACAATCTGTTGGAATTCCGATGGGAAATATTGAGTTAACCAGTGATCATTCTCATAAATACAGTAGACAAACCGAATCGTGAACAGGGCAAAAACACGGACCCCTGGAAACACAAGAGGTTGGTTCTGGTATCTAGAAGTAAGCATCCCCTGCCGACAACTCACACTAGCCGTTATCCTTATGTATTGATCAGGTATACGGAGTACTCAGTAGTCAGACTGAGTAAAAAAGCAATGACGTAAGAAATGGTATGAAACATGTCAGAAAAAATACGACCCAACGGTAGGTTGTATTTACATACAAGGCGTGTGAGGGTGTGTGTGTGTTCCATTTAACTTACTCATTACCCGTAATGTTTTGAGGGGAAACATGGGAAAGATATTTACACTGGCCACCGATTATCAAGATTAAAATGGGAATATATATCATTTTTTAGTGCAGATGGAAGCTCATTGTGGTCACAACGACCCTACAATTTGCGATAAGCTGACTTTAAACGGGGTTGTTGAAATTCTTGTAACATCAACTTATTCGTCAGTAATTTACCTTGTTTTAAAAAGCTGATCTTACTCAGAGCGTGCACATCAAATTCGAATCGTATTTCTAAAGATTTCTAAAAATGTTCATATTTGTTCCATTGTAATATTTTAATCCCTTATTGTGGTCCCACCATAGTCCCTGGGGCCATGAATTAAATATATTGGATTCTGCCTTAACTGAGGATACTTATTAATATGACTAACCACTGCCTTTTTATTCCAAGGAAGATGTCCCCATATTTTCCATGTAAAAATTTGATCTGTTTTGTTTTTTTAAAGAAGATGCTAATTCTAAATTAACCCCCCTTAACGAAGGGGCGTCTTTTCATGTTAACAAACTTGGATCCCTCACATAAGGAAACTTTGTGGCAAGTTGGTTCAGACTGGTCCAGTGGTTTGGAGAAGTCGGAAATGTGAAGTTTACAGACAACACACAATATTCGACAGACAAAGAAACACACAGACGGACGCCGGACATTCAGCTCAAGTTAGCTTAAAATATTTTCTAATAAAAGGCCACATTATTATCCATGGAAATTCCAACAGGTTGTTGGAAGACCTTTTCTCCCAAGACTACATAGATAGTTTCAAAGATAATAGGGGGAGAGGGTAAGGCTGGCCCCTCCCCATCCACGAGGGAACACCCCCTCTCCCAAAATGTTTTTCTGAGTTAGAATAATTTTGATTTTCTTCCTTTTCTTATCCTTCTCTTTTTTATTTATTATTTTTTTTTTGGGGGGGAGGGGTCTTGTTAAATTTTTCGTTCTTATTTTATGCTTCATTTTTTTCTTTTGTTTCTTTCTATCTTTTTTTTGTTGGCTGCCGCCGACTTGGCTGTTAAAACAAAATTGATAAAATTAAGACATCTTATTTAAAAAAAATAGACTTATAGAAATACCTTGTTGTTCGGATCCTAGGGCAAATATGCTCTTGCTGCTGACCAATAATAGCAAGATTTCGACGACTTTCATTCTTTGGGGCTTCAAAAGATGTTTTTATAACATTTTAGGCATTGTAAAGAATGTATTTGAATGCAGTGTCTATAAAAACATCTATTTTAAAATGATTGAAAGTTTTCTCTTGCCAAAATAATAATTAAAATAAAAATAAAAATGAAAAAATAAAAAAATAAATAAAAAATAAAAACATTCTTACGATAAGTTACAAGAAATTTAAGATGAAATGTAATTTAAACTGAAAAGAAATTTCATTAATCAATCGAGTTCTGAATCCACAAATCTAAATGTTGGAACTGATAGTAAGATTTAGTAGGCCTGGAACTAAACATCATTCTGTAGTATTCGCTAATTATGACAAATAAACTAGATGCATGATGAAATTCTTTTGAGGAGTCCCACAATTCAGAAACATAATACCATAAGAATATAGAAGTCCAGAAAGGAAATTAAAGACATAAAGATTTATTTTATTAACTTCCAAATTATTTTATTACTTAAGAATTTAACAAAAAAAAAATTCTTGAATTATCGAATTTTTTGCTTCTTCAACAAGCTAATAGAATTAAACAAATATGAATAAAAGATCGTCTTGAAATTTCAATACATTCGGATGTCAAAAAAATTTCACCTTTTCTAGATAGAGTTGATTATACTGCGTTGACAAAGTTCAGTGTTCATCTGCTCTCATCTGAAAACTGTGATGCTTAGTTTATATTAAGACCAGCTAGAGAGAATGTGCAATAAACATAAAGACCTTTCCATGAAAAAGGGAAGAGGCGGTTATAAATTGCATTGACAAACAAAATTGGTGATTGATTTACGTTTATAATGTTGCTGGGGATAATAATTTTCCTCAAACATAATATAATGAATTTGGATCATTCGCTACATATTAAAAAATATACGCTTTTAAATATTATCTATTGATGAATTTCACTTATATTGATGTTTGACCGGTTACCTAATAATGAAATACTTGAGTTTAGTAGACAAATTTATTGCTTCTTTCCTTGTTTTTGAACAAACATTTTTATGATCATTAGAAAGTCCATCGAGTGAAACTCAAGTGCACTACAAGTATGCATAATTCATTCACCATTTTTGTGTCTGCAGCTAACCAGAGAACACTACCATTGGGTACTCTAGATCTGTCCTACCTCTCATACCCTGGATCTTTTAAACACTGAGATATAGATTGTTGGTATAAGGTAATAGGTATAAGGTTATAATTTTCACGATCTCTTCATAAAAACAACTATTTGATAACAGTTTTGTTTTGGAAACGCTTTATATCTGTCAATCATTTTTCTCAATACATATATAGTAGTAAATATAGAATTGGTTTCTCAAATTTATCGTTTCGTTGCCATTTTAAGGGAATATCTTTAAAACTAAAAGGAAAATTACATGTAAATGTGTACGTTTTCTAACAACGACTGGATTTGAATCCAATGTGTAACAGGGAGACCGGTTCTTCGGTTGAGACCATATAAGCTGAGGTCCCGGGGCGCGGAGGTGCTGGCACGAAAAAGTCCCCTCTATGCTCAAAGGCCGCAAATGCCGAATACAGGTCTAGCTTTGCAGTCCTCCACCGGAAAATGGTAGCGTCTAAATATGAGTGAAAAATTCTCGAAGGGACTTAAACAAACAAACAAAGAGAATTGTAGGTTATACATGTAGTTCATAATTATCACCACTTAACTTGATATGTAAAAACGTTTACTTATTAAGAGTTGTTGTTTTTTTTTTAAAATCTAATTTGAAATACATCTTTAAACGATTGGTTGGTTGTATGTTATTTTACGTCCCATCGATTGGTCGATTGATCGTGTGTTGTTTTACGTCCTTTTTTGAGATTTTTCACTCATATAGAGACGTCACCATATACCGGCGAAGGGGCTCAAACTTAGACATTACTCGGCACTTAGGGCCATTGAGCAGTGAGGGATTTTTATCGTGCCAACGCCTACCGTGACACGGGACTTCGGTTTTAAAGGTCTCATCCGAAGGACCTGCAACTTTTACTCAAGAGTGCCGAGCGCTTGGCGAAGGAACAGTTGCTTCCTATTTTTTATCGACTTAGGTCAGTCACGGCCGAGACTTTCCGATCACGGAACGAGAGCTCTACCCACTGAGCTAGTGACGATCCTTTCGAGAATTTTCCATCCATATTGAGGCGTCACAATACGAGGGTTATTCATTGAATGGTGCGACTTTTTCAATTCAGCAATAAATAACATAGTTCTCTTTTCTGATTCCCCTTAACTTCTATAAAGTCTTTTTAATTATCACTGGAACGCACTTATGCGCACTCCGCAGGAGGAATACCCTTTAGACACTGATACACTGCTGAATCTAATGCAGAATGGGGATGAAAAGGGCTTCCAGATATTTTTTTTCAATTTAGTGACTAAGAAAAAGCCACATGGTGATAAATTGGTGACTAAAGAGGGAGATCCAGTTGCTGTATTCCATTTTCACGCAAAATAGCTGTGTTTAATTGAACTGTGTGCTAAGGTATTATTGTGTAAAAGCATAATTGCCCTCATTCCTGACATCGGTTTACTGATATTTTTGTACCTCAGACAATATTTTTTACGTAAAGAGCTTAAATTACACTTTTAGAATTTTTAATTGGAATTTGAGCGACTACTTACATCGTTAAAATTGGAGGTTCGCATACAGAACATTCCTTACGGTTTTCCAGGTTTAGCAATGGTAGATCGTTATATTTGTTTAGTGAGCCAGTTATTTCTCAGTTTTCTCTGGGATTCATAAAAATTTAAGCAAGTTTCATCGCCAGTAACAATAACATTTAGACATATTTTATTGCATTTCTGTAAATTTTCAATAGTTTTCTAAAAATTTGCGATTACTTTCGTTTTTGTTCATCATTTAAAATGTGTATGATAACTTTCTTTTGAAATCTTAAAAATGCTACCCGATGCAATATTCATCTATTATGTTTCACGGTCAATTTTTTGTCTCTGTTATTAATTTTTTACTGCTGCGACTGATTTCTCATTGATGACTGATCTAGGCCTTTCTGACTTTTTGATATTTTCAACTGAGTCTCTGCCAAGTCGGAAATGCTTTATCTATCGGTAAACGGTTTTGCAAGATAGACCACATTGTTTCAAGAAAACTTCTTGGATTTTTTATCTATTATCGCGTAATATTCATTATATAAAATATTTGTCCCATGCTCTGATTTTCAAAATGTCCTTTCGAGACTTCCATTCTGTCTTCATATACATGTAACCAGTGTCCTGAAGGTGGGTCCGGAAAAGATGGTTTCTTTAAAAATCGTTTTGCAAATAGTTTGTGACAATGTGTCAATAGTATGGAAGACAAGGATCATTTCAAGAGAGGTTCAATTCAATCAAAGGTAAAATTTAAATGGAGTATATTTTAAGTGCCATTTTTTTAATGAATAGCCCTCGTATACTGGTGAAGGGCTTCAAATTTAGGCCTATACTCGGCACTCAGGACAGTGAAGGTACTTTATCGAGCAAACGCCTACCGTGAAACGGGACCTCGGTTTTTAAGGGTCTCATCACAAAGATTGTAACTTTCACTTTTCATGCTGGGCGCTTGGCTAAGTTACTACCTATGTTTAGGTCATAGGCTTGACTCGGCGCTGCGAACGAGAATCGAACTTGGGCCTTCGATCCAGAAGCGAACGTCCTACCATCTTTAAATGAACTTAATTATATACATTTTCTTAATTAGTCTTTTACTCAACTATAAGATTGCAGATTTTGCAATAAAAAAGCGACCTGTAAAATGTGAAGATAATAAATAATGATCAACCTCCTAAATACAGTAGATATAACGAATCGTGAAAAAGGGCAAAAAAAAAAAAAAACAAAAAAAAAACAAAAAAACCGGACTCCTGGAAACACCAGAGGTGGGATTGATTAAGCATCCCCTATCAACCGGTCACACCCGCCGTGAACCATATGTATTGATCAGGTAAACAGAGTACTTCGCAGTCAAATTTAGTACAAAAGCAACCTATCTAAATGGTATGAAATGTGTAATTGTAATAAAAAACAACTCAGAAGATAATGAACAGTGATCAAGCTCACAAATCTTTTTTCTTAAAAATATAATACAGAGCATAGAACCTCTGAAAATTGTAGAGATGGAATCAGGTGCCTAGAAGGAGTAAGCATTCCTTGTAGACTGGTCACACCAGAATAATCCGCAGTTAAATTTAGTAGAAAAAGTCTCAAATGAAATTTCAGTCAAAATACAACCCAGTGATAGGTTGTATCTGCAAACAAGGCCATAATAACGACCATAGACTTTTCAAAATGCTGACTTGAAATGAGGTTGTTGAAATTGATTTTATTTTTCAATAGACTGTCTCGGTTTAAAAATTAATCATACTTTAAGCATGCTCTCGAATGTCGAATAAGTTGGGAGACATAAACACCAAATGCAGGTGATAGTTGAATATTACTACATAAGTAAGTAAAGTTGACGATGGAAAAGCTGAAGTCTTATCTTTTGTCATAAACCGGTCACAGTAGCCTAGTGGTAGGGTGTTCACTTCGTGATCGGGAGGTCCGGGTTCGATTCTCGTTCGCCTTGCCGAGTCAGACCTAAGACGTAAACATAGATAGCGCCGGCACTAGAAGTGAAAGTCACGAGTCTTTCGGATGAGACCTTAAAAACCGAGATCCCGTGTCACGGTAGGCGTGGGCACGATAATGAACCCTCACTGCTCAAAGCTGAGTATAGGTCTCAAGAAGATGGGCGTACTTGGCGTGCGATCTGCAGGAATCATGTGTACGAAACATTTATGGTTTAAATGTCCATGATTTGGTCGGCTGACCAGAAGTGGACAGATTTTTCAAAGTTACGTACATAGGAAAATGTTTAGATTTACATTGAAATAGCTTTCAAATATGAAATATTTTAGTCCACCTGTCTTAATAGTTACGATAACATAGAAATACTTCACATAAATAATAAACAACTAACAAGAAATATGAAATGAAGTTTCAGTAGGTTTGAAAAATCCCCGAAATTATCTCTTGTAAAACTTATAAATCAGTTAATAAAATACTGATGAACGACTTGATTGTTTGTATAAAAAAGAAAAAAAAATTGCTCCATGCGAGGATCCAACCAAAACCTTCTCTACTCCAAAGTGCGCTGGACTTGTAACACATACTACTGAGCTATCCTCACTACACAAACGCTTCGGAATTTAAAATGACAAAGAAGCGACGCATTTGCACATTGGTATTTGGGGGGGGGGGGGAAGTTCATTTTCTAATAGTCTCTGGATCTTCTCTCCATTTTTACACATGTTTGCCCGTTTCTACAGAGACATTAAAAAAAACAGATTCACAACTCTTCGAAGTCTCGCGTGATCTCGCCTTCCCTATTGTTTACTTTTTTTCAAATCTCGTGAAACTTAAATCACATAAAACTTAAAAATAAACAGGTATAACAGAGTAAAAAAAAATTATTTTAACAAATTATTCAGGATATTATATTTTCGTAAGTTTCTTTATTTAAAACAGTAACAAAGAAGAAATCTGAAATTGCAACAGGTGACTCTTGGTCGGCCATATCGCCGCGATTTTGCCGACTTTTGATCATCAGTGATCAGTGACCTCTTTAATTTGCCTAGTTTGCTTTTAAAAATCAATAAAACTTTACAAATCATACACCCATATATAAAAGGATTAATATTTCTTTTACTTTAGATAAAAATATAGACCAATAAAGAGTTATTCTTAGGATAATAACAGGACCGTCACATATTTCAGTAAACAAACATGTTAATGGCGGAGTTGCGAATCTCTGTAATTTATGCCTCTAGTTTCTTTGAATACAAATGCACACAAATGTCTTTTTAAAATCTTGGAGAGATGACCCAGAGATAGCAAATTCTTAGAAAAACTTGGTTAAAAATGTAATATTTTGTACCAAATGACTCATCTACCCATGTTTCAAGTTATAATTTTCAGGAAATCAAAACACACTATTATAGGGAAAATATTTTCCTTTCCTATATCACAGGAACATAATACATTAAAGGACTTTTGCTAGGAGCGCTGACTTTTATAGTTGACTGTTTACGTTGACATTTAAACCTGCATCATGTATGGAGGTACAGAATTGATAATAGATGGGAAAAGATTTATTGTGGTCATAGGTATGGTGTTAGGGGCACTAACATGTGAAGGCCGGAAGTTAAGGGTAGGGTGGTTGTCGTTTTCTTTAAGGGCAATTTATTTGTGCTTTGAAATAACCCGTTATTTTCGTTTAATTAAATGTTGACCTAAATATTTATATCGTAGAAGAGCTTCCGTACATTGTCCTTATGTAAAAATAAGCCGTCAACTGTAAAAGTCAGCGCTTCTCGCAAAAGTCCAAATGAATGTTAAAATTTAATTTTACAGTTCATTAAAGTTTTCACTTTTCAAGTGCGCCCCGATTCCTGCCGAATGTCAATCAAAAGCGCCCACGTTCAAATTCGAAGCCCTTCACCGGTACATGGTGACGTCTCAATGAGTGGAAATTCTCGAATCAGACGTAACAATATACAACCAATCAATCAATCTTTTGTCATAAAGATTTGTTAATAGTTGGCCATTATTGTCTATAGTCAGTAAAATATCCAAATATGAAACAGATGTGACAGATTTTGTAGTGTCTTTTATTTCATGTTCCCTGGGATATATCGAGTCGACTTATGAACGGAAATAACTATTGTTAATTGCATTGATAAAACATTGTCTGTAAATCTAATCGTAGAGTTGAAGGTCAAAGGAAGAGTTTCTTCTTCTCGTGTAGAAGTTGCTGAATAAAGTCTGCTTCATAGCAGGTCGGCTGATAATGGAGCACAATAAGTGCCCGTCGCAATTCCAACATATTGTTGGAACACATCAAAAAACTACATAGTTGTTGTCAATGAGGAACTCCAGCATCCTCTTAACATCAACTTCAGGGTACATGTGTGTAGATTCAAAATGATTTTTAACAGAGTTATTTTGTAAATGACCAATCACGTGATTTAAAATATTTTGAGTTTCATTTTTATTGAAGAAGCAGTTGTCCATGATAGCAAAAAGCCTAATCTTTAATTTATCGTGAGGAATGGTTATTAAACGTATATGCAAGTCATGTGTTTTGATGTGACTAACTTTTAAAAAAAGTAATTTTAAATTTTATAAAAGGTTCTTTGTATTTTTGAAGAATCCATATCTAATTGACACCACTTCTATAATATGCTGTATAGTTTCTTCTTCAAAACAGTTACTTTTTTGTGAGGCGTGTAGATAGAGTCTTGGGAGAGCAATTGCTGGACCCTGTAATGTGTCTTTTTTGTGAGGATTTTCCTGAAGGTAGAAAATCCTGTCTAGGTAGGATAGATTGAACTCATCTTGTTTAACTGAAATTTCAAAAGTATATAAGACTGAAATGCGATTTTAAAGAATTTCTTTGTCAGAAAGTGACTCTTTGGATTTCCAGATGTAGAATTAAAACGTTTTTTCTCTGAAATGCAGTTGTAATAATGAGTCTTACAATTATAGACCATATAGCTGGAACCAAAATATATTGTTTATGTAGTCTTTGTAAGTTTTTTTTTTTCCAACAATGCCGATTGAGAGAAAACGGAAAAATAGATGGTTCGAATTTGGCCTTATACTTTCTAAAACAATTTTCAAATAAATTTCTAATTCTTTCTGCCGAAATGGTAACGCTCGGAACGCCTACCTTGTGTTGAGAACAAAAACTCCAAGATAAAGTTTTACAAATTTAGTCAGAATTACAACAGCGAAAATGATTAACGGTGCGTAAAATTGACAAGTCTCAACCTTTGGGACAAAAGACAAAAATCAGTGCAATTACCGATACTATAGAAGACATAAAACGGGGGAGGGGGCGATTTGCCATCCCTAGTAATGAGACACGAATCTACCAGCATTGCTATATATGCATATAAATTAGAAAATTCCTGTTATTTTGTTCACCATGAGTATGTTTGTATTTAAAAACGAACCAAGTTTTCATGCCTTTTTATACCTTCTGAAAAAGAAATTACTACTTAAAAAGGCAGCGTATTGCTCAAATAGTAATTTAGATAATTTTATTGAAAATTGGCAACCAATATTAGATACATTATAATTATTACCCCAGAACTAATGGTATTATTTTACTATGTATTTAAATTAAATGTCATAATCAAAAAGCAATATCCCCTGTAATATTTTTCTTTGTAAAAATAATGAACATATGATTTGTATATGTAGATAGAATGCACTGTAATTTTTCCTGATTTGCGAAACATTATCATGTAGGATGCAGATTAACGCTACTGTACATAGTAAAATTTGTTGCATGTTTATTATTTTATTACATTGTATATGAAAAAAGAGCCAATAAAAATTAATGTTTGTATTTTCCAACTTAATTATTTCAAATCGTATTAAAACTGAGTATTTAAATATATACCTAAGTGTAACTCTTTGTAAAACAAAACAGAACAATTAAAAAAGAGTTTTAGAGAATTTAATGCTACTTAAGGTATTTGAAATTTTCGTAGGTGAAACAGAAATAGTTCATTACTTTTAAAGATGCACACAGCATATAAAAAAGGTAAAGATAATGAACTGTAATCAATTTCATAAATCCGGTAAACAATACGAAAGATGAATTGGCCAAAAAAAAGGAAACACCAGAGGTGTGATCAGGTGCTTAAGAGGAGCAAGCAACCCCTGTTGACCGATAACATCCGCCGAGAGTCTTTTGTATTGATCAGGTATACGGAGTATTCATAGTCAAAAATCAGTATAAAAAGCAGTAATTTGTGTCCAAGACTTAAGTGGTCACAAGTTGTAAGATTGCTAATGCTTTTCTTATTCAATGCAGTATCAGTCTCCTTGATACTTATGACATTATCTGATCTTATTCTATGGTATAAAGGCACTGAATTTCTCTCTAAATGCGCTTGGCAAAAAAAAATTATAATTAGACAACCCCAAACCCCCTACAGAAAATGGATATTTCCAATAAATAACATATCACATACAAACTTTTGAACCAGAGATCATGATCAAGTGTTAACAAAATCTCGAATCTTAGCACAAAAATTGTCAGAAAGACGAAGCAATGACACACATGTTCACACATGTTTCTTCTCAGATGTGTCACGATCCCTTTTTCTCTCTATCTCTCTCTCACTCTGTCTCTCTCTCTAGCGAACTATATTGTTTCTTTTTTCAGATGAATTTCATGCTCAGCATTCCTATTTTGTTTTAGCTTTCTGATATCTCTCAACATTGATCGAGTCTGACGCATTAGTGTTGGAAAGTCTATAAGAACAATTCCAGTAAAAGCCAAAACCAAGATGCAAGCCCCAATGTAACCTGTAGCTGTTGCTGATGGTCGCTGGTCGTCAGCGCTGATCTTTTTGTTTACCTTTGATGAAAGATTTTTAAAGTCCAGTCTGAGAAATTGCTTTAGTTGAGCCAATCTTTGACTCAGTTCATAGTACTGTCTCAGCTGGTTAGTTTCATTGCTCCAGTACTCGATTTTGTCCATGTAGTCACACGAACAGGGACAAAGACCTTCTGTTAAGAAGAAACATAATCGTGTTAAGAAACTCGCCATTCTAAATTGGGATTTTTTTGTGTAGTTTCCATTAAATTGCATTTGATTTGGAAATATCGATTTCTAAGTCAGTAAGAGAATATAACATGTTTAGTTTGTGGTTCAGTTGATGCTTTTGTTGGTTGTTCTGTTCGTGGTTTTGGTGTTGGCTCTGTTGTTGATTTATTTGTAGGCGTTGACAATATAGCAACTTTTGTTCATTTATTAGATGGACTTTAACAAAAACTTAACTGCTCTATACAAGAATATAAAAGCATATAAGGGCTATAGCAGGCCCTTTCTTGTATCAGACTGTATCTTCAAATTTAATAATTAACAAATTAATTACCTTCAATTAGCTGTTTGCACTCTGTTTCATCTGCAATAAAATAAAAACATCTTAATAAAAACCGTATCAGAAGTCGGCGTGATATTGTAAAAAACATTTTTCATTATTTTCATGAATATGAGATAAGCAGAAGGTAAAAAAAGATTCAAATGGAGACACCACTTTTGAATATATATATTTAACTACTAGTATAATCTATAGCGCTTACGCCCCATGCAGGTTTTTGTCACAAGTCTACTGATGAGCCCACTTGGGGTGAAAGGGCTATTGATTTTTCGTTTAGATTTGGATTTTATTTTACCCCTATACCAAGGTTTTTTTTTTTATTGATTATTTATTTATTTCTGCATGAATTTTTACTATTGGAATTCCAATTGGGTACCAATTGCGTCCCGTTATTAGCAGATCTATTTTTGTATTTATATGAGGCAGAATTTGTACAAAATCTTTTACGTGAAAAGAAGAAAACACTTGCCGTGTCCTTCAACTCGTCATTTAGATATATCGACGACGTATTGTCAATTAACAATGGTTATTTCCATTCATGTGTCGACACGATATATCCCGGTGAGTTTGAAATAAAAGATACCACAGAGTCTGACACATCTGTTTCATATTTGGATATTTTATTAGAAAAAGACGTTAATGATAATCTAACAACAAAGCCTTATGATAAACGTGATGACTTTAACTTTTCAATCGTCAACTTCCCTTACTTATGCAGCAATATACCCTTATCACCTGCAAACGGGGTTTATATCTCTCAGTTGATTCGATACGCAAGACCATGCTTTACGTATGAATAATTTCTAAAACGAGGTAAGGTATTGACAAACAAGTTGATGAAATAAGAATATCAGCAGTCTCTTTTAACGTCATCATTTCGTAAGTTCTACGGTCGATACAATGACCTTGTCAGCAAATACAATCTTTTCATACTAATTGTTAGGCCATTATTTACACACTGAATTGTCGACGGATTTTCCCTTTATTTCCCGATCATAACAAGGAGCACACGGCGGGTGTGACAGGTCGGCAGGGGGGATGCTCACTCCTCCATGGCACTTGATCCCACTTCTAATGTCTTAGAGGTTCGTGTTTGCTCTGCTCCTATTTTGTAACGTTTAATGGACTTTTGAGCTCGAATATTGTTCGTTACCTCTACATATTTCATTGCATATCGAAGAAGGACAGCTTTTGTTCTACACCGTACTAGACTAGAACAGGCTAAAAAATGAGGTTATTATAACTCAAGTCTTCAAAACTTGTAATAAACCCTTTGGCAATCAAAGTAATCAATTAGGTCAACTGTGAAAAACCATTCAAAACAAATCGATCGTTTTCTGCGAAACGCAGTCAGGACTAACGGTAAATAAAATTTGTGACATGTGTTAGTTTATATTTAAAACAAAATAAGCATACTTTTTTCCTCTTTTACTTCGTGAAATGTCTAGATATCCGAGTAACCTTATAGCAGTTTTACTAACCGATACTCGCATCGTTCGATGGTTAACCCTTTAACCGGGTACTCGTTGACAACACTATTATATGTACCTTTTAAGCTTCTTAATATCTCTTCAACATTCTTTTCTTACTTTCTTCTAAGGATACTTATTCACATACATACTTTCAGAAAAATTAGTTCTCCGTGGAATTTTTTTACCTGCTCGTGAAAGTAAATTTTTGGCACTTGAAGTAATTCCTGAAAAAAAATTACATGGATGCATGAAAGTATAACATTTAAGGATATATAAACACACAGGTATCTAAGGTCCATAAATTCATGGTTTCCCGATTTGACATTATAAAAAATATAAGTAAGCAAATAAAACTAGAATCTCTTAAAATTAATTTGCAATATATTGATCCCCACTTTTCCAGTTTTACAACTGACAATCACTTTATTACTTCGATGACATTTACATTTTGAACTGATATGATAGATTCAATGTAACGCTGAATATCATACTGATGACTTGAATATACATTGTGATTTATCAGTATTATTATTATTTTTTTTTTTTCAGTTTTTTAAGTTGCTTTTAAAATCTCATTTCCCAGAGACCATGAACTTTATAAAAAAAAAATAAAGGCAACCAGAGATATTATGGTCTTAAATATGACATGATTTCAATGTCCAAAATTAGAAATGACCTTGAGTCAAGAATATGTAACATATTCAAGTCATTTAGACAAGAGTATGTCTAAATTTTAATCAATTTCAATTCAAATCTTTATCATAAAATACTTGCTAGGCAGATATAGACGAGGGTTGTTCGAAAAGGTTTTGGACACTGCTTTAATTTTCTTATAATAATGACACTGTAAAATGCGTCCAATAGAATTTCAATATTGAGTAAAAATGTAAGAATCAGGGCAATTGTTATACAATGTTATACGAAAGATATCAGCTTTATATTTTTGTATATTCAAGACGCACGGTCCAGTCTGACATTATACCATTTAAAATAATGGCATAAATACAGGATATCGTATTTTCATCATATTACAGTTGCCTTTCACTTCTTGTACCGTCTCCCAGATTGAACACACCCTCGGAAAACTGTTAATGCCACTTGTAATAAATGAACTAGAAATACTTAATTTTTGACTTGTTTTAGGAAAAAAATTCAATATTTAATCATTTAAATACAAATAATTTTCAAAAAGTTGTAACATTTTAAACCTGGGACATAACTAACTGTGATCTTTCAGATGATATTTTTACAAAATTTAAGTTAAACAATCAAAACCGACTATTCTTACTTGGATTTTTATAGAAGTATTTGGTGTACAATTATTACTTACCTTGAAACAAATAGGGATTAGTACAGTATAATATGCCTTCTGTAAGGTATTAGAAATATTGTCAGTTAATTATAATTAATCATATTTCTTTTCTGTTACCTTTTAATATTAATGACAAAATATTCACTTAACACTTGAACTTGTAAACAGGTGTGTAAAAATCTTACGGATTCTGATCGCTTTTTGCATTTACAAAATTACCAGGGGATTCTTTAATATAAAAAAAAACTGGTACTGATATGAAATAATTCCGCATGAATTGCTGAGAACAGGTCCACGTAAATTTGTACAACCATTTTAAAGGTTTTTCCCCTGTGCATATGTTTTTATGTAAAAAAAAAAAAGTGCAAATGCATTATGTAAAACTGATTCCAATATTAAACCATATGATGCTATCCACGGGGTCAATGATTTGACACACCAACTTAAGAATGTATATTACTATGACTTAGAGTGTCCCTTTCGAAACAACCTACATGTGTTCAGAATTTAAGATTTTTGTCTCATTAATTCATGGACTATTTAACGAAATCATGAGGATTTTCAGTGTGTAAATTTATCATATAAATATTTGTCTACTAAATCGACTAGTCCAAAAAGATCTACTATTAATGATCTTGCTGAGCTGTTGTGTAAAATTGTTGATCGCAGGACAATATTAAAGCATCATCAGAAGTTTATTCTTATTTACAATAGCTGTCCTAATGTATAATGCGATAAGAAAATTACATACTTACTAGCCGCACGACAATTGCAAATTCCTCCATCAAAGGAGGCACCTAGAAATTCAGCAACGGTTTGAAGTGTTGGTTTGTGCCATTGTTGATTGAAACAAACACAATATACATTTAGGTCACAGCTTCCCCAAAATGTTCCGTTTTCACAACCTGAAAATTGTTGTGACATAACAGAAATAACAGATAACAATTACTGCTATAAATATATGTACAAAAATAATATGAAAATTAATAAATAGCTGGTTATCTCCGAAGATGACTTCAGAAAATAATATTCGCCCTTAACTCAATCAAAATAATACACGCCTTTCACTGCAATAACAAGAAATGTAAGAGGGGTAAGAAAATTCGCTTTTAGTTCTCCCATTGTAAATCTCCAGAACAAACAATAACAGCAGCCAACTCCCCAGTCTTCGAAACATAAAATTAAAGCGGAAGCTACTGGTGGAAAGCCATGTATTTGCATTTTATCAATGAGTCATGAAATATTCAGTACTTCAACTCCTCTTATTATATTGGTTTGGAATCACTTTACCGATAATTAATTGTGAAAGACAATGCATGAGAACGTTCAGTAAAAGCATTTTTTAAAAACTAATTTTGAATATTTTGCCTATACATACCTTGACGTTCTTTTCAGAGAGAGGATACTTAAAGTATTGCTTGTTGCTCAATCCATTAAGATGTTCTGAATAAAATATTGTTATAAGTAATGTATTAATTACCTTCCTATTGCTTTTCGTACACACATATATATTTATCAATAACATAAAAGTGTGTTTGTGAAGATACAAATAGAAATTTTAAAAATTTATCAGTAAAAAAGCGGACTAGGTTTTTAAGTAATAATATCTGTTAGCATGCGCAAAAGTGTTGAATTGCCTATTAAAAATGAGAAAAAGGATATCGTAATAAAATCTTAGACAATTAGTCATTGGTCTTTCCTAGAATTAACTGGAGAGTGATAGTTTAGTCAACTAAACAATGAAAGATCCTGATACTTGAAGATCACGTTATAAATAACTGATCCGAAACCAAGTTGGCAAAAATATTTTAGAATATTTTTTTTTTCAATATGGATGGTAAGTGAAATCTAATAAAAAGAACTTGTAATTATGAAATTGATCACTTTCGTTATTGTCGCGTTTTTTTTTTTTACATTCTTTTTCATTAAACACTGACTATTAATTCTGTATATCGATCAAAGGAACAATAAACCGAGACTTTTATCAACCATCGTATAACGAACTACTATAATTCTAGTCAGTTTTAATGACTTTACAAGTAAACTGGATAAATTTTTCACGTGTTGATTTTTTTTTATCGAATTTGGATGTGAATAAAGATTACAATCTTCCGATAATTCATTCCACCAGATTCTAGACGACTTTTCATCACTATATACAACCATTCCCCACGATAATTAAAGTCCAGGCTTTTTGACATCACAGACAGCTGCTTTTCAATAAAAAAAAAACTTTGATACTAAAGTTAACTATAGTTACAAGTAACCATAGTAATTTTTGTTAAGGGGGGGGGGTGACATAAAAAAAAAAATGTTTGAGTTCCTGATTGACAACATTTATGTAATTTTTGGATATCAGGTCTTCCAACAATCTATAGGTATTCAATTGCGCCCCTTTATTAGGAGACCTATTTTCATATTCTTATGAAGCATAATTTATTCAACAACTTCTACATGAAAAAAAAAATTTGCTGCGGCCTTCAGCCCGACATTAAGATATATCGACGACGCAGTATCTATTAACAATAGTTACTTCAATTCATATGTCGACCCGATATATTTCAGTGAGCTTGAAATAAAGATACCACAGCGGGTGACACATCTGTATCATATTTCGATATTTTACTAGAAAAAGACGATAATGGTAACATAACAACAACATTTTATGATAAGCTTTATGACTTTTCTATCTTCAACTTCCCTTATTTATGTACCCTTATCACCTGCATATGGAGTTTATGTCTTCTAGTTGATTCGATGCGCAGGGACGGGCTCTGCGTGCGAACAGATTAAAAAACAAGAGGCCCATGGGCCATATCACTCACCTGAGCACATTGGCTAGGAAAAAGCACAAATCAGTTCAGTATTGAAAAGTTTACATCGGGGGGGGGGGGGGGACTTGAATTTTAAACTACCTGGGGATGCTTCCATGTCAATATAACAAATGGTTTTTGTACTGCCTTCCATGTCATTTTTAATTGAAACATATAAACACGGATTACAGTCAGTTAACCAGGTTTTATTGTCACAAACAGTTCACATAGGGGCGCGGATCCTAATATGCGCAGGTGTCACTGATTACAATAGGTGACGATATACAGTAGCTGTGTGAGTTGTAAGTGGATGTGTGGATGGTAAAAAGCTATAATAAACAAATACAAATATACAAATACAAGCTACAAACAAAATCACTACAAAGACACAAAGTTTGAATGAACTCGATCAAGTTACATTCCTGACAAATTAGATACACAGATTTACTCGCTAAAAGTACACATGAACTTTTACAGAGGTATTTAATGTCGCTTTACATTAGCCTTAAAGTTGCAGCTTTAAAAACAATAAACTGAAAACTTGTAAAACTTACATTGTGATCGGCCACAGTTTCTCCGAGATTAATAACGTCTGGACATGTACATTTCTGAGTCTTTTACAAGAATGAATTTTGTGAGTGAAAATACAGACTAAATAGTAAATCTACACAGGAAACAGCATAGTTTCATAATTAAAATAAATATCAAACTGCAGGCCCTCCCAAGTTAAATAAACAAAACGCAGCAGATTTTGACTTTAACATAAACAGCAGACAGGACTTTATGGTCAGTCAGCAAAATTCAAGCGTGAGAATATGATTATAAAAACAATTTGAACAATGAACAATGTATTTAGTCATACAGATATTGACACATTTGTGACTGTACCTAAAAATGCATAATCTGCAAATTTCTAAATAACAATGTACAGAATGTAAGACATTACAGTTTTGCTGTTCTTGAGCAGAAGATTTTTTAAAGATTTTTTCCTATATATTCCTTTGTAAAAATTTGATACCCCATTGTGGCCCCTCCCTACCCCCGGGGGTCATCATTTGAACAAATTTGAATCTACACTACCTGAGGATGCTTCCATATAAATATGACCAATCATGGCTTTGCTGTTCTTAAGAAGAAGATTTTTAAAGATATTTTCTTATATATATCTATGTAAAATTTTGATCCCCCATTGTGGCCCCACCCTATCCCCGGGGGTCATCGTTTGAACAAACTTGAATCTACACTACCTGAGGATGCTTCCATATAAATATGACCAATCATGGCTTTGCTGTTCTTAAGAAGAAGATTTTTAAAGATATTTTCTTATATATTTCTATGTAAAACCTGGATCCCCCATTGTGGCCCCACCCTACCCCCGGGGGTCATCATTTGAACAAACTTGAATCTACACTACCTGAGGATGCTTCCATATAAATATGACCAATCTTGGCTTTACTGTTCTTAAGAAGAAGATTTTTAAAGATATTTTCTTATATATTTCTATGTAAAACTTGGATCCCCCATTGTGGCCCCACCCTACCCCCGGGGGTCATGATTTGAACAAACTTGAATCTACACTACCTGAGGATGTTTCCACATAAGTTTCATCTTTCCTGGCCCAGTGGTTCTTGTGAAGAAGATTTTTAAATGATGCCATTATTTTCTCACTAATTCCTAATTATCTCCCCTTGAAAGAGGGCGTGGCCCTTCATTTGAACAACTTGAATCCCCTTTACCCAAGGATGCTTTGTGGCAAGTTTGGTTGAATTTGGCCCAGTGGTTCTTGAGAAGAAGATGAAAATGTGAAAAGTTTACAACAACAACGACGACAGACAACGGACAAATTTTGATCAGAAAAGCTCACTTGAGCCTTTGGCTCAGGTGAGCTAACGAGACAAGCTGTTGACCAACGGGTTGATTGGACAAGGATATCAACAGTCTCGTTTTGGGTCAACATTTTGCAGGTTCTGTGGTCGGTGCGGTAGCCTTGTCGGCAAATACGGTCTACTGTTGGGTCGAGTGCTGGCTGGCGTTTTTCATACAAATTGTTAGGCCATTATTTACACACTGAATTGTCTACTGATTTTTCCGTTCGTTCGATCATGGCAGAAAGTCCACGAGAGTGTGACCGGGCGACAGAGGATGATTGCTCTTCCATGGCACCTGATTCCACCTCTGGTGCTTTTAGAGGTCCATGTTTGCTCTGCTTCCGATTTGTATTGTTTCAAAGGACTTTGGGCTTATTACTGTTCTTTATCTCCATATTTCATTTCACTAGATGTGCCCATACGTATACTCATGCAAACATTCGACATTTATTTGTCAGTAAGATGAGGTGCAAGTGAACGAGTGATATATTGATTGAAGAAAGGAATAAAAGTATTTCTCTTAAAGTTTCTATTAAAATATATAACAACAGATACATGTTTTTGACCACTTATGACAGCACTGATTGAAAAGCAGTTGATGATACACAAAAAAGTGTCGCTTTTCTTTGAGCCTAAGTTTATACAATCATCCTTTCTCATCCAAAAATTAAGAATTAAGAGAGTAGATACGACGTTTTTAGAGAATGTGCACGAAAAATGTAGGACAAAAAAATCATGAATTTACTTCATGTAATTATGAACAAATCATTTGGATAAATGTTGCGTAAAAAATGTGAAAGTATTCTGGCGACGGTAGACCTCTACAGTTTGGTGAAAGAGTTTCAACATTAAATCTTTCTTTACTCAGTATTTTCACAAAACATTTCAGAAATGATTCTGTGGTGTCCTTAATTTCGAGTTCTCTGCCTGGGACATATCGAGTTAACATATAAATGAAAATAACTATTTTAGTTGATAAAATGTTGATATATCGAAATGCGAGAAAGGAGTCTTCGCATATAGAAGTTTTTGAATAAAGTCTGCTTCATATGAATGATATATGATATATGATATATGATGATAACGAACAGTAATCAAGGTCAAACTTCCGTTGAACCATTAAAAATGTAAGCAGAGTAAACAGGAGCCTCTAAACATCAGAGATGAGATCAGGTGCCATGGAGGAGTATAAGCATCCCCTGTCATTATATCGACCATAGAATTTGCGAAATATTCACTCCAGAGTAAACTGTTGATATCTTCGTACTATCACCTTCACTGACAATAACTTGCCTCCTTTTAGAAATTGTTCGAAGGTAGAACATGCTCTAGCATATCGAATCAATTGGGAGACATTAACTCCAAATGCAGGTGATAATGATTTATTGCTACATGAATAGGGTAAGTTGACGATAGAAAATTCGAAGTCATCAGGTTTATCATAAAGCAATTTAGATTGTCCTCTATGTATTTCTGTTGTAAAATATCCAAATATGAAACATATGTGTTAGACTCAGAGATGTCTTTTATTTCGAGTTCAAAGGAATACATTGAATCAAAGTAGAAATGAAATGAATATTGTTAATTGATAAAAGGTCGTCGATGTATCTAAATGTTAAATTGAAGGCCATAGCAAGAGACCTTTTATTATCATGTAGAAGTTTTTGAATAAATTCTGCTTCATATGAATACAAGAAAGGTCTGCTAATAACGGGACGCAATTTGTATACCCATGAGAATTCCAACAGATTGTTGAAAGACTAGATCCCCCCCT